ATTCCCCATATCTTCTATACAGCTTTGAGATGCGGTTGCTTATAGGTCTTCTATGATGGTCTTCATAACAATCAATACAAAATAATAAATATGTCACGTTGTGCTCAGTATAAATATGAGCAAAACAAAAGTTGCATACGGCAAGTTTGTAAAACCATGCATAACGATTGTTTAGATGCAACTGCAAACCAGGAGTACAGTAGACCTGGGCAATTAATCAAAATGACACAAAGAGGTTGGGAGTTATTTTCAAAGACTGAACTTGCTAATGTAGAGGTGCATCGCGACAAAAACAAACACTGAAAAGTGCGCAAGGAAGCTGGGGACAGCTGCACGTTTTAAATGACACCACGAGACAGAAAGAGGAATGAACGCGCAGATCAGAGAAGGCGCGCAAACTCGTGACGTTACACGGGAGTGTTCAAGAGAGGTCAGCTGATTGGGCAGCAGACGGTCGCTAGAAGCGACGACGTCCAGTGGTCGAGGCGGGTTATGGAAGAGCAGGTTACAGGAGGGAACCCGCGTCCAAGAGCACGACCAACCACAAAGGATGGGGCAACGCGATGAGCTCATGTACGGGAGTGAAATGGATCGTGGCATCGGTGAGACCCTCGAGGGATGTCGATGGCTTGAAGATAGTGAGGGAAAAAAAGTATTTGATCCCCTGCTGATTTTGTACGTTTGCCCACTGACAAAGAAATGATCAGTCTATCATTTTAATGGTAGGTTTATTTGAACAGTGAGAGACAATAACAACAACAAAATCCAGAAAAACGCATGTCAAAATGTAATAAATTGATTTGCATTTTAACGAGGGAAATAAGTATTTGACCCCTCTGCAAAACATGACTTAGTACTTGGTGGCAAAACCCTTGTTGGCAATCAAAGAGGTCAGACGTTTCTTGTAGTTGGCCACCAGGTTTGCACACATCTCAGGAGGGATTTTGTCCCACTCCTCTTTGCAGATCTTCTCCAAGTCATTAAGGTTTCGAGGCTGACGTTTGGCAACTGGAACCTTCAGCTCCCTCCACAGATTTTCTATGGGATTAAGGGCTGGAGACTGGCTAGGCCACTCCAGGACCTTAATGTGCTTCTTCTTAAGCCACTCTTTTGTTGCCTTGGCTGTGTGTTTTGGGTCATTGTCATGCTGGAATACCCATCCACGACCCATTTTCAATGCCTTGGCTGAGGGAAGGAGGTTCTCACCCCAAGATTTGACGGTACATGGCCCGTCCATCGTCCCTTTGATGCGGTGAAGTTGTCCTGTCCCCTTAGCAGAAAAACATCCCCAAAGCATAATGTTTCCACTTCCATGTTTGACGGTGGGGATGGTGTTCTTGGGGTCATAGGCAGCATTCCTCCTCCTCCAAACACGGCGAGTTGAGTTGATGCCAAAGAACTCCATTTTGGTCTCATCTGACCACAACACTTTCACCCAGTTGTCCTCTGAATCATTCAGATATTCATTGGCAAACTTCAGATGGGCATGTGTATGTGCTTTCTTGAGCAGGGGGACCTTGCGGCCGCTGCAGGATTTCAGTCCTTCACGGCGTAGTGTGTTACCAATTGTTTTCTTGGTGACTATGGTCCCAGCTGCCTTGAGATCATTGACAAGATCCTCCCGTGTAGTTATGGGCTGATTCCTCACCGTTCTCATGATCATTGCAACTCCACGAGGTGAGATCTTGCATGGAGCCCCAGGCCAAGGGAGATTGACAGTTCTTTTGTGTTTCTTCCATTTGCGAATAATCGCACCAACTGTTGCCACCTTCTCACCAAGCTACTTGGCAATGGTCTTGTAGCCCATTCCAGCCTTGTGTAGGTCTACAATCTTGTCCCTGACATCCTTGGAGAGCTCTTTGGTCTTGGCCATGGTGGAGAGTTTGGAATCTGATTGATTGATTCTGTGGACAGGTGTCTTTTATGCAGGTAACAAGCTGAGATTAGGAGCACTCCCTTTAAGAGTGTGCTCCTTATCTCAGCTCGTTACCTGTATAAAAGACACCTGGGAGCCAGAAATCTTTCTGATTGAGAGGGGGTCATATACTTATTTCCCTCATTAAAATGCAAATCAATCTATAACATTTTTGACATGCGTTTTTCTGGATTTTGTTGTTGTTATTCTGTCTCTCACTGTTCAAATAAACCTACCATTAAAATTATAGACCGATCATTTCTTTGTCAGTGGGCAAACGTACAAAATCAGCAGGGGATCAAATACTTTTTTCCCTCACTGTACTTTCATCCAGCAGGGGCAGACTTAGCGTGACAGATGATGATCTTCTTCTTCTTCTTTCGTACGGCTGATGGAGATGCATAGCAACAACTACAATTCCACATTCAGCTGGTCAAGCCCAGATAACGGCATCAGGAGCAGCGGAGTGTATCGCTGCGATGCCTTCTTATATTTGTGGATCGGGCATTGCATTGTGATATGTTGTATGGTCCGTTCTGGATGACCAAAGTCACGCACTGGGGACTTCGAAATTTTCCATTTGTGCATCATGAACCTGCATCTGCCATGGTCTGTGCAGTGAATGCAGTTTAGGGTCGACCATGGAGCTTCGCGCAAGATCAAAAACAAGGGGTTCTTCCGAGTTGAGTCTTTCATAAGATGTTTGATGATGATGATGATGATGACGACGTTGCACTGTATACGACCATATAAATAATAACCCATGCCACTATTCTTAAAAAAAAACTTGCAAGCATATCTTCACATGTAACCTTTCAAAAGGTGCGTCTGTGCGATTGAGATCAATTGCACAGCTGTGACGGCAAATTGTCAAGGGCAGCGAATAAATCACTGGTGAATTGTGTTTCATATATATACAATATGTTTGCATGTAAATTAAAAACAAGAAAAACATATTACTTTTGAAAATGAAAACAAACCCCCAGCGGATGCGCTTCAAAACTTTTGCCGTCTGATCAATAGAACATCCAACAATATTCTTGGTTCTTTCGGTAAAGTCACGTAGAAGGGAAACAATAAAATATTAAAAATATAAAACAATTTCTTTATTTCATTGTTTCCCTTCTACGTGACTTTACCGAAAGAACCAAGAATATGAATCCCTGCAGTCACGAAAGCTTTAAATCAAAACATCCAACAATGTTTGGATGTTCATCTTGCACAACAGCCATTTGCCACTAAGTGGCGGTGACGTCACCACGGCGCTTGTGTCTGTGTGCGCACACACGCGCACAAAGACACGCGCACACAGACACGCGTACACAGACACGCGCACACAGACACGCGTACAACAAGGACAAAGATCCCTCGTATAGCCACAACAGACTGCTGGGGCAAGTGCTGTTAGCGAGCACCTATAAAGGCCGGCACGGCACACGAGGGGGTGGGTGGCCAGCACCACGCCTGACCGCCTTTGTCTCCCTAGTGGCGATGTTTACACACTGCACTAGGTACTCATTTCAGTTGACCTACGGAAGGCTCAGCACCGGTTTAGACAATCGTCACTGGTGTCGGCCTTAAGCGGGAATTGAACTCAGGTCCCCGCACACGTAGAAACACGCGCACACATACATACAAACGCATGCGCCCACATACAAACAAGGGCATACACATACGCAAATACACTTGCATACCAAGTCTAAGCCCACATACACACACAGGCACGTGCACGCATGCACACGTGCACGCGGTACTTCCAAGTTCCTCACATCACAGAGGTCCGTGGATAAAGGTGTTACATTTGGCATTGAAAAGGTCGGATCACATAACATGATTTATAACGTGGATTCATTTTCAGCCAACGTATTAAATTCGGCTTGGAATGGGCGTGAAACATGCAAAAGATAAAAGCGTATGTTGACACTTCTGATTTGCCTTAAACGATAATGACAACGTCACATCAGTCGACACGTCGTCCAATTAATCATCCAATCGTTACACGCGAAACTAAACGGAACGACCTTAAGGCGAGGGATAGTTTGGCCTGCACTTGTGACGGCAGATGGGAGCGGAAGTTGAAAAGGAGACGGAGAATGCTGGCCGACGTTTTCTGTACCTCATTACGACAATTTGCAAAGCCTGCTACGGAAATTACCTTCTGCGGAATAATAACTGACGGGGGAAGTACAGTGTCCTGCAAAGAGTGACCAATTCCCGGGCCGTTATTAAGCATAATTACGCTTTCTATTTAAACGGTAGTTTGTAAGGACTGTAATTATCGTCAAAACCATCTTTCAGACTGGCAGAATAAAATAAAAATACAAAGTTAAAGGTACGCCTATTCCTATATTCCCTTTGCGGATAATCATTTCATAATTTTAGTGGAGAAATTGGCCTTTAAAATGAGAATTAACAATTTGTAAAAAAAAAAAAAAACAGGGACACGTGACGCACGTGATTTTTCCACGTCGAAGGCGATTTATTTTGCCAGCACTGATTCCCGGCGCTAATTATCGCGCGTGGCGCCTCCACACGATTTCTTAACCTCGTGTTCAAAGGATCCCTCGTTGGGGTTTAACTCATCGGTCTCATTTGCATAATAAGCGGCGATTTCGTAGGCCACCAGCTTTGATAGACGAGGTGTTGGAATTTCGAGAGAAAACACTGTCTACTGTCACCCTATGTAATTTGGCTAATTCGTACTTATGGTCCTGGCATGTTGCTTATCAGCTCTACCACTTTACATTTGCCTGGCGCACGCGGTACAGGTCTGGTTTAAAAAAAAAAAAACATTCAACGTACAGGCATCGGTGGCCGGGCCGAGACCATCAACTTGCCACCCTTCAGAAGCTGGTTTATAATCACAGGGCGCTTGTGAAACCCAGATTCCGCACCTCCAATTAGCATGGTTTGTGCATAAGAAGTTCTACATACATACATACACACACTAGCCAACTCAAGATCTTGGCGGTGTGAGGTCGATACTCAGGAGCCGCACAGCCACCGTCAGAGGTGGATGGCCATGAAAGGGACGGAGGGGGGGGGGCCTGGTGTGGCGGCACAGAAGCAAGGGGGGCACCCTCACCAGCTTCTTTCGCTTGTCTTGTTCCGTTGGCTGCTCCAGCTCCTCTCCGAAGTGAACCTCTTCCACGGCCATGATCAGTCGGCTTCCGGGGGAACGACACGCAATCATCACCGTCGGGAACAAAACGTTAACGTCTAAAGCGAAGACGACGATGATTTCAAAAGACGATACGTGTTAATCATTTATAAGAGGCAGTCGGGCAGCTCAAGGGGGTTTGGACAACTGAGCTGTCATTGCTGAGATTCTGGGTTCAAATCGAGGCTTCTACCGCCCGAGTTTATGGTCTCAGCCAATTCCACCAATGATTGCACAACAACATAAAACATCGTGAGAAGTTATTTTTTACTTGATTTGACTTAGCAAAAACATAATTGGCTTGGCGACAATGCAATAAACATCCCGATAGCCGGGTACGTGAGAAAGTCTCATCAACCCTGGTTGTCGATATGACGTCACATGAAAGGGATCTCAAAAGTAGTTCTCTGATATCACATTCCACGTGCATTTCTGTTACATGAGGCTATGCATTGCTCTGCAAGGTTTCAAATTATTAATGTATTCTTTCACTTACGACGTGACTTTGATAACAAAATTGAAATGTTGGAAAAAATAACAAAGTGTCGTTATGCATGAATGAGCATTTAGGTGGTGGCTCATCCCCATTGGAGATGGACGGATGAACTATCATGTTTTTTTTTGCAGGCATAGGGCTCTCTTCACGACCGCTGCTATGCAAATACAGGGTGTGACCGCACTATCCTCGTGGTGGCGAGATATTAACTACCTTGCCTGGTGTACAGGAGGTCGTGGTTTTGATCCCGACCCTGACGCCTGCTGTATATTTGAAGTTTGCATGCGTCTCTCCCTGTGGTCGTGGAGATTTTTCTCTACGTCCTCTGGTTTTTCCCTCCACGTTTAGAATAAAAAATGCGCTCAGAGTATTTAGCTGCAATACATTTACACCTAAGCCACTTCTCATTGGGTGATCATTCGTGTCCAGGTCGCTTCTGAAAAAAGCTATACAGCTTCATGGGCCTTACCTGGTCAAATATAATTCGTTTAATAGTCGTTTAAATCCCCACGCCGCCCCCAGCCACTTGGTCCCCCCCCCCCCACCTTACTCACTCTCTGTAGGCGCCTCCGTCCGGGTCTTCCATCATGATGTCGTGCAAGGCCTCGGCGCAGACGTTGACGAGGCCACAGAAGCGGTCCTGGACAATGCTGCACAACAGCGTCGGCTCAGAGTCGCACACACACGTGCGTTCCACACGAAGCCACCCGTCGTTCCACCAACTCGGAGTCTCACACGCGCGATATACACGTACATACGTACGGAGAGTCACGCGAATGATTACGGATTATATATGCAATGATGCATACATTTATAGATTAAAAACTTATTTTTGATGCTCATGATAACACCTGTCGAATCATCATAATAATTTCATTTTATAAAGCGTCATTTATGCAATTGTGCATACAAATTATATTCGAATGCGATGCTAATGTTAAATTTTGTGTTTGTCAGGCTAATGGCCAAAAATAAAAAATTTCCGGGAGAGATAAAAAGTATATATATATTTAGAAATTATACAAACGATTGAAAAAAAACACAACACTCAAATATTTTTTTTACAAGCCTAGCATTTACAGACATCCGGTTTCAAGGTTATTGAAAAAAAAATATTTAAGGTGACTTTAGGAATACTGCTACAGCACCATCCTGATGTCTCCAAAACCATTGCGGTGACAAGTCAGCAATGCCGAAAATCAATTTAAACTATTTTTGTTGTCATTACCGGACGTGTAGCTACAAGATAAGAGCTGTTAAGATTCTTGGGGTTGAATCGTCCTTTTACACTAAGGGAAGACGTTCACTGAGACGTGGACGGACCAGCAACTGAACGTGTAAATGTGCAAGTCAAATTGTTGCACTGTCAAATGAGGACTGAACTTGGCATTTTTGTATTTGTTGAGCTGGTACAGGAAATTATACATTCCTATGGCAGAGGCAACCATATCCATCGAACCAGCGATTTTATATGGCCGAGCAGAAAGCGTTTGCTACTCGCTGCGGAGGTTCAAGATTCAAATCCAGTGGCCGGCCTTTGTCGTTACTGCAGTGGTCCAGTGCATGAACCAAAAAAACACCATCTGCTTCTGCACAGTGGAAGTTAAAATATCTCATGACGCCGTTCGCAAGGGCGGGCGCCACTGTGCGCCGGGCATCGTGGTGCAAATTTGACGAAGAAATATATATAGCGGACAATTTCACTCAGTTGGAATTTACATAGCAATCAGCGCCCTCTACTGCAACACACTCGGGCAGGACCCTCCATAAAAACAAGTCTCAATGAACTGTGGGAGGCTTTCCTGGGTATAAACAATTGTACGAATACATAACTACAAAACGCCCCACAAAATGGTAACTATTTGATGCACGCTGGTGCATTTAAGATGCGGTAAAGCCGCATCCTAACCCCAGTGGGAGCGACGCCGAACAGCCTTCTCGTTCGCAAGCCAAAAGGAACTGAGCCCTGTGTCTTTTAATTTCACCCTAAACCAATGTGAAATATACCCTGCGGCGGTATCAGCATTTCTCTCCAGCTCCCTTCCTCTCCCGGCTGAAAGAAGCCACGGATAATCTGAATGCATGCATCGCCTGGGCGTGAATAATGCGAGTAATTGCACCTCCAGTGTCTCCGCGCGTGTTTGTGTATGTAGTGCAGCGGGGGAGCGGTAGTGTAGAGGTGAGCACGCTGAGCTACAAACTCGGTGATCCGAGTTCGATTCCTGCTCACGACCGATAGCAGTGGTGAACATTTTAGCCGGTCCTGGGCCTCCCCTAGGTCGACAAGAGCCTTAAATGAGTAGGTAGAGCGGTTGCGTAAACATCTGCACTGGGGACACAGAGGCGGCCGGGCGTGGCGCTGGCCACCCAACTCCTCGTGTGCCGTTGTTGGCCATCAAAGATGCTCGCTCACAGCACCTGCCAAGTCTGTTAAGGCTACATGGGGGATCTTTGTCTTTGTGTGCACACATAATCCACGAAAGCGTGCACCGCATTTATTTATTTCTACGTAATTGCTGAGCACAAGGCCCACAGGGTCAAGTGAGCAGAAGAAAAGTAGCACTTTCTTGCAATTGAGCAAGACTGTTATCGTTATTATTGTTGATAAAAGTGACGATGGTGGGAGGAGGCAGTTCCAAAGAGGAGCAGTTCCAAGGGAAGAAGCCGAAAGAGAAGCGGTCATTTACTTTTACTTCACACTTTTAGTTAGTTTACGACCAGCGTGCGTGCACTCTCTAACTTAATTCACATCGAAGGAAATTAGCCACACCTGAAGCAAAAACCCTGCGCATATGTACAAAACACTAGTTTTGTTTACACAAAGCCTGAATAAATCAGTCTGGTGGACAATCAATTAATCCCCTTTGAAAATTACGCATATTACATGCGCATAAACCTTGCGCGGACTAGCAATGAGCACGGTCATTTAATTGCCTTTTTAGCTTCGGTCCGATACGGGCGGCAGGCATTAATCAGCCCGGCGCCACGGCGCTCGACATTCAGAAATGTAAATGAGACGGGGGAGTCGCAACCACCACCACTGCCGCCACCACCACCACCACTGCCGCCGCCTCCGCAAGCCCACGGCTGCTGCCGCTGCTGCTGCTGCTGCTGCGTGGCGCTTCACGGCGCTGCACGCGCAAGCGCCCCGTACCTGTTGTCCGTGGGGAGGAGGGAGGCGAGCGCGAGCGCAGACAGCTTGCGCCTCCCTGGCTGCGTGATGTTGTCCATGCGGTCCACCCACATGTCCACGAGGGAGCCCAGCAGCTGGTCCGGCTGTGAAGCGATTAGAGAGGCGAGCGCTCGAGCGTAGCGCAAAACAAATGCGGAATCGCTCACCCACTTGCTGCGTAAGCTTTCGCGATGTTGCTTTTGCGTTGTTGTGCCGCGTCTTATTCGGAGATCACATCCTGACGTTCTGCTCCCACGTGCTTGCAGCTTCTTCGTTTCACGAAAGCAAAACGCCGGATGTCGTGCCGAACAACGTGCGGTACAGCAACAACAGCGTGTCAGCGGAGCGACAACTCAAACGATCTGGGTGACTCAACAGGACGAATTATACGTGGGAGAGCAAAGCCAACTGGGAGTCTTTTGTATCGCTAACTTGCTCGCTTGCTCGCCTGTTCGTTCTTTTATGGTGGAAGCAGCCAAAAGGCGAGGGCAAGGCACCCTGAACTCTCTGGTTTATACAAAATGAAACGTTGTTTTTTTTCCGTCGTAAAAATCCATTTTGATCGCGCGAGCCTGAAAACTGGATTCGAGCCTAGGAACTCGGCGGAGCTGGCTTGATGCTCTGACCTCTGCGCGACCTCTAAATCAAGCAACCCGATAGAGATGATGAACAAGGCACTGCCTTCACCTCGAGACCAAGCTCCTTTTGGGAAGACTCGCAGATGAGTGCATTGCCCCCCCCGCGTGTTAGAGATCAGCCCGTGGAATGCGACTTCACATAATCACTTCTGGGATGTTTTCAAGTGACCTCTTATCCACACTGGGAGGACACTGCATATTCAAATACACGTTGCTGCTGATGTGTTCTTTGCATAGTAGTCCAACTAGTGTTTAGTTTTATTCTCAGATCTGGATTTAGTTTTCTGAAATTTCGAGTGAAAAACCAAATGTATTGAGGACCATGCCGAGACCATATTAGCACGCTACACTCACATAACCCTGCTTTTAGTGTTAGCGCGGTTGGCTACGAACGGTGCGAAAGAAGTTGAACATGCAGTAAACCCTCTCTATCCGCGAGGGTTACGTTTTTGAAAACGCTCATGAATGCAAAAACCTTGTTCCACTGGGAAAAAAATTGAGATACATTGGGGGGAAATGGTAAGTGTCGAATAACAGTGACTTCAATGAATACGTAATAAATGATTAAGACAATGTTTTTTTTTTGTATTACCTTTGATAATGACGATTTGACGTCGAAGGAGATGGTGGAGATGGTGAGGAATTCATGATGCAGTTCTTTGATAACAATAACGCACAGTTCTTATCATTTTAGCACGGCTGAAAACTGGAATCGAGTCTCGGATTCTCAGCCATGCTGGCTTGGTGCTCTCACCTCGGAGCCACCCGGTCTCCTTTGAAACTAAAACCATCGTAAAACCGGAAACACCAAGACACAAGGCTCCTCACCTCTTGGCCCAGCTCCATGCCGATCTGCCCGAGCAGGCCCGAAAAGTACGCAGGGTTCTGGAGGATGATTCTACCAAAGATGCCGAGGTACGTGGCCATCACAACCGGATACCTCTGATTGGGGCGAGAAGCACGGGGGGAGGGGGGGGGGGGCACAAGGAGAGGTCACCTTCCCTGCACGCGAAAACACACGCTGCGACACCCTGCCGCTGCTGTTGCTGCTGCTGCTGCTAGAACGTATCACAACGTCCCCCCCCACCCCCTCCCATTTGTGCTCGTCTGTGGTATCACAAAAGCAATCGGAGCGCTTTTTATGCACGAGAAACAGGTGCTTTATCAAGTCCATTGTTCGGAATTATTCACAGCCTTCGATATAACAATTAAGCGCCAATTAAAGTGGGTTGGTTAACAACAACGCCCACGTAATCCTGCGATGATCTGGTTTACGTTGAGAACGCTAATTGCGGGGCTTTTGTAATAACATTCCAACGGGGTGTGTATACGCCGGTACGTCAAACATGTTAATGCATTTGGCGATCTCAGGATATTCTCTCACCACGGTGAATTTCAAATCAGGAAGGGGGAGATGGGATGGGCAGGGGGGGGGGGGTTGAATGTACAGGAGACAGCACTCGCGGCTTGCAGATTTGCGCTCCACAATTATAAAAGACAAAAGAGAAAACCAAGCGCTGGAGTGGATGAAAGAAAAGGATTAGTCTGGGCACTGATTCCAGCCAACAAAGACGGTCACTGCATCGCACGCTTTCAGATGTGCTTCTGCAGCCGTCTGGAACGCAGTTTCTTCTCATATTAGGAAGCCACTGGAGCTATGCACTTTCAAATCTATATATTTAAAACGGATTTCTTTAGAACTGCTTTCTTTGTTTAGTTTGTTGTCCTTCCCCCGCACCTCCGATTCGCACGGTTGGCTACGTACGGTGCGAAGGAAGTTCAACATACATACAGGCAGAGCAAAAAAACTAAAAAAACGACTACATACAAATGCCGGCATATATGTATGTGTATGTATGTTGTATATGAAGATTAAAGCTTCGAGTCCGTTACCTCCCCATCCAGGATCCCTTTGAAGATGCTGGGAAGGAGTGGGTGGAAAATCTGTGGCCCTGCTACTGGGTGCACTTTGAGAATGTTTTCAATGATCTGCAAATGACAAACACAACAACACAAAAACAAAGATCCTCCATATAAATTTTTATTTAAAGCTTTCGTGACTGCAGGGATTCATATTCTTGGTTTTTTTCGGTAAAGTCACATAGAAGGGAAACAATAAAATAATAAAAATATAAAAAATACAATTCTCACGACGTTTCGACTGCAACACAAGCAATCATCATCATCAGGTGTGAAAACCACAGCAAGAAAATTTGAAAAAAGTGGCGGTTTTTTTTAACGTTAGCACCACGGAGAGCAATTTGGCAGTGATTCAAATGGACGAGTCCATCTATGTTCGGAAAAGAGGAGGGGGGAGACGAAAATAATGGATGCGGTCTGAAAGCCACCATAAGCATGAACAATCAATTAAGACCCAAAATGGTTTATCAAATCCTTCCAATGATTGCTAAGCCAGAATCCATCTTCTCGGTTGAAATTGTCTCTGTGTTTGTATATGTGGATAGCCTCATGTACGAATCTCTCATGATAGCCAGATGGCTTGCAGAGAACCTCTGTCTTGGAGAAGTCAATGTCACGTGAGCCTACTGAATTATAGTAGTGAGCGGGAATCGAACCCGGGTCGCCGGGTTTATAGCACGAAGATCGTTGCACAACTGCTCATCGTGCACACACATCAACATACACACACGTACACGTGCCGCACATGTGTGCAAATGATGTGCACACCGAAAGACCAAAGGTGTTTTTTTTTTTAGGAAGACAAATGACTGGAGCGGTTAAAAGCAACGGAGCAAATAATTTCTAACCATATCTTAGAATTCTTTTGATGTCTCACCTTTTTTTTCGGTACAAACATCAGTAGCCCTTCTGCCCCCCCCCCCATACTTTCTGCCTTTGACATTTGGAGCAACAAAAAATAGGCAGATGCACAAGGCTTAATTGACTCACTTATTTTGTTTATATTCACGGGCACTTGCATTTGATCCAATAATCGGATATTTCGAATTGACCGACAGACTGACCGCGGTCCAACCCTCAAGTGCGAATGGCGATATGCAGATTTAAATCATGGAAGGAGCTTAAACTTGAACTCAACAGTTTTTGTTAATTTTACCAGGTTAGGCCCACTGAGCTACATAGCTCTTTTTCAGAAGCGAAGTGGCTGATCATGTAGAAATGTATAGCAGCCAAATACTCCAAATGGGGCAAAAACCCAAAGACCTGGAGAAAAATCCACGCGACCGGGGAGAGAACATGTACATTCCAAATATACAGGCAGTGTTAGGGTCGGAATTGAACCCACGACCTCCTGTATACCAGGCAATGGTTGTTAACATCTCGCCATGTCGCCTGTTTTTGAACCACGTCGCAGTCATTTTGTGTGCTGGCAGAATGACAACTTTAAAAAAATGGACCCGTCATGTTTTATGATTACGGGGGATGGATCAATATTGTTTACAGTTTGATTCGGGTTGCACAAAAATCCACGCCGGTATGCAGCATGCACTTTGCTGACAAATGCACTAGTTTTTTGACGCATTTCCTTAGGACAACACACTGCCAAAGATTTCCTTGGTGACAGACCAAAATGAATTATTGATGTGTTATCAAAGCAGCTGGAGTTCTGAACAAATAAGCGACAGTGCCTCTTCGCTTTGTTTTGCGTTCTTCTGAAAGGAATTTCTTTTGTTTCCGAAGTTGTGAAAACAGGTGCGCTCAGCCTTGCCAACAAACACTGGCAATACACATTGTTTTTTTCGGTAAAGTCACGTATGTAGAAATACCATAAAATCATATTAAAATAAAATAAATCAATCACGACGTTTCGACCGCAACACAAGCTATCTTCATCAGGTGTAAAAAAACAAATAGCACATAGGGTGACATCAACGCAACACACAGAGAGCATTAAACTGCACGGAGGTAAATACAAATATGAGAGACGAGAATTCAACAAACCTAAGAAAAATTTAGGTGATGCAAAACCAGTCGGCCAACGACACAGTTAGACACTTGCCTGGCAGACCACGAATTTCAGAAGAGTGCTAAATTTCGTGTTCATCCTCTGGGTTGAACACGAAATTTTAAATCTTTATTGGCAATACAACTTAAGCACCGTCAGATTTGCAGGTGCACTCCCTCAAAGACTTAAATCCATTCCCCAAGAATTCACTTTGGACAGTTAAATAAACTTTCACGAAGGGCAGAAAAGCAGTGGGCCGTTTCGAATATCCCTCTAGGTGTCCCGATCCATTGCCCCTGGCCAAGCCTCCTGGACAAGACTTCATGTCCATATGGGAGTGCGATGATCTGCGAGTACAAGGATGAATAAATGAAACATGAAATGTACAAAATTACACTTAACCACTGTCATCGATGTCACGGTCATCATATATATCTGTGGATGCAGATCTTCTCTGAATTCCCAGGTCAAGGCTTCGGTCTATGGGTGACCGAGATAGTTCCCGTGTAGCGCCCAGGATATGGAACGGTCTTCCACGAGATATCAGGATCTCTGAATCTGTGGACATGTTTTAAAATGTGTCTTAAAAGCTATGTATACGCTTCCACTTATTAAACTTGAAGTTCATTTCATAAATGGAATTAAATGCATTTATAATATCATTAGTTTTATGCTGAGTGTCTGCTGCGACAGCGCTTTGAGATCCTTGATGAAAAGCGCTATATGAATGGAATTTTATATATGTAATAATTCAGAATTTCCAACAGAGCAACAATCCAGATTATGTCAACCTTTGCTGAGTGGGATGTCACTCATTCAACCTCTGGTGTCCCACATAGTCCTGGTGTCCCTTATCCCCAGCCGTCCATACTGTCAACTCCCTGTCTCCGTGTCCAAGTACAGGCTCCAGACAATTCTCTTCTCGACCTATAACTCGCTGCCTCTCTCTCTCCCTATAGATCAAATAAATATGCTCACTGTTCTGACGAATATCTTGAGATGCGGTCACATTTGGATGCAATATAAATCCGCACTGTATGGGAAATGTACTGCAACAGAGGAGCAATAACATCACTCTCACAGTTCAATGAGCCTCCCGTAATGCAGCATCACATCTATGCGTGTATTGATGAACAGATTCACTCAGAATATTTATTTATACTCGAGAAATCCGATGAGCAATAAAGTTCTTTATCACTGATTAAACACAGAGATTAATGGATTACAACCGATTCCATGCTCAGGATATGTGCATTTTAACAAGGCATGTGATCACACGAGGCTAACGTTTCAAAACGTCCCGTAAAGGACACGTATGTGCCAAGCAAACACGTTACCTGCACTCATTGGGTACGAGAGGAGGATCGTAGTTTTAAAAGACCTAGCAACACCATGCCTCTAACTTTTAAGCGAGCTCAGCCCCTTCTGTCACCGCAAAGGACTCTTTATACTCGGTCGACACTCACATAATCATTGTTTGCATTACCATTGGAATACCGCGGTGGCAAGATGTTATCGCCCTCTTCCCGCTATGGCAGGCGGTCGTGTGTTCGATCCCGACCGTGACGCCTGTATATTTGGAGTTTGCACGTCTCTCTCCACGTGGTCGCGGGGATTTTTCTCGCGGTTTCAGAAACGTGCTTAGATTATTTGGCTGCTCTGTATTTCCACACGATAAGCCGCTTTACTTGAGCTACCATTTATGACCTGCGAGCTTCTGAAAAAAAGCTATATATGTATGTTGAACTGCTTTCCGCACCGCACGTAGCCAACCGTGCTAATCGGAGGTGTGGGGGGAGGACAACAAACTAACACAAAAATCAGTTTCAAAGAAATTAGTTTTCAATCTAGATTTAAAAGTGCAAAGCTCCAGTGGCTTCTTAATATCGGAAGGAAGAGCGTTCCAGACGGCCGAAGAAGCAAATCTGAAAGCGCGCAATGCAGTGACCGTCTTTGTTCGATGACGAGCCAAAAGCCGCTACAATATAGCTCAGCGGGGGGCCTTACCTAGAAAAATAAATCTTAAAAATTAATATGGTTCAGTGAAAGTAAAAAATAGGATGGCGCCAAGGTGAAACCTGCCAAATGGAATATTTATATATATTTTTTAAAGTCCTATTTGCCCCTCTGTAAGTAAAGGCTTCCCCCACACCTCTTCCAGAGCCCAGCGATAACGGCTACGATTTTAGCAGGGGGTGGGGGGGGGGCCTGCGGACCCCGCACGCGACCTGCTCCTCGCGCTCTCTCGTGCACCGCTCCACATACAAAAATGGAACTTCACGTCAAATCTTCACCTCCGCTAGGCTCAAGAATAGAATCGTAGCGCTCGCAGCTGGCACAACTTCAAAGGGTAAAAAACCCAGACTGATCAAAGGAGTGGCTGATTCATGTCCTTCCCTACCTAGCATATGTGAATGCGCTCGGACGGCCAATAAGAACGGCTTTTACCAGCGCACTGGAATCTCATCCGCACCGATGAGGTCACACCGCCTTTTTAACCCCCCCCCCCCGGGCAATCAAATTTAAATCACCCCCCCCCCCGCATTGATAACGTGTGAATTTTTTTCTTCGTGGTCTCCTAACACGGTCAGAATGAATTACGATCAAGCAACCTGTTTAACGTTACGCTCGTTAAAACTCATTTCTTGAGAACTGATTTTTCTGGATGATGAATGCTGTACACGTGGTGTAATTCGTCTTCGATATTGATGCTTTTGCCTCGTGTACGTTTGTTGTTGTTGTTGCTGTACTGACGCAGTAACACGGATCTCCCGTGTAAAATATCCGAGAAACTAGCCTAATGGGATCATCCTCTGTAACACATTAAGCACACTCAAACTCAATTGAAAGTTTAAATGTGGCTTGAAGGGACCAGATACAACTTCGCTGGCGAATGTACACTTCTTTAGAATAGCTCTCTTGTGTTTTCAGTTCCATTTTATTTTCAGTTTCATTTATTTGGAATAACCCTGCGAGCCATTCGGCTCTTGATCCGGGTGCAACCTGAAACAAACAGTAAAATTACAAGATACATTTATAATTTACTGCACACAAATTGAGACATCCCTTCCCCGCCACACCTCCCGATTATTGGCTATGTACATAATAAAGACTTCGCAGTTCTGTCGGGCGCAGTGGCGGCCGTCGGCAAACAGCGCCTCCGTCTCGTGAAACCCGCGCGGAGGGCGCTGCACGCGACGGCTTTGAAGCGCTCCGCCGGGCTTGCGGGCGGACAAACGGCGCTCTATGCCTTATTTCCGTTATTTACAAAACTCGGCGCCTTGCAAGCATCGCAGGCAGACTTGTTTGCACGCTGATGTTTTTATTTATTTCTCACAACATACCTGTATGTACATATCTTTAGCTTGGGTGTCGGATCATTATATATATGCATATTGTATATGTAACCCTTCCCCATCTTCGTTCACACAATCTTCACCATCAGCCGCGAGTGATCCGGTGGTGGATGAAAGCCTCAATGTGCCATCACAGTTTCTTTACGGTCCTGCCATGCAACATCTCATCTAGATCCTGCACATGGGCCGGCTTCATCGCTCAGTCCCCACGAGTTCTCCCTTTGCCTGCCATGGTTAGTCTGGACCCCCAGCGCTCATCCCATCCAGCGACGTCTTCTGCCCAATCCTGCTTACTTTTCTCCGACAGTTAATAGACACACAGATACACGGAGATAGAGAGGTGACAGAGAAACAGAGAGAGACGCTCGAGGCAGATGCGGCAGGGAAACACAGGGAGAGAGACACACACACACACACACGACACAAATAGACAGAGACACAGAGACATGGAGATATAGACAAAGACTGAGAAAGACATGGAAAGTGACAGCAAAATATATACACACACCAAGTCAGACATGGAGCTACCCAGAGAGACACTGAGATAAGAAGCGACAGACACAGAGAGAAGTGTGAAGGCCTCTAAGGAGACGGGGGGCTCTTTGCGCAAGCGTAAGTTCCGCACGCGTAGAGGCAGCAGTGCTGACGAGGACAAACCTGTGAAACGAGGCCACAGTGAAACATTTCCAAACATAATAATAAAAAAAAATCAATAGTAACGCCACCTTCACCGAGGCAGCAAAAATCCCGACTTAACATCCTAGCTATACACTGTGTGCACCTACGTGTCCCGCCATTAATTCTGCGCCAAGTGACGGGCTCCATAACTTAATGCAAACAGTTTGGGTCACGCTTGGCCGGATTCCGTTTGCTTAATGGGGCTCTTGCACCATGACCCGAGTGTCGGCGTGAGCAAGGGGCCCGGGCTACAACACCCCCTCCCTTACCCCCTCCGCTCCACCCTCCCCTCGCCCGTCGATCACTGCCAGCTCGGAATGCCATTTCTCCATGGCCAGCAATGCATTTGTCAAGCGAGACTGACGGCGGTGGAGTGACTCGCTCACTCGCTCGTGCGTCCGTCCATCCATCCATCCGTCCGTCTACCCCGCCACTGCAGTGCGGCAAAAGTCAAGGGTTTCTCTCCCCGCCCCCCCCTCACCCTGTCGCTGTAGCTCGCAGAGAGACGCATGCACTCAAGAGGTTCCGTGTGTCGGGATGGCTACAGGGACCAGTCTAATTATAGTGGGGACACGACCCCCCCTCCTCCGTCCATCGTCTCAGTCTCTGGAGCGGCGAGTGGGGGGGCGGGGGGTTCTGTCTCCCCCTCTCCCTGCACACCCTTGTCTCGGATAAGGAGTACAACTGGTCGCGAGGCGTGCAAAAATTAAATTGTCGCGATTCGAGGTCACGATTTTGACTCGAGAATGCATTAATTTTCCATCTCCTTTGTAGCTGTCTGTTTTGGAAGTCACTTTAATATTGTTAGGAATTTTTATGATTTTTCAATCCTCCCGACATTTAATGAAATGTCATGACCCGAGGTCACAAAGATTTAAATGATTTTTTTCACCTCATTTTTGTGTCTCCGAATGTCTCGCCTGTCTTGTTTTCGTTCGAGCCATTACTAGCCTAAACTTAACATCTCCATAATATTGCACACATCGCAAATAACATTTTATGCACGTCAAGTCTCCACAATGAGCGAGTTGAACGGGATGGTGGCCAGAGTGAGCTGATCAGTGGACGAGTGAGCAAGTAGGTTAGAGAGATGAGCGAGCGAGCGGAGCGGGTAACTGAAAGGATGAATGAGTGGGAGAGCAGGCGAGCCAGTGAGCAATTGGGTGAATGAGTGACATAGAGCGTGCGCGCATGAGCGTGCGCGCATGAGCGTGTGCGCATGAGCACGTGCTACCAAACAAACGACAAAACTGGGCGAGTCGGCGAGTGAGCAGGTGGGCAGAACACAACGATTGCAATTAAGGGAACGGGACAAGCACGTACACGTGGAGTGACGGACACACCACACTCACCTTAAGGATGTGCACCTGCCCCTCGGTGGTGATGTCGGCCTGCAGGTCGCAGAATGCCTTGCACAGCGTGGCCCCGTAGCTCTGCGGGGACGCGGTAACATTTACATGCGAGCATTCATCATCCAGCAGAAGGCCCCTGAGGTTACCATTACCATACGGCACAAAGGCAGATGACAGCTCAAGGTTCCAAGAACAAGCCAACCACTTGGGCTTGCAAATCGCGAAGAGCCGTCGGTTCCATCCTGGCAGCATTCTTGCCTCCATCGCAAAGACGCGATGATACGATCACGTTTCGATTTTGTAGATGGACACGGTGAGTGCGTGTGTGTGCGTGGGAGCGTTAATGTAGCGGTTAGCGCGCTGCGCTACGAACCCAGCACCCCGAGTTCGATTCCCGCTCACGACGAACACCCGTGATGATTATCTGAGCTGGTCCGGGGCATCCCCTACGTCGACTCAGCCTCAAATTAGTACCTGGTATAGTGTGTAAACATTGCCACTAGGAAGACAAAGGCAGCTGGGCATGGTGCTGGCCACCCACCCCATCGTGTGCCGTGCCGGTCCTGATAGGTGCTCGTTAACGGCACTTGTCCCAGCAATCTGTTAAGGCTACACGGGGGATCTTTGGTCTTTGTTTTTTGTGTCCCAGGATGTCCAACACGAGCTTGAAAAAAAGATGTAAAATTCACGACCAGATGTTCCGTCACACTGCTCCAATAAAATCACTGTCACTGCACTGAGGCTGTGTTAAACCGTATGGGATTTGAGTTCACAATGAGGTCACTCAACTAACTTTCCCTCCCCCTCGCATGAATTGTCACGAATCAGGGCCATGAACCATTTCAAGGATTGATTCTTTCTTGTTGCGTTTTTACAGTCTCGTTTTTTTCAGTTCATAAGGTCTAATTTATAAAGTTTGTATATCATTGGCATTGCTGTAATGTAAGCACATTACAAGCATAAATCCGAGAATATGCATTCTCATGCACGCAACACGCTGCATATTATCGTCTTAAACCTCAATATTAATCCATGCATCAGCCGCACACCGACCCAGGCATATACCCAGACATACACCAATCCATGCACCCAGACATACACCAATCCATGCACCCAGACATACACCAATCCATGCACCCAGACATACACCAATCCATGCACCCAGACATACACCAATCCATGCACCCAGACATACACCAATCCATGCACCCAGACATACACCAATCCGTGCACCCAGACATACACCAATCCATACACCCAGACATACACCAATCCATGCACCCAGACATACACCAATCCATGCACCCAGACATACACCAATCCGTGCACCCAGACATACACCAATCCACACACCCAGACATACACCAATCCACGCACCCAGACATACACCGAATCCATGCACCCAGACATACACCAATCCATGCACACCAGACATACACCATCCATGCACCCAGACATGACACCAATCCATGCACCCAGACATGCACCAATCCATGCACTCCAGACATACACCAATCCATGCACCCAGACATACACCAATCCATGCACCCAGACATACACCAATCCATGCACCCCAGACATACACCAATCCATGCACCCAGACATACACCAATCCATGCACCAGACATACACCAATCCATGCACTCAGGACATACACCAATCCATGCACCCAGACATACACCAATCCATGCACCCAGACATACACCAATCCATGCACCCAGACATACACCAATCCACGCACCCAGACATACACCAATCCATGCACCCAGACATACACCAATCCATGCACCCAGACATACACCAATCCATGCACCCAGACATACACCAATCCATGCACCCAGACATACACCAATCCATGCACCCAGACATACACCAATCCATGCACCCAGACATACACCAATCCCTGCACCCAGACATACACCAATCCATGCACCCAGACATACACCAATCGTGCACCCAGACATACACCAATCCGATGCACCCAGACATACACCATCCGTGCACCCAGACATACACCAATCCGTGCACCCAGACATACACCAATCCGTGCACCCAGACATACACCAATCCGTGCACCCAGACATACACCAATCCGTGCACCCAGACATACACCAATCCGTGCACCCAGACATACACCAATCTCGTGCACCCAGACATACACCAATCCATACACCCGACATACACATCCGTGCACCCAGACATACACCAATCCGTGCACCCAGACATACACAATCCGTGCACCCAAGACATACACCAATCCGTGCACCCAGACATACACCAATCCGTGCACCCAGACATACACCAATCCGTGCACCCAGACATAACACCAATCCGTGCACCCAGACATACACCAATCCGTGCACCCAGACATACACCAATCCGTGCACCCAGACATACACCAATCCATGCACCCAGACATACACCAATCCTGGCACCCAGACATACACCAATCCGTGCACCCAGACTACACCAATCCGTGCACCCAAGACATACACCAATCCGGGCACACCAGACATGCACCAATCCGTGCACCCAGACATGCACCAATCCGTGCACCCAGACATACACCAATCCATGCACCCAGACATACACCAATCCATGCACCCAGACATACACCAATCCGTGCACCCAGACATACACCAATCCGTGCACCCAGACATACACCAATCCGTGCACCCAGACATACACCAATCCGTGCACCCAGACATGCACCAATCCGTGCACCCAGACATACACCAATCCATGCACCCAGACATACACCAATCCGTGCACCAAGTTATACAATGAGAGATTTTGTCTTTGCCTTCACTGCAATACAAGCCGTGTGTAAAGTGCCCCAGGAATACAGCATTGTGCGAACTACATATCAGCTAATGGGAAGGCATTACAGCAATGTTTCTCGACTCCAGTCCTGGAGAGCAGCCACGCAACACGTGCAGTGGCTCAATCTGCACATGGGCACAAGGGATTGGTAAATCAGGAAGATGCGGACCGCGGGTGGTTCGCGAGGTCTGGAGTGGAGAAACGCTGTCGGAAAGGACACTCATCTCACATCCTGCACGGGAGGAGAGGTGGCACAGCAGTTAGCGCACCGAGCGGGCTGTAAATCGGGCGACCCGAGTTCAATTCACAGCCGTGTAAAACAGTAGCGGCTAGTGACAAATGATCTAAAACTATTAAAAAAATCTATTTTACCAGGTAAGTTCCATTGAGTTTTAAAGCTCTTTTTCAGAAGTGACCCGGCCACAAATGACAGCTCAACAAAGTGGCTTATCATGTCGAAATTTATAGTAGCCAAATACTCTTAAAGCATGTTTCTAAACGTGGAGGGAAAATCAGAGGACCCGGAGAAAAATCCACGCAACCACGGGGAGAACATGCAGACTCCAAATGTACAGGCGTCGGGGCCGGGATCAACCTCGTGTACACCAGGCGAGGTAGTTAAAATCTCGCCACGGTGGCGTTCTGATCTGGTCCCATCCCCTTTTCCTCCACCAACCCTCACAGACCCGCGTGGTGAAAAAAGGTCAAACAACGCCTGTGACTGACACTGCATTTGGCGGGGTGGGGAGACCATCCAGCAGGGGATTGCCAAGGGAAGGGGTGTGGCGGTAAACGGTAAATAAAACATAGCTCTCACCTCCAGAAATTCGACAGGAGCCAAGTAAGTGTAGGCCCGCACGATCTGTAAACACATCTGAATGTTCTCCGAGCCCAGTTCTGCAGACAGCAGGCAGGAGCAAGCGCATGCATCCATTCAGTTTTCGTGGCGCTGTGATAACGTGTGTGCCTCACAGCAAGAGGAACCTGGGTTCAATTACAGCCTCGGGTGTGCCTGTCTATGTGGAGTTTGGATGACATCTTGCTGTGCTGCATGGGCTTCCTCCGGGTTCTTTGGTTTCCTCCCATTATTTAAAAACAAAAAAGCATACGCCGTAACTGGTATTGGCCAAACATCCCAATGCCTAAAGAAATCACCTGCAAATGACTCGATTGTAATTACACGGAGGCATGTCGCCCACTCCTGTGACAAAACTTGGCAGAACCCTTTATATATATATGAAAACAAGTGTAAAGAGACTGCTTGAGGTTTTCCTGGTTAAGCAAACGTAAATAATTAGGACGAGTTAGTCACTTCAGATGGTTCTGTCGTAATCGGCAAAGAGGGTTGGAGAAGCTGTCGAGACGAACGCGACATATCCTGCGAGGGCAAGGTAATTCACGAGGGAGGTCCGTCAATAATAATACCGAGTCATTTAAGGGCATCGGTCAATCACGCAGCGTGGCCTGAGTTGGTGCGGTCATCTAACGCTGGGTTTGCATCGCTCACGGCGCAAGACAGCGAGAAGTGGAAAGGATTAGGCTTTTCCCAAATGCGCCGGTGACACGGGACGGACTAAGTATGGGAGTTTCATGGCCTCAATATCAAATTTCAAATTTGTGAAGGCTCGGAACAGCGTAAACTTTACACTTTTTTTGTCCGATTTATATTCATGAGCCTGCCGTTTGCAATGCACCGGCTTCATTACACTGCCCAAGAGGAACACTATTGGGTTAAATGAAATCAATGGGCACTCTTTCTATGAAATTACAAAAGTAATGATGATGATGATGAATTTAGAGGTGCTAATAAGTTTCCATGCAATCCTGACAATTGATGAGAAATTAAGCAATGAACGCTAGCACACACTCGTATGTGTGCACATACACCGGCCAACCTATAAAACAAATCAGAATGTCATTCAAGTACTGCGCGCATTGCCTCTGCGTACACAGACCGGAGCACGACATTGGCAATGCGTACTTGATTGTACCTATTGTAAGTTTGCTCTCAATTATTACGAACAATAGCCGTCTAACGAGCAGTTAAACACCGGCAGGTGAGCGTTAAAGAAGCGAAGCTGCTGCCTGGGAATACTACGTCAGCAGAGATGTGGCGAACCGAGCATATTACCTATGCAGCATCTGGAATCACCCGCATGCAGCAATACAACATTTTCAAGTTTTGTTGTTGTTATTATATGGATCCTTGCGGTCCAATCGCCGGTTCACGTGGGGGATTTTATTGAGGCCAGGATCAGCCTCACCCCTTTCAGGTTCACTTACAAGAACACTAAAGCTCCTGGTCTTTACAAAAGGGTACAGGTGCAACCTTGCGACTGCTCGCTCACACCACTGCTGGCAGGAGCCTCCACTCTTTAACTGGTGGCCCACAGGTCAAATGCGGCCCACAAATGCTCTCGTAGGGGCCAAACGAGCTACGGCCTTCCTAGGGATACGGCTCGCATCCGGCCAACTGAAAACGCAATAAAGAGAAAACGAACAAAATTATTGAGTCGAATAACGACCCTGAATGTAGAGACTTCGTTAAAATTCTGACAACATTTGATCTGAGAGTTCCTCGGTCAGTTTGAGATTGTTTTTTAATGTCTTGAGGTTCGGGTCTCTCGGTCTGAGTGAGGGTGGGTGGGTGCGAAGCCCGACCCATCGTGCTGAGGACTAGGTCGAGACGGGTGAACGCGTTGTACGATTAGTCGCATCCGCCGAACGCCCGGTGTCCCTGTGGAGAGTGCGGCGTACCAAGGATGGCCGGCATGTTGTGGAAGATGTGCAGCAGCTCGGCTGTGACGGCCGGACTGTTCTCCAGTGTCATCAACCTGGCAGCGCGACAGCAGACGCCATGCCGTGCGTCAACAAGCCACACGCGCCGGCCACGCCATAGCAGCCAAACCCCGAGTGACGGGGTAGGTTCAGTGTTAAGACTGATGAGAATCAAAAAAAGGACTTCACATCATTAATATTCAGTCGGTTCGCATTTTCAGCAATGGCTCTTCATCAGGACCCGTGCAGAAAACCCTCACCCCACTTTGGTGTGAGCGCTGCCATATAGTGCTCCTTGTGAAATGACTGACACATGCCACGTCAATGTAGAAATGTCACGACTGCCCTTCAAGAGGCAAATGGTGGTTGAGCAGCAGAGTGTTACACTCATTTGATCGGAAAACTGATTTTACATTTTGATATCAGCGAGGCTGATGTTTTGCGAAATAAGCCTTCTTTATAGGGCAGACGCCCAGAATGTCACCCAGCTGCATACTTTACGGCTATAAGGCAGCATTAATCACGGGGGGGGTGGGGGGGGGGGGGGGGGGGAGGTGAAAGGTTTTTGCAAGGTCTGTGTTTGTGCGGCAGGGCAGACCTTTCCCTTAATCTCTATTTTAATCCGCTACGCTCGGGAGATGTGCAGAGTCTTAAGAAAAACAAAACTGAGCATTCAACATTTGCTCTCAAAGAATAATTTCCAGCGGATCAGGCCGCGGCGTCTGTTTTATTTTCTCAGCTCGAAATTTAGCCGTAAGACGCAATTCTAATCGTGTTATTAAGATTCTTTAGCGGAACCAAAAAGAAGGGAGACATTTCTTGCGGCGACTAACGAAAAGCGGGAAATGGATGGCCACACGCACATCTCAGTCCCGACGTTATTTATCTCCGCAGCTAATTGTAAAACAGGACGACTTCGCAAACAGACCATAAAACAAACGCATGCATCCGCGAAAACCGACACCCTGCGAAACAAATTCACGAACCTCCGCAAAGAACCAATAGGAATTGTGCGGCGCAAAGCAACAAAAAAAGGTAAAAATAAATTTGCAGTCAAGGCCAGCTCGGGCGACGATCAATCTGGAAGATTTGCAACGCGGCCATGCGGCGGGGAAACATAACCGAAATGCGGCTAATGTTTGGGAGCGCGCTTCAGGAGCGGAAGAGTAATAACGGGGCAAAAAGAGGAGCTCGGCGCTAATTAAATTACGCCCGCATTACCTACAATGTCACTTTAATGCCGTGGTTGTAAGCGCGGCTAATTAATTTGCGGAGGGAAGGCCAAGTGAACGGTTAATATCGCGAGGAGTGCCGAAACCCTAAATAATCAGACCCCCCCACCCCACCGCGGTGCCCACCACCCCCCCCCAGAAACCCGCGCCACAAGCCTTGCGGCTCTTGTGGTCTTTTGATCCCAGCTACACACACTTACTCACCTAGCCAACCACACTCACCCACCCAGCCACACTCACTCACCCACCCAGCCACACTCACTCACCCACCCAGCCACACTCACTCACCCACCCAGCCACACTCACTCACCCACCCAGCCACACTCACTCACCCACCTACTTACTTTCCAGCCACATAGACAAAGATGCCCGCATAGGCTTAACAGACTGTTGGGGCAAGTGCTGTCAGCGAACACCTACGAAGACTGGCACGGCACACGAGGAGGCTAATCGTCACCGGTGTTGGCCGTGAGCGGGAATCGAACTCAGGTCGTCAGGTTCGTAGCGGGCTCACCTACCCAACCACACACATCACGCACTCACCCAAGCCATACGTGCGATCACACCCGCTCAGCCAAGCCATACGTGCAATCACACCCGCTCAGCCAAGCCGCACCTAGCATGCCGATACGCGGCCAGATTGACAGAAGTGATGCGCAAGCGGCGTCAGCGTGCGGGTGACCGCTGGGCGCACGCGCCGACGGTCGAGACAGGTGCCCCCCAAACCCCTCCCCTCCTCCCCACCCCCTACCCCACCCCCACAGCACACGCCGCGCCTAATTTCACAAGTGTCAATCAGCGTTATATCATCAGCTGCAGCTCACCGCCCCCACGGGAACAAGGTCGCCCGCCGAAGCTTGCCTCCCCATGTTAATTACGCCATTAGCAATCCGTCCGGCGAGCGGCCCCGTTCCATACAAAGCCCTCTCGCCCCCCACCCCCCTCCGTTCAGGTGTGACTTACATGTTCCGCTCCAATTAAATTAGCGCAACTAAATAAAAAAAAATTTTTTAGCATTTACTTGCTAGCAAGCAGCGATTTTCAGCAGAGGACGAGAGTTGCTGGAGAGGGCAATGGTGGCCCGACGGGCCGTGGAGGCTGAACGACGGGAGCGGCGGCCGAAGGAGTGGACACGCCCGAGCGGACGTCCGTTGCCGCGACGTCCGCCGCTACCGCGGAGATGGAGGCCAGAACAAATCGGCACGTGTGCGGGAGCCAGGCGGATTGTGGGGTCGTGATACCAAATCGACTCGTGTGTGGGGGACAAGGCGGATCGAGTGCCTCATACATCCGAGTAGCTCAAGTGCTGGATAGAGACACACGTACCAGTCTCGGTAATCACCTCCTATTACTACGGTTGGCTGACTACGTATGATGCGAAAGAAGTTCAACGTACATACAACGTACATACACCTGCGAGGCGAGACAATACGTGCTCCTCTTCACCAACCCGCGATGACCAGCGGTGTATGGTCAAACAACCATCCACACCTCCCCCCCCCCCCTCCCGTCCATCCACAACCAACGCACCTAAAATGACTCAACACAAATGTACTATGGATTGGACCAATCAGAGTTATTTCTCCTGCTTCTCAAAGGAAACCCGGTAATTGTGTCCCAGGCAGATCCAGCGCCAGCACTGGGCCCCCCCTTTCTCTGCGCCGAGAGCATAATTGACCCGACTGTTTGCTTAGAAGGGGAGGCAAGAGCATACACGCGCAGGATATTTAACCAAATGCCGGCCTAATACTGTGTCTACAAACCGGGGCTCCTGTTTCTCTCTTAAATATCACGTGCTCGCACGCGCGCAGGCCAGAACGCCAATACCACCGCCGCCACCAGCGAGTAAAAAAGCATTGGAACAGCTGCGCTGCGTGACCTACGCGTATTAAACGTGCCGATAATATTCTTCCGAACAAACACGCACAATTTTACTTTAGCGCGGCGTGCGCAGCCCGTGCGTGTGTGTGTACACATGTGTAATAATTTTTAAAAGACGAAAATAGCAACTTAATTAAAAGCGGTTCTAATTTGGCCAGCGTCTTAATATTAAATTGTTATCGCCAGGGTCCATCAGGTTAGGCTTAATGAATGAGGAAAGAATCGTTTGCCAATGAAGGTCTTGGTGCGTACACAATAAACTATGACCTACGCTTACTGTAAATGTGTACGTATTAATGAGCAATAATAAAGCAACTACAAACCGCACTTATTAACCAAGACACTGTATTTCCACGCGAAAAAAAATCCTTCGACACCACGACCATCAATTTAAATGGCTACGGCAATCCAGATTATAATAAGTGTTAAGAGTTAATAAACGGGCTCATTTGGATCTCCGCTACAAGCCAAATTAAACTGATTTATAATAAGGTGTGGAACAATTCACGTCCGTGATTTGATTCAGGGAATTGATTCCCATTTATTTTTGGACAACGTGGCGAATGGCAGCGCCTCCTAGTTAGTGGCTGCAGCGGTGATGTTAACCCATAACATAAAACATATATGTAAATATCCCGATAATAGTGGAATCCTGCTGAAAATAAAAATTGTCTCCAGAACTCGGTGAGTTTTTCCTGGATAGGCCGAGATGTTACGGTTGCCAAAACCGGTGATTCCACCACCACATCTCGCCAACACTTTCTGCTACCCTCTACCAGATCCCGCCGTCGGTGCACGGTTCAAGCACGACCGCCAAGCAACACTAACATTATTACAATTTTCATTACCATTAAAGAGATTACACATTATTACGCGTGCAGTGGGCAATGCGAGCACACACAAATAAAATGCAACGCACAGAACAAATAAAATAATGAACCCACTTACTTAAGATTTTAATAATACACGGGCCAAAAGGCGAGCAAACGACAGCTTGCCGCCTAAGCCCACCGCACTAATAGGCGCGAGATTACAGCTTTACTATTTAATTTGGTAAATATTTATGAGATGATTTGCAATGCATGCTCTCTCCTGTGCCCGCCATCCACGGATCCCCGCGCGTGCGATGCCATCCCATTAAAAACCAAAGGAGCTCTCGTAAACGAGCGTTTTCAGTCATTAAAAAAAGAATAAAAAGAACGCAACCTTCAGGATGACTTCGTCCCCAGATGTCCCGTTCGTGAATGTCATCAGGACTCCTCCACAATTAATCATGCGCTGACCTTCACGCAACGGTGGGCAACCAAAAACCACAGGTGCTGCAAGGAGATTTTATGAATCGTAAAAATCTGACGTTTTCTCCATTATGTTCCAAACGACCGGATTAGTTGACCCATGGGTGAGAGATGGCATATCAATGTTTTATTTTTATATTTTATTTTCATCGCAAGGAACAATTCCATTAACGCTATTATTACAGGAGATTTGTCCGTGACCAAATCAGCAATAGTGGAGCCTGGTTAGTACTTATATGGGAGACTGCCTGGAAATACCAGGTGTTGAAGGCTTGCACTGCGAGTTGGTCAGTTTTTTGACAAAACGAATCAATGAAACCCATCTGTGCGGAGCTCTGAGTCTCATCACCCTCGTATGTGTGGTGGGATTTGTGCAGTTCTCTTCCCACACAAAGCCAACGATCATGAAAATAATTTTGCAAACATCCCAATGTAGCAGGATCGTCATGAACAAAAAAAGTCGGTAAACTAGGAAAACCATTACTTTTCTGCAAACAATCTGGAAGGACTCGAATATTAGAGTTCAGAAATTATTCAAGAATATAACCAAACGTAACCACGTATATATTCTAAAACAAACATAGGTGCGCAATTTTGAAATGTAGGTTGCAATTGAAAGAAAAAAGCTTAAAATTACGTGAGAAAAAAATATCTCCCTAGTGAACAACGTTCGTGATCATCTTTTTTTTTACGAAGCAACAACATCTCAATCACCGACAAAACAAGGCAAACCGCCAATCAGCGTTTTTTTCTTGGGCCGAATTTGTCCGGATGGGAATCTGCGCTAAAAATGCTACGCAAAATTTTTTTTTTTTTTTAAACTTCATCGGCCAACATTCTTGTCCCTTCTGGTAGTGGGAGAAATAATAAAAAAAGCGAACTGCCAAAGATGTTCCACGTACATCGCTCTGCGTCACGGTGAGCGCGCACGCACCAACACGCGGCAGATTGCGGCAGCCACCGCCGCTGTGGGCGGCCACGGCATGCGGCCGGGAAACGCGGCTTCAATTAACGCAACACGCCGGGCTGCGTCACCCCAAATGTACCAGGAGTTATTTATTTTATTTCTGTTAGCGAGGCATAAGCTGATTGATGTTGTATGGTAGAGGGAGGGAGGGGGGGTGGGGGGGAGCAGCAATCACGCGGTTAATCAAGAAAGAAGCTACACCCCGGCCAGGTACAACAACACATGCCACTTCTGACCTCCCCGCATACTGATCCGGCGCATGCCGATAAATCACATGACCACCACTACTACCGCTGCGTAGGTTTTTTCGCGGTTTTGCTCGCTGATGTGCTTTCGGATCGTGCCGTGCGCGCGTTGTTTCACAGCAGGACTTTGGACATTTCAGTCGAACATGCTGGACAGCTTTCACAGCCCGCGCGGCGAATCATTGGACATCGTGCCGATCGGTGCGCGGCACCGACTCGAAGGCACGAAGGAGAACGATCAATCAAATTACTTGAATGGCAACAAACGGCAGCCTTGCCGGGATAAAACCGACAAATGGGAGGCGGGTTGAGGGTGCGTGCAGGGCGGTCGCTGACGAAACAGACGTACGGAGATGGTGCTCTTACCAAAGCTCGAGCCCGTCCTCGAGCAGATAGACGTGGGGGGGCTTCGAGATGTCCGTGCTGAGCTGAATGACGGGCAGCAGGAACGGGTAGAGGCCCACACTGTCCGCACCCAGGCCCTTGCGAGACGAGACAACGCAGACGAAACCCAGCGGCGCTGGCACCAACGCGAGGTCCGTAATGGACGGTGGGAATCGTATTCTTGGTTTCTTTCGGTAAAGTCACCACGTAGAAGGGAAACAATAAAATAATAAAAATATGAAACATAAAATTCTCACGACGTTTCGACTGCAAGACAAGCAATCATCATCAGGTGTGAAAACCACAACAATAAAATTTGAAGAAAGTGACGGTTTTTTGTTCTTCAAATCTTCTTGAGGTTTTCACACCTGATGATGATTGCTTGTGTTGCAGTCGAAACGTCGTGAGAATTTTATTGTTTTATATTTTTATTATTTTATTGTTTCCCTTCTACATGAGTTTACCGAAAGAACCAAGAATATGAATCCCTGCAGTTACGAAAGCTTTAAATCAAAATTTGGACGGTGGGAAGCGAGAGGAAAGCCCATGTTTTGCTTGTTCTCCCCGCGGCCAAGAAAATTCCGTGCCGTCATCTCCCCCCCCCCCCCCCCCCCCCCCCCCCCCCCCCCACGAGCTCTTCGAACGTTGCCCTCGCTCAAGTCAAAAAACGTGTTCAAACGCTTAACTGTCACAAACTTTGATAGGGCTGTGCTTTGCTGGCTGTGCTCAGCATCTATCGATTCCTAAAAATAAAAACTGCAGTTCATAAACTCAATTTATGAGAGCCCACCGACAACTACTGAGAACGAGAAACATTAATTGTCGTCCCAAGTGAAAGGTCACAGAATGGAAGTATTTGTTTTTTGTTACAGCGAAGTATTAAGTGAAAATGACTTAGGGGCGTGCTGAGATGTTAGTGAGATGAATTACGCAGGTGGGGCAGCTTAACCTACCCAGATCCGGAAGATTATTTATGTTCTCTATTGTGCAGAAGTTATTTAATTTCTCCTGTGATGTACATATTAAGGTCAAGGTTAATAGGTCATCACGGTCGACATGACCTCATCATCACTTTCCTTCGTTCCACTGGATCCCATCGCAATTGCAAAACGAATGTGCCATCTTATCTTTACTCTGAGTATTTATTGCACCCTTGCCAGAGACTTCTGCTGCCCAATGGACTATTAAAAAAAAAAACATTGTGCTTTAGGTACCCGTTGGCGCTTGCCAATGAGGGCTGCCGTGATATTAACCTACACGATACCAACAATATCACAACATGACGCTGATGATATTATCAGCTTCACATGAATCTGTAGTTGTATTTTGCATTCTTTTTTGTATTTTGTCTTTGTTCTTTGTTTTGCTTGAGCTCAAGCAAGGAATAAAGATTTACTTAAAAAACTACTTACATTTTGCCAGATAAGGCCCACAAAGGCATACAGCTCTTTTTCAGAAGCCGACCTGCCCACAAATTATAGCTCAACAAAGCGGCTTACCTTGTCTAAATGTATACCAGCCAAATACTACAAATGTAGAGAAAGAAAAAAAAACCAGAGGACCTGAAGAAAAATAGACACTCCAAACCAAATATACAGGCATCGTCGGGGTCAGCATCAAACCCACGACCTTCTGTATACTCGACGAGGTAGTTAACATCTCGATACCATTGTATCGTCCCTGGAGGGACAAAATAAGGGCTGAAGTCATCGCCCCCTCCCCCTTTCCCAAAGGTTGTTGAGCACAGGCCCAAAGGCCCAAAAACGCCAACAGGCCAGCAACAAACAGCACTACTTATGCAGTAATAGCTAAGGGCGAATACGCTTTCCTGGAACCGAACAAGGTGGTAAAAGTGCTTTAGTGAGATGACGGGATTTCAGTTCCAAATTATTGCGGGCAGTGCGAGGGGAGAAGAGAAGGGCTGCGAGAGGCAGGGAGGGCGAGCGGAAGGGCGAGCGAGCGAGCGGGCGGCATGCTCACCTGCACCAAGTTGATGAGGGTGGTGAGGATGGCACAGCGAAGCATGTTGTGCTCCTCAGACTGCTTCCACAGCACCGGCAAGTACTGCACAAGCGAGCCCGAATGCGGCCTTATCTGTGTAACAAAGACAAAGATCCCCCCCCGTGTAGCCTCTTAACACACTATTGGGGCAAGTTCTGTTAAGCGAGCACCTATGGACGGCCGGCACGGTGCAGGAAGGGGTGGGTGGCCAAGACCATGCCTGGCCCGCTTCGTCTCCCCGGTGCTGATGTTTACACACCGCACCAGGTGCTTACTTGAGGCCGAGTCAACTTAGGGGATTGTCCAGGACCATTTCAACATTCGCCGCTGTTATTGGTTCGCGAGCGAGAAACGAACTTGGGTCGCTGGATTTGTAGCCCGGTGCGTTAAACCACGACGCTTACTGCTGCCCGCATCCGTCTAACGCAGGCACAGACAGCCACTGCGCTCCGAAGCGAGCAGCTTCATTTAACAACGTCAGACATCGGTTTATTCGAAAGGAGAGGGAGCACCTGGGAGCCGACCCGCTCGATGACGCAGGACGTGACATTCAGGACGTGCATCTTTGAGTCGCAGTCGGAGACGCTCTGCAGCAGCTGGAAGAGCAGGCTGAAGATGGACTCGAGGTACTGACCGGGAGACAAGCGCGGATGGTCAGCGCGAAGAGAGCAGTCACGTCGATACACTGCACCGCGCGCACCGCGGAAAACGACGAGCCGCTCGCAAATATCGAGCCCGGCGATGCTCGGGATAAATTGTCACGATTCCGGATCGCGATTCGTCTTGACAAAGCAATTGTTTCGGCTCGTTTTTTGCCGATGACGTTCCACAATTCTTACAACAGCCTGAAATGCAACGCGACCGCATGATTACCATACTTTGTAAATGTCCCAATTCTTTCTGACTTGCCATTCAATGCGTGTCAGAAGCTTAACAAATCGATTTTAATCGATAAACAAACAGTTAAATACCCGGTCATCTCAGACCGGCTCGATGCCGAGTGTGCACGAGTATTATTAAGATGTCCCAAATATAACCCTTGAGAAGGGCTTGAGAAAGCACGGATGATGGTGAAGGTTCGGCCGGTTTTATGCAACCGAGATAATTACACGGGCTTAATTAAGAATGTCCATGTGTGTGTGTGGGGCTCACTGAGATTGCTGGGGATTCACTGCCGGTAAGTTAAGTGGAGCGCCGCGAGTGTGGGGGGTGGAGGGGGTTTGAGCTGAGACCCTGAGTGGCGAAAGTTCTCACGGGCTTTTACTTACAGGCGTGAACTGTTCGGTCTTGAAGTCAAAATCATCCACAGGTATGAGGCTCGTCAAGAAAAAAAAACGGAGACACTGTACATGAGCGGTACTGCCTGCGATGCTTCTCGCAAGTGAAACAAGTCGACGTGCTTTCCTGCCACGAACCAGCGGTGTGAAGATTCCACATTCCTATGGCAGGGGGACGAGTCGATCCACGTGACAAGTGGCGGCTTCCCACAAAGGGGTGGCGATTTGGCGAACTCTGGTTGAATGAAGGCCCGACTGCAAAACCAACCCGGGGATTTAAACTCTCAACCTACTAACTGCGAGTCGGACTCCCCATCCAGTGCAGGCTTCTGGCGACGGTGCAAACCAGGGGTGGGGAACCTAACACAGCACTAAGGGCCGAATGCGACCTTCAAAACACCGTTGGCAGGCCGCTCGTGAACGCACAGCCCGATCACGTCTATCACGGGGCGCACTAACAGGAGGGCTTTCGCGAACAATGTTAAGATTCACGGCTCATGTTTGCGGTCAGTTCGGTCGCGTTATTAAAATGCGCGTCGAGCACCCCCCTCTACATGACGCGGCCAATTAATAAAGTCATGACGTGATGAACAAACACGCCAATTCATGACTTGCTTCAGCGCCACCGGTGTTGAGCAGCAACCTGTGACACATCGTGCCCGGTTAAGCGTTGTGCGGATCGCTCTCCAAACAACACACCGGTGGGCGCTGTTGAAGCGGTAAAAATTTGGTCAAGTTTGGTCAACACGTGACGTTACCGATTGGCTCTGTTGGGTAGAGTGTTTTTTTTTAATGATGCAACATTTTACTCACACGGCGATCTGACCCCAAAAAATAAATTACGAATCAAGTGTTGTCAGGTCTAAAATATTTCCCCTATCCACGGCACTCCTGCATAAACGTGCGAAATCACCCCCCGATTATCCACGCGAAAAAAAACCTTGTACCTTTAGAACCTTTAGGGAGATAAGTTCACCCAGAAGTGGTGGCTAAATTCACCTTATTATGCATGGTTTATTGGAGCTGTACCACATAGATAACACAGGGGTTAATTGTGTGGGAAAAACACAGATGAGAGCATCCAACTCTTAATTAAGAAAAATGTCACTCGTGTTTTTGTTTGCCCACAGGCGTTTTTAATATTTGGCTCTCTCGTGTTAAGGATAACGATCTTTCAATTAATTAAGTTAAAAAAACTGCAGCTTTGTCAATCCACTGCTGGATAAAGGCATCCCCCCAGCAACACCTCGCCGTGGTGGCGAGATGTTAAATACCTCGCCTGGTATGCAGGAGTTCGATCCTGACCCCGACGCTTTCTGTATATTCGGAGTCCACGTGTTCTCCCCGTGCTCGCGTGGATTTTTCTCCAGGCCCCCCGGTTATTCCCTCCACATTTAGAAATATGCATTTAGAGTATTTGGCTGCAATAGATTTCCACATCATAAGCCACTTTGTGGAGGTATCATTTGTGTTCTCCAGGTCGCTTCGGAAAGAGAGCTTTATAAGCTCAGTGGGCCTTACTCGGTAAAATAAAAAATAGTGTTAATAGTTTTTGTTAGTTTAGCAGTAAATATATAATGGGTGTAATCGCTTTAAGAAGGATATAAAGTTTGAGGGTGGTCGCCGCTGCCAGCCGAACCTGCGAAAGAGATAAACACCGTTACAGTCAGGGCCGCGCTTCGATTTGCCGGACAGTATGTTCCTAAAACCAATGAGAGCCAAACCTTCTCGTGCTTTCATGTGGCAAGGTGAAATGAGCAAAGTTATATACGTGTGTGTGTGTATTGAGGTGATTAAACTTTTCAATAGCCTCTGCAGAGGCTTGGTGGATGTCAGTGACGTTGCCGCGAATCGATGATGCGTTATATAATATAAACTTTATCTGTTTTATAAAATTTTTGTGATATTCTTTGCACTCCTATCGTTTGTGTATTGTTTGCTGGACCTTTCTGATCCACCCCTATTGGACATATGTGAAAAGAGCTTCATAGTTCATCGCATTTCTCCGTGAGAAACAAATCAAGATTCTGATGGTCTTACGTAGCTGTAATACTTAATTGGCAGAGAGCGTGATTCTGTGTGGCTCATACTTAGCAAACTGCATTTGCTTTGTTGAATTGCATCTTTTTCCTTCCTTTACTTTGTTCCCTATTCCTGTAGACACGTGAAGCACATGTACCGAAACTCGCCGTTTGTATCGCGACCTATGTAACCATGATTGTGTAAACTAATATCTGTATCGTCACAGAACGCCCATGAAATACAACCCAACAGCTTATTGGGGCCCTTCCTGTTGAAATAAATAAAATCTATCAATCAATCTATATACTCAGAATTTTTATTCCCTGCTGCACTCACCCAACCCCAATGAAGCGTACGTGATCTGCATTAACTTCAGCAGCGCTACTTCTCCGCCACGATGGAAAAGTTCCCAAGGAAGAGTGTGTGTGAAAACACCCCAAGGACCAGAGGCCAAGAAAATATTTTAATGTCAATTTTACTAGTGAAGCAAAAATACGTACACGCTGGCTGCACGGATCAGTGTTGCGTTCAAGGTGTCTGTGCCAATATGTCAGAGGTTTTCACGCACGGGACAGAATCATGGCTGGCAGTGACCGAGACCAGGACCAGGCCGGTTCCAGATAGGTGGGATGGGTGCATTAACTCATGCCGCACGCTGTACTTGAAACCAACAGCACAGAGCTGCTCACCCATGATAAAGTTGGGCTGATTGGACTGCCAAATGATTGCGCTGGCATAGAGCATGAGAATACTGTTTGAGATCAATCATGTTCAGTTTTGTTGCCAGAAAAAAGGGGAAAAACCCTATTATTACATTTTGGTACTGGCAAAGGAGGTCTAATGATGTAGATGCGCACCCCGAGCCCTCATTACTTTGATAGTGCATTGTCTTTGAGCTGTACGCCTTTTGGCGTCATCTGGTCGAGCACCAATTGGGTCGAGGCTCAAAAGAAAGCTGTCCCTTGGTGTGGACCAATCAGTTTCAAGGACAATGCATATATTATCATAGTATGTTTTTTGTTTGCATTTTGACTGCAGGTATTGTGGTTAATGCAGACATGAATCCTCGTAAAAAGGTTTCAATTTTGTTGCCAGAAAAAAGGGGAAAAACCATATTATTTAACGACATATACATTCGGTGATGCTGTGCACGTGCACCACCTTGCGTCAGAAATGGCTCCACGAAATATGTACAATAATTATTTACCCAGGAAAGCCAGCAATAGAATTACTAATTAAAATGGTAAATCCACACAACTGAAATATGCTGAAATTTTGTTAAATATCCAATACAATGCGATAGGTTTCCTTTTTTTGGTGCAGTAATTGGCGATCGGGCTGAGACCAGCAAATTGCTATGCTTGAAAACACGGTTTCATCAGGGGTGGCTGGAGCTTAGAATCGATCCCAGGATCTCAGCAGTGTGCCGGCTCAGTGCTCCGACACTTTATACCGTGCGCCAATTCGGTGGCAAGAGAACACAAATCCCACGCACGTCGCTGCAAGTGAAAGTCTCTTCCGCATTTACTTGCCCAAGCACTGCTTAGCCTAGCCAGAGCAAAGCTAAACATCAACAACAAGTCGACCTTCATCGGCATCTCACGCAAACCAGACGCTGAAACGCCCCCCAAGATAATTACAAGTCAACACCGTGTGCCAAGTGCCGACAGCGATAGAGCACGCCGGGTGCCCCGATTGAATAGCGCGCCTTGCAAGGGGGCGCGGGCAAACAGCCCTCATTAAGACAACCGGGGGACACGCAGCACAGCAGGGAACCGGGAAAAGCAATCACGTCTGACGGGGGCGGCGCAACGCGCCATCCGGGAGTTCATTATCTGCCAGGTCGGCCACCTTGGAAGCGGCGGGGGGGTGGGGGGGGGTGTGTGAGATCGCGTTAAGAGGTAACCAAGCGGATTAAATGCGAGAGCGTTGATCGCATAGTCGTAGGTTCCGGCGCCAATCGAACGCAGCCATAGCAGCGAAGGAGAAGCAGCCGCACCACGCCCCTGCCGCAGCTAGCAGTGCCGCGGCTGCCACAGCTGCCGCCACTGACCGGGCACCTCGCGCCCAAGCTGACGACAGGAACAAAGCCGGCCTACATGTATGGGCAAGAATATATATTTTTTTCTTGGCAATATAATCCACCGATATAAAACTGCACAACGCGATTGAAGCGAAGACTCACAAGGGTTCATCCTCTACTGCCCCGGTCGCTACTTACATTACGCAGAGTACGGGGGCAATCCGCGAGGTTTCACCACCACGAACGATAACGAACGTTCATTTCACACGTAGCAGACTTTCGCCACCGATATCATGATTAATGGCTGATTTTTGGGTCAGATGGCACAAGTGATTATGAATCATGATGGAAGGTCACAGTGAAACATTTCAGAAAATGTATTGGTTTGACCTTGGTCCAAGATTATACATTGCACATAGAGGGTTCTCTTCTTAAATACCATAAATCCCTAGTTCCTGGGGGTCACAATGAGTCCTTCCTGAGGGCAATGAAAATTACCCTCAATTAAGTGCTGTGACCAACTCGGTAAAGCAGAGGCATACCCATAATCAAGGACCCTCTTGAATGAATAACAGCAGTCTGGAGACCCAGTCGAGGCTTTCCTGGGTAATTTAAATGGGTGTAGCAACTCGCCACCTGCTCCACGATTCAAGGCTTTTTCACTTGATGGGTCTGCAATTCTAGTGACCACATGTGAGGGAGGGGGGGGGGGGTTACGTGAACCAAATAATACACAGCGGCATATTAAAAAAAATGATGAAAATGATGTATTCATACATAGATAATCCGATGCAGGTTATCACGAGCATAACATTTTTAATTGACGAATCGATCAGTAAACTTAGCTTGGCGGTACGTGGCAGATTGTGCAACAGGCCACGGTAGGGAAAGCGGGGGGGGGGGGGGGGGGGGGGGCGGTGACGCACCACTAGGTCGGCATCCTGCAGCAGGGAAAGCAGCGCCTGGTAGAGGACTGGCCTCAGCTCCTGCTTGAACTTCACCGCGACCCACTGGCCCACCAGCCAGATGACCCGCCTGCGGATCAGCCGGTACCTGCACCAGCAACGGCCACGCGGCGAGGTGAAAGCCACACGAAGCGCAATCCGTGGACCATTTTTTTTTTTAATTTACTTACTTCACACGTCATTTTTTTCGTGGGCCACTAATTACGATTCGTGATCGATTTTGTTTTGAGCGTGGGCCGTGCAACAATCTGGTCGATTTGTGTCCTAAGACCATCCACCACCCAACATAGTCAAACAAATTAAATCGTCACGTGTGGAAGCATAGAAAGCACCAATTATTTGGTATTCACCTCGCTTACTGGGTGAGTCGATGAACAATCCTCGCAAACCAATTTATCAATGAGATACGCCAAGCTTTGCTTGAAACGTTAAGCACCTTCAGGAACAAACTGTGTTGCGGCAGAGTTTGGTGGGGAGGGATCTGAAGAGGCCACAGCACAGAGGGAGCTGCAGTAGCCAAGATGCAAGGCGATTTAAGGCATTTATTCTTCCCTTGTTAATATTTTAATTCAACGGGAGGAGAGAATTGGCAGGTCTTATATAACTCACCTCGAGTCCTTCACCTGCAGCTCGACGACGAGCTGGTTTCTGAACCATTCATCAAAGTCCACGGTGTCAAAGAGCTCGTACGCAGCCAGGCCAACCGCGTTGTAAACTGGAGACAGTGCGTGGACAACCAGGGATTGATGCAGCACACCATTTGTTATTTTTTTACCAGGAAAGGCTCACTTGAGCTATATAGCTCTTTTTCAGAAGCGACCTGGCCACAACCGCACGTTTCTAAATGCGAAGGGAAAAAAGGACCCGGAGAAAAATCAACCGGGAGAACATGCAATCTCCAAATATACAGGAGCAGCAGGCGTCAGGGTCGGGATCGAACCCACGACCTCCTGAATACCAGGTGAGGTAGTTAACATCTCCTAGCCACCGTGGCACCCCTCACACAACAGGACAGGGCGTCAGTGGGAACGCAACCACACCTCAAAGAAAGAAGCAAGCTAGCGATAACAACTCTTAGAATCCTGGGTCGCAATTCAATTCAGGAGTCCCAATCCTCTTTATACCAATTTGGGGAATGTTTGAGCCTTTAACGGCTACACAGCGTGTTTCTCAATTACATATAACCTACATAAGGCAATGTAGATTTACGTGGCATCTAAATGTCACTGCATCTATATAGAAGCATATCTTGTAGAGAGGCAAAGGCAGTAAGTGGTAGGCAGAAGATTACAAGGAAAGTCTGGAGTCTGAACTTGAAGAGGGGCAGTCGACAGCATGAATGGCTACACATTTCAATACACACATCTGTCGTTATCCTATAAATCAACTGTAACAATGCATCCCTATTCACCTATAGGTCATATACAAAGATGCCCTATACAGCCTGAACAGCCTTTTTATGGCGAGTGCTGTTAGCGACTAGTATTAAGGTCAGCACGGCACGTGATGGGGTGGGGTGGCCAGCTCCATATCCGAGTGCATTTTACTTGGTACTTAGATAAGTGTCACTGGTGGTGGCTGTGATTGGGAATATAACCCGGGTCACTGGGTTCGTTGTGCAGAGGGGCTAACCACTGCACTAAACGCTCCCGACTGTGCCATACAAAGGGAACAGTCGTACCTTAAAGGACTATACAACCTCAAAAAACAGAGAGCTCTTTATACGTACGTACGCACATTCATAACTAGACTGTGTCCCATACAAAGTCTGAATCTTTATGTCTGCCAAACTTTTTAATCCATCGCTGCGGAGACTTTTCTTGCACAATACAGCGGAGTAATTTGTTCCCCGTTAACGAGCCTTCAAACTCACGTCGCACACAGCGCGGGAGGGCACAACCTATGTGCATTTGTACCTACAAGATAAGAGATGTTTGTTTCTTCAGGGGCTAAATCTTACTTTAAAGCTGCCGCTAATTTCCAATCTAAAAGCGCCCACCGAACGGTGATACATTTCGCGTTCACTTATTGCTACGTTGGTGCCGTGTAAAGCGGCCAGATATGGGAAAAAAAAATATTCTATATGCTAAAATCAAAACGTGCAATGCCGTGCGGCATGCTGACAACAAAAAAAAAGCACGCCACCAGCAATCAGATGCTGCTGTGGTGTGGCGGCTAGCACGCTAGATTTGCCGCGGTTGAAACAACGGAAGAAGTTTCTTAAGTCCGTATGTATGTTAAACTGCTAATCAGAGGTGTGGGTGAAGGACAACAAACTAAACAAAAAAAAGCAGTTCCAAAGAAATTAGTTTTCAGTTTAACATTGTGGTGTAGTGTGTGACATAGAAGTTTAGTGTATAGTAGTGGTGTGTTGTGTAATGTATAATGTAGTGTATAGTAGTGGAGTGTATAGACTCGCAGAGACGCACGTGTGTATGTTGAACTTCTTTCGCACCGTATGTGGCCAACCGCGTTAATCGGAGGTGCCGGGGAAGGACAAGAAACTAAACACAATAAAGTATGAGTTTGATCGTCAAGCCGTGCGTGGTGGAGCTGTGCCGATAAACTCCTGCCCTCTCCAAAACGTCTGGCCACCAAGGAAAAGGAGTCCAAGGTACCCTCCTGTCCGAGGGCCTCCTCCTTCCCTCCACTCGACGCCCTTACGCCGGGCAGTGGCGTGAGCGAGTCATAGCAGCGCTGCACCTTTACTTTGAATGGTCCAGAGCAGATGACTCCTGGCCATACTTTTCCACTGGAATATAGTGTGGGGGATGAAAATGGAGCCCTCCCAACGGATGACAAGCCCCCCCCCCCCCCCCCAAAACTCATACAGACCTCCTCATCCCCCCCCCCCCGCTAAATATAGCGCGGAGCCACGGCGATGAATTGCCGATGCGTTATTTAGTACCCACCTGCATCTTTAATAAATAACCCCACGGAATCCTCCTGGCTGGTGGGGACTGCAAAGAGAGAAAGACGGAGACATAAATAAATAAACAAGGCCTCCCGGAGTAAAAACAAAGCCGCTCAGAGCCCTCTATTCAATATCCTCCTTTTTAATTCTATCCGACAAACAACGCACACATGCAAGCGCACAAGCAAGATAGCACTGGGATTAAAACAATTGCGAACTGAAGTGTCCATGACATGATTTGCCAGTAAATGCAATTTTTAGTAGAAATAACATTTATTTTTCTATTCAATAGCTAAAATATATATGCTGGGGGAAAAAAAGTTCTTTATAAACCCGAGCTAACACCCAATTTATATGCAAATAGCAGTGTTTTATTGGCAAAGGGAGGATCACAATTATAATGTGACTTGTATTTCCCTACGCCGCATGATCAGACCACAGTTCTACTGAGCCAGCAGTGTTTAAATTCAGTCCTTGGTGTTGCTGCAAACCGAGCAGAAACACAAAAGGCAATAATCCCACAACCGTGCACCCTTTTGGACTTACTGAACCGCAACGGCACACAACCGGGGGGTGGTGGTGGGTGTAGCCAGCACCAAGTCAAGCCGTCGGTGCCGATGTACACCCACACCACCAGATTTCTCATGTAAGGTCGAGTAGTCGTCTTTGGTGAGACACGCAACTGGTTTAGATACGGCTCGCTGCCGGTGTTAGCCGTGGCCGGGAATTGAACGCGGGTCCGATGGGATCATGGTGCAGTGCGTTAACGTACTGGGACACCAAAAACAAATCCCGATAAAGATTCCTTGTTTAGCCTTTAACAGACCGTCTGTGGGAAAGTGCTGCTGGTGAGCAGCACCTATAAAGGCCAGCAAGGCATATGAAGATGTGGATAGACAGCACCACGCCCGGCCAGCCTCTGTCTCCCCAATGCTTATGCTAACATACAGCTGGGTCACCGCTCAACACAAATACAAAGATCCCCCGTATAGCTTTAACAGACTGTTGGCACAAGTGCTGTCAGCGAGCACCTATGAAAGTCTAAACGGTACACGAGGGGGTGGGCGGCCAGCACCACGCCCAACCGCCTTTGTCTTCCCAGTGGCGATGTTTACACACCGCACAAGGTTCTAAATTGAGGCTGAGTCGACCTAGGGCAGGCCCAGGACCAGTTCAGATAATCGTCACTGATGTTGGCCGTGAGCGGGAATCGAACCCGGGTCGCCAGATTCATAGCGCAGCGTACTAACCGCAACACTACAGCATACACCCAAACACGCAAGCTTATGCATACCTCAGCTTTCATCTGCTCAGCTTGCATTTACACAAGAATGTTTTTTTTTTTCTGCAATATAAATCACATTTTTAAGCAAACCAGGAATTAAGTCGGCCAAATTAAATGTAGAACTTAATTAATTGATGCTGGAAATTAGATTGTAATTCACAAGCAATTGCTGTGGGAAGCAAGTCTATCTCCCCTTGTTGGTTCTTCCTGGGCAGGTAAACAATTCACCCCACCAACTTCTCACTAATTAGACGAAACTTTGTGATTCAAGAATCAATTATTTGTTTTAATGTAACAAGCTGCCTCTAGTCGCTTGTAAGAGGTCACCAGAAGCCACTGCACACAACAGAGACCACATTGTTTACAGCCACAATTCGAAGCACGTATCGTGACCGTGAGAATCTATTTAAATCGTCACGTCGTGGTCCTTCACCTTGGAGTGCGTGCAGCATTTCCAGGAGAACGGGGGTCAGCGTTTCACTGTACTCGTGGAAAATGTCAAGGAAGAGGACCTCAGTGCAGGGCTGGTGGGAAAGCACAGACAGGTGAGGCATTCAGATCATCGTCGTCGTCATTATCGTCACCATCATCACAATTGTTATCATTATCTGCATCGTCACCCGCTCCCAAAAATTCTGAGTGCTCTCAGAAGACCCCCCCCCCCCAATTATAGAGCAGCTCTCTGAAAGACAATGCTACGCATGAGTGGGTGGCTCAGAGGTCAAAGCACTGGGTCACCACTGATCCTGGGTTGGAAGCTGGGTTCCAATCAGCAATTAAACCGGGTTCTCAAGAGTAGCGCGTTCAATCTCAGTTCTGTTTAAACAGGCTAGACCCCTCAAGAGACGAGGATTATAAGCACGCTCATTAATTGGCTGAAAACATCTTAATGCATGCGCTTTCTTTCCGTAGCGGATCGCACAGTGTTTACGTGGTGCAGTCACATGAATGACGCTATTATATAAAAACAAAATTTTATTTTTTCAAGAGCTAACTGCAATTTTGATGGTCTCTTGCCACGCCACCAACGACTGCATCATAGGAAAGAAAACGTGACGTTGCTTCTGTTGTGTGCGATGGGTTTAACCAACGCTCGCCAGCACTAGAAAATCAGTGACTCATGAGGAAGTTGAAAGAAAAAAAGATCGAACCCCGGCCGGAATGCCAATTGCTGAATCGTTACAACTCAATATAATCGTTGGCAGGGAGCGAGGGTGAATTTATTCCAACCCCACTGATTAGTTCATAGTTCATAGTTCCATTTATTTGGTATAGATAGCCCTTTGAGCCATTCGGCTCTTGAATCGGGTGCAACCGCAACAAACAAAAACATGAACAAGAAAACATCTTAAAGTGATTATGTGACTGTGCAAACAGAAAATCCAGGGGAAAAAAACATCAAAATATTCCTGATTAACCCAGGAAAGCCAGACTGAGTCGCATGACTCTTTGTCCAGGAGGGTCCTGCTACAATGGGATGTTTAAACACCATTTACAATGTATGTGGGAGAAAACAGGAGAAATCTGGTGGAGACCATGCAGAATAAGGGGAGATGATACAAATTCTGTTATAAAGGTGCCAGAGTCTGGAATCAATCCCAGGTCATTCTCGCTGCGGGTGCTTTCCGCAGCGCTGCCATCCTGCCGCCCCACAATGTGCACGCCTATGCATGTGGGTGGCTGTATGGATGTGTGGGGGGCAGTGGTGCAGTGGTTAGTTAGCGTCCTGCGCAAACGAACCCAGTGACCCGGGTTCGATTTCCGCTCACGACCAATAACAGTGGCCAATATTTTAATATGTCCTGGGCTTCCCCGAGGTCGATTCAACCTTAAATTAGTACCTGTTGTGGTGTGTAAATATCAGCACTGGGGAGACCCACCCCCTCATGTGCTATGCCGGCCTTCATAGGTACATGCAAACAGCACTTGCCCCAACCGTCTGTTAAAGGCATTCCGGGGGGGGGGATCTTGTATTTTGTGTATGGATATTGTATACAAGTATGCACGTATGTATATTGAACTTCTTTTACACTCTACTTAGCCAACTGTGCTAACTGGAGATTCGGAGGAGGGGGGGGGGTGGAACAGTCAAACTAAACACAACAAGCAGTTCTAAAGAAATGGGTTTTCAATCGGGGATTTAAAAGTGCAAAGCTCCAGTGGCAATACAACAGCAACCGCAGCCAGGAAGCCGAGCGAGCGCTTCTCCATACCCGAAGGCTGTACTTCCAGGAATCGCCTCCGCTCTCTTCAATGGCTGGAAGGAAAAAAAGGGCGGGGCAAGCACACAATTACACGTGGCTCTATTCGCTGCACTGAACGCGCGTTGTGCGAATTAACAGCTGCCGAGTAGGAAGGGTTTTAATGTTGGGCGGGGAGTTGGGGGTGGGTCATGTAGCCATGGGGGTTGAGTGACATGTTGAGTCACAAGGCGGGGGGGGGGGCTTTATTAAGGATATTCAGTGGAGGGGGGGGGGGGAAGCATATGAACTGTGAAAATGTTGGGGGGTGCAGCCAGATACCTATGGTTTTAATGCCTGTATGGACGTGGAAATCACACGGGTTTTTATTTATTTCATTTGTTAACAGGGCGTGTTTTTTTAATGTATTAATTCACAATCATTTACGTGCGTTCAAAAAAAACCCCAGCCAGTTGACTCAGGGGTAGAGCGAGTAGCTCGCAAACAGAGAAGTCACGAGTTGGTATCGTGGTTTCGGGTTAGACTTGGGGCCCTCCACACCTCCGGGGAAGATAATGAGCACCACTTTGTGAGGAAGTTCACAGTGGTTGTTCCTCTGGATAAATTCACCTCCCCTCCCCGGCATAGGGTTGTGGAATTTCCACCACTGGCTCAGGGTTTTTAAACGGAAGATGTGCACTGCCTAAATGCCCATAAGCAAGAAATCATATTTGACATTTTAAAATCAAGATTGCGCACTCTTTGGCTGGTTTATATCATCATCCATGATCAATCCACTGCTGGATGAAATCTAAATAACTGGAGATATCTAGTTTATGCACGAGGGCTTGTTCAATAATAGTAATGTCACTTCCGGAAACTACCAGTCCTAAATTACCATGATTTGTTTTCTCTGCATCAGTAGTGCCCAACTGTGGTCCGCTGTCAGCAAAAAGCCCAATGATATAAACTATTTTTTATTCTACCACATAAGGCCCAGAGCTATATAGCTCTTTTTCAGAAGCGACCAGGCCACAAATGGTAGCTCAACAAAGTGGCTTATCACGTGGAAATATATCGCAGCACAATACTCTAAATGCAAGTTTCTGAATGTGGAGGGGAAACACCGGTGGACCCCGAGAAAAATCCACGAAACCATGGAGAGAGAGAACATGCAAATTCCAAATAAACAGGCGCCAGGGTCGGTATCAAATCGACGACCTCCTGCATACCAGGCAAGGGAGTTACCATGATGTAACCACGTTGGACGGCAAAGGGCATCATGACGGCTGCTTGCGCGAGTGTTTATCTTCCACAAAAAAGTCGTTAAACGTGTCGCTGTATTGCGCGCACTGCCAACTCCAATAAACATTATGCTTTATTAACGGCACAATAGGTTACGGCAAGGAATAAAATAATTTTAAAAAGCGAGCATTTAATCAATCACCGCAAGGGAGGCACGATTATTATAAACTACTATCGTGCACTGCGGACGGTTTAATTAACCACACATTCTTACGCGGAACAGGTCAGGTGATTATTAGAGAAGCTTTCAGCAAATTAGAGTGTCACACCTGTGGGGTTTATCCGAGGCAGAGGCATCGACTGTTGCTAAATATTGTTTGTAATAACGATGAAGCGACTCGAATGGAAGCTGCATCCTGGAGTTGGGCGGGGGTTCAAAGGTCAGAGCTAGTACCGCGAATGGGTACTGGGTTCGAATAGAGACAGAGGCATTTATTGTGGCTAAACGTGGAAGATTTCTAATGATGCAGCAACTCATTTACTGACTTCCCAAATCGACGTCGTGAAATTTAGTAATGTTATAAACCCCTCTAGCAGTAAAGGTGGGCCCAGTGGCTCCAGGACCAGTACACTGGTACCAGTCAGTCTGAGATTCTGGCTTGGAATCTGGGTTCTCAAGCGTAGCAGTGAGTTGATGCTTCCAGTCTGGTCACCAATGACGGCACCAAAAAACCCATAGCATTAATCTTGTTTTTTTTCACTTCAACATCATCAATTAGCCAATAATTATCCACTGTTGGATGGACATGTTCAGCACGTAGATGGAATGACGAAATTAGCTCATAAGTAGGAGCTAGATGGAATGCTACACCGCAAGATCATGAGATGTTTTTGCACTTAATTTGGCTGAACTCTAACTCTGAGAGGAAAGAACAGCATTGCTCAGACTGTAACACAATTTTGGTAAAGTGCAGCATATCCCCTCTCGTGAATATGTAAAACAAAAATCAGGATTTCAGAAGTAGTTCCATGATATCGACTTCTATGGCCTGTTTATTAACACAGTACGTTGTCAAGTTGCACCCCCTGCCGCGCTCCCTCCCCCAACCCGACACCACATTTCTGTGTTTTTATTCAACTCAGATTGGCTGATATTTTTTGGCCGACTTCGCATTCCGAGTTGAATGGAAATACATCTTCGAACGAGGCAATCGATAGCGTCACAGAGGCAGCGGGAAAATCGAATCTTTGAATTTGACATTCATTTTTATCAGCAATGCGGTCTTCACCCGATTCATAATTGTTTCATTTTGGGTCAGGTCGTGCAAAACTGTTCGTGGTAAATCCTCCTCCACCCAACACAGCCAATTAATAAGTGTCACGTGAATCAGACGTGCCATATTTACGATTTATTTACATGCCCAATATGAGTGAGTTACATGATCAACCCACTCACTTCAAGTGGTTATCAAGTAAATTCACTGTTATTGGCCACACAAAGAAATTGTAACGTCTAAAGTGATGACCACACCTCAGGTGGTACCGACGAGTGAAATACAGTTTCCCCTGGTTAATCGCGAGAGATACGTTCTGGAGATGCTTGTGAATAGCAAATTTCAGAGATAATGATATTGGCCTATGGAAACCTATCTTTTCAATTAATTACCTTAAATAAATACGTAAATAAGCTATTAAATACATGAAAATTAGCATTATACAAAAAAATGCTTCTAAAGCTTTTTGAAGTGTTATCTCGTAAATACAAAGTCTGCATATGCTTCTAAAGCATCGAGAAGTTATCTCTCTCATCTCTTTATTTCATCACTTAATCTCTCATCACTCTATCTCACATCACTTTCTCACATCACATTCTCTCTCACTTTATCTCATCACTTTATTCCGCTCTATCTCTCGATGCAGTGTGAAGACTTCCAGATGCGATTCTCAGATATCCAAAATCGCGGAAAGGAAGTTCATGAATAACGAGGGAATACCGCACATGGTCTGGACTCAAGGCCTACGCAACCACCACCACCACCACGTTTGTGCAGGAGCGTGGGCTCTCACCAAACCCCTCCGGGTCCTCGTCCCACATGGCCAGGTCCTCGGGCGTGAGCAGGAAGTAGTGCGAGACGAGACGGCGGCAGATCTCCGTCAGCGTCTGGTAGTTGAAGAAGGCGCTCTTCACACGGTACGCCTCCATAGTCTGCGGCTTGCTGTCTGTCGGTCACACAGCGCTATGTCAGAGCTGGGCGACCCGTACCATGTTGTGTACTTGTGTAACTCTCGTGACATTCCAACGGAGATAACGCCGATGTTAAAAATTTATAACAGCAATGGCATCAGCTGGCCCAGGTCGCAGCGCAAGCCAAGGGCAGCTGTGGTGTTCCCCGTCTTTGTTGACGAAGGAAGGCCGGGGTGGAAGAGATGCACGGTGGGGGGGGGGGGGGGAGTGGGGGACATGGGGGGGTGGAAGAAACATGCAAGTGGGGGGGGGGGGGGGGGTGAGAAGTCAGTACCCTCGGGGTTCTTGGATGGGCGGTACGAGTCGTTCTTGACGATCATCTTGATGAGGCTCATGCACTGCACGGTGAAGCGCTCGAACGCGGGCCGGCCCTCGGCACGTGCGAACACGGAGCCCACGGCTAGCTCGAGCGAGCGGCTCACAAACGGCACGAACGAGAACGGGTGCTGCTCAAGGAAGTCCAGTAGCTGCACAGCACACATAAAGAACCCCCCCCCCCCCCATATATCCTTTAATAGACTGTTGAGGCAAATGCCGGTTAACGAGCACCTACGATGGCCGGCACGGCAGGACGGGACACGAGGGGGTGGGTGGCCAACACCGTGCCTGGCCGCCTTTGTATCCACAGCGGTGATGGTTACACACCACACCAGGTATTTAAGGGCGAGTTGACATAAACGGAGGCCCAGGATCGGTTTAGATATTCATCACTGACGTTGGCCCTGAGTGGTTAATTGAACTTGGGTCACCAGGTATGGAGCTCAGCGAGCTAAACACTTTGCCACCGCTCCCCACAAAGAACAATCGTCGTTCGCCACTAAGTGGCGGTGACGTCACCATGGCGCTTGTGCCATGCACACACACGCATGGCAAAAACACGCACGCACACGGGGAGAGGAAACGCGGGGAGCGAGGAGCCACACGGCTCGTTGCAATCGTTTTATTAGAATTTAAAGTTTGAAAGGATTGCTTTACACTTGTAGTGGTTTCTCAACCTTTTTTGGCTACTGTACCCCCCTTGTTGAATTTTGTTTCAATAGAGTACCCCCTTGCATGACCCAACATGGTTCTGAGAAATAAATGTATGAATAATGAACATCAATATTGTAACCTGTTTTGTTGCCAGAAAAAAGGGGAAAAACCTATTCTCATATTTTGGTACTGGCAAAGGAGATCCCATGATATAGATGCTCATCCCAAGCTCTCATTACTCTGATAGTGGCATTGTCTTTGGGCTGTACGCCTTTTGGCGTCTTCTGGTCTAACACCGTTTGAGACGAGGCTCAAAATAAAGCTGTCTCTGGTGTGGACCAATCAGTTTCAAGGACAATGCCAATATATTATCAGAGTATGTTTTTTTGTTTGCATTCTGACCACAAGCATTGCGGTTAATGCAGACATGATTCCTTGTAAAAGGTTTCAGTTTGGTGTTTTAACATCTTAACACCTGTTTTGTTGCTAGATAAAAGTGGAAAAACCTATTATCATTGTAACCAACTGTCCATTTTATGACGTATCCTAACTAGCTGGTAACTGCAAGTGAATAAAAAACATTCTACGGACGCTCTGCATGTGTGACGTAATTTGTTCACGCTCGCTGGTTACTCTTGAAAAGCACATTGCTCACGATCAATTGCTTTAGAAAGGTCTTTAACATTGTTCTACATTACCATATGGATTAACATTTTATCAAAGTTATTTTATATTGGCAGATTCATACATGATTATTCACCAATGACTCTCGTGTATGATATAATTTCACACATTTATAAATTACCTCATGTACCACCTGGGATATTGTCATGTACCCCCAAGGGTCCTCGTGACTTCGGTTGAGAACCACTGGTGTAGGACATCTCCACAACAAGCAATGTCACCAACGCAGTTCTGAGTGATAAGTAGTTGACTTAATTAGAGCCGTAAAAACTGCAAAACTACTCTCAGGACAACACGTGGATAATAAAGCCCACTGAGCTAGAAGCTCTCTTTCAGAGGTGACCTGGCCACACATGGTGATTGCTCATCCAAGTGGTTTATATTATGTGGGAATTCATAGCAACAGCCAAATAACCTAAGCGCATGTTTCTAAAAGCGGAGGGTAAAACCGGGGGAAACCCGGAGAAAAATACATGCCACAAAAATGAGGAAAGAGAGATCACACAGACTACAAATATACAACAAGCATCGCCAGGATCCAAGATCGAACCCCATGACCTCCTGCGTTCCAGGCGAGGAAGATCACATCTCGCAAGCGCGGCGCGCCCCAGAGGCCCAAAATAAAGCACTATGTTTGTTGGGATCACATCAAGAACTGCGATCCGCAGAATGAGATAAAGAGGCGGGCGACACAGACGCGGTGACGGGACAGTGAACGCGCGGATGGAAAAACGAAAAACTTTAAAAGGGCACCAATCACAAAGGTAATCGGACGCAACAGAGCGACAATTCGCCTGAGCGGCGAAAGAGGTGCGAACACCACGGACGGACAACGGGCACCAGGCGGTCGTAACCAAAAATGCCACGTCTCCAGCGGGACCGGTTCCCCCGTCACCTGGCTGCGCTAGAGACGACGAGGTGACCTCTGTGAAAGTCAGGCCATCGGGCGGAGGGTCCGAGGCTAGAATGAGCGATTCGCTGTCGTAAATCACGCTCTCTCACAATCCGAGCGGAACCCCCGTTGATTTATTCCCGTGCGGCGCAGAATTACAGCGCTCCGCGCGGACGTATGTGCCGCGTACAGAAATATTTAAATAAAAACGACAAAATAAATACGGCATTCAAAAAGACATCAATTATACGGGCGGTGGGTTATTTAATCACGTCATGGCTGCCAAATGAGACATGATGTACTTACTTATCCGTGTCTCTATGCCAAAACATGCTCGACAGCCAAGGCCATTCATTTCCTTCTCACAAGGACATGGCGAGAGAAAAAAAAAACCCACCACACTCCGGATCCGAATTAAAAATACAGAGCGACGAAGTGCATGAGGGCCTCGGAAAGAGTTTGACCTTCGAAGCAAAGGCACGCATCTTGAGGCTAATTAATGGGCCGCGGACATGCAAAATTTGTAACCTGTCACCGCCACTCCGAGCCCAGACCCCACTCCACGCTACGGGCGCATTTTCTAGCCGCGCCAATCGAAACTGCGAGTCAACGGCTCCTCAAAGGTGGCCCCAAAGTCGTTCGCACCATCTCCCACACGTATTTCGCTAATGGCACAATCTCCCACAACGTGGCATCAACCTTAATTGGGAACAAAACCGCTGACCTTTCATGTCGGCACACTCCACTTTTGTGAGCGACACTTCTCGGCGCACTATGGCGCGGCCCGAGCGATGGAATCAATTAGTGGCGTCGACGGCGGCGGAGCGCAGTTCCTACACTCGCGTGGCGAGAGGCTCGGCGGGGGAACCGCTAAGCGCAGGCGATGGCGCGGTGAGCGGGCATGTCGCCCGATTAACGGGTGCGGCCGTGACGGCAAGCAGCAGCCGTTTGAGGACACGCGCAAAGCCGAGAGGCGGAACTTGCTTATCAGTGCGCGCACACCTGCACCGCCACCCACCCAATCGCAGTTATTCCTCCGCAGACGGGATTTCAAGCATCGTATAAATACACCCACGGAGTTAATAATGCCAGTAACAAGACTCTACCGATGACAATTAATCCGCGTGGGATGCGCGGAGCGTAAAAATGTCATATCGCGCTCTCAATGATGAATTGCCTGTGGAACGGGCGCTCGGTAAACGTTTTGTTTTTACCGTTTGTGGCTGTGTACGGCTTTACGCTCCGCTGTTCTTCATTGTATTTTCACTGGAGAGATGATTGCAATTCCCAGGTGGCATGCAGAGGACACTCCGCATTGTACCGCTGCGTACAATGAACGTTAATTTGCGCACGGCACGCCTTTTTATTTTGGTTTGCCTAAATGGTGTAAAAAAAAAAAAACTCCCGAATGAACGACAAATCATAAATCACCCAACCAGTGGACATGCAGGATGGTTAATTTTATGAATGCAAAGTTCAATTTAATGACAAGAGTAATTATGTCTTGCCAAAATAATGAATAATTTTACATTTTTGCTCCACCATTACAAAACCAAAATGTACACACAAATTGGATGAAATGCTCGATCAACTATGTGAAAATATATTTGTATTTTACTTTAAGTCGCTTATTTGTGAGCTGCTCCACACTCATCGAGGATCAGTGACTCAGTTGCACCATGTGACTACCGCCACGTTGTAAAGTAAACCGATGATTTTAAAAGGCAACAAAACCCCAGACAAATTCTACATCTTCAACACCGTTAACAAATGCTTTGCATTACGCGCGTTTTTGTTTTATCCGGGCCATCCCGTCCCCACAACAACCTAGATCATCGCTGTGCATGCAGACATTATAGATGCCACGCATGGCCCCAGGAAGCATGCGTCTGGTAAACTGATGGAATGGCCGACAAGAGAGCATTGAAATCGGCTCGTGCGCATGTGCAAGGTGGATCGTTGCAGCGCAGGACCGTTACAGGTGGGGAAGGCTCACAGAGGCACTTATCCAGCAGTGGATTGATCACGGCTGATCATCAACAACAAAGGGCCGCCGTTTGGCGTCATGGCTCGGGGAGGCACTTATCCAGCAGTGGATTGATCATGGCTGATCATCAACAACAAAGGGCCGCTGTTTGGGGTTCCATATGCAAACCTACCACTTTGGTGCACAGGATGACTGCTTTTTCCAGCTTCTCTCTGCACGGGTGGCCTGCTGTGATAGTTCTTACTTCAGAAGGGGAACACGGGGAGGTGGGGGGGGGGGGGGTGATGGTGACAGGAAAAAAATATAGTTAGGGTACATGACACGGCAAGCGTGGTGAGTGAGTAGGGGCGGGTGGCACGGCCCAGCGGCAGCAAGTTTGGCAATTGTTTGCAGAGGTTCGCGGTTCAAATCCAGTGGCCGCTCTGATTAACGCAGGTGTAATAACTATGTTATTTGTGTTCTGTTAGCCTTATATTTGTTGTGCTAGCTGTGCCCTGTTGATGCACGACCTTCCCATTCGGAAACCTGACCACGAACAGTTCTTTTCGGATTGTTTCATTCACGATTTATTTTGTTTGCTGTGACCAGGTGTCTATGATGTAACCGGGTCTCCACTAGCACTTGCTCTAGAGGTTTATCTGGTCTGCTCTTCCACGCTGACCAGACGTGGTAGAAGAGGTGGGCATACCCACACTATTCCCCACCAAATGTAACGACCTAACATACCCATACACACTGCTGAGGTCAGCGGGGTGACAGTGCCTAACCATGCCACCGAGGCAGCTCCCTTTGTTTGACAGTTAAAAATGTGAGATCGTTATGTTTTCTCCATATATTTCTATATGCATGGAAAACCAGTGCAAACCGGTTTTAACATTTTTTTTTGTAGCGTGGTCACCGGGAAAAAAAATATTTTTTTAAGCACCCTCATTTTAACTTGTGGAGCTTTAACCAAGAGCACTGCACCCTCAGACCAGGCCGGCGGCAACCCAAGCTACAATTTGTAACCATCACGGACAAACTCTCGGCTGCCCATAGTGCAGCGCGAAGGACGAGACCACTTATCCGTGCACTTCCAACGGAAAATGCACCTCCCGCAATTGCGAGCATTTCCCACCAATTGGACCAAATGCCTCTTTTTATTTTGTTCTCTTGATTCGGCACAATGCATCATAGGTCCAAGCACAGGTGGGGGGGGCGGGTTGCTCTGAGAACACCATAGATTCGCAAAATGAAAAAAAAGGTGAGCACTTTCCCAAAATGCTGTTGGCTATATCTCACCCTGTGGGGGAAATTGTCCACCGGGATTGTGACTAACAGGCTCGAAAACGAGTCTGGTGGCATAAGCGTAATTATTGTTATCGTTTCGGCGATGCTGCCAGTGTGGCACACGTCAACCGGTAATTTATTTATCCCCGTCAGCCGGATATGTCCAAATCGACAACCTGTAAAATATTTCGGCACCTGGCACACCACATCCGGTATACCTCCATTCGTTATGGTGGAGGCCGATGCAGTTGCGTGCCACCTCTGCTCATAAGTCTACTCGTGAACCCGGAGGACATTTGGCGAGAGCGCGCAATCAACACTTGTAACGCATACTCACGGCAGTTGAGGTACTGCTGCATCCTCTCAAACACGGCGTTCAGAAAGGCCTGGCCAAATGAGAGAAACGGACACACATCGGCGCGTCCGTCACAGTGACCAAGAGCGCGTGCTGAAGGACACACCGAGCCCAGCGTGACCCAGGGGGGGCTGTGCCAGCTGAAAATCTGCCCAGACTGCTACCAGAGGGAAGGCAAAGGATGTGCAGTGACCGGCACAGCCTGGTATCAACTTAAGCAGCTTTCCCTCTTGCCAACGGCAGGGATCCCACGTTCAGTGCTTTTGTGAAATATGGCGGAAGAAGAAATTGTACGGGGTAAAAAAAAAAAATACAGATTCAACCTATTTATTCACAAGCCAAGTATCAATCAATTAACTACTCCGTCAAATAACATTAGCTGTAATTCTTGCGATATATCTGTCGATTTGTGCGGTATAAGATAGGAATGCTATTTGTGCAGCAATGGATTGATCATGGTTGATGATGAATATTGCACAGGGGGAAACCACAGTGGCGAGATCTTATCTCCATCGCCTGGTATACAGGGGTCGTGGGTTCGATCCCGACCCTGATGTCTGTATATTTGGAGTTTGCGTGTTCCCCCCCCCCCCGTGGTTGCGTCGCTTTTTCTCCAGGTCCTCCGGTTTTTCCCTCCACATTTAGAATCAACATGCGTTCACGGGTATTTGGCAGATATACATTTCCACATGATACGCCACTTCGTTCAGCTATCATTTGTGGCCAGGTCGCTTCTGAAAAAGATCTATATAGCTCAGTCGGGCCTTACTTGGTAAAATAAAAAAAAATGTTTAAGTGAACTGGACCGCTTTAAACCCCCGTGATCCCCATTTGATTCCCGACCGTAACTAACATCGGTGTGTGCCTGGGCACCCCCGCCAAACTTCACTGAACCTGCACTTGCCAGTGTGGTGAAGTAAGGTCAGACAACTACAATAACTGATGTGGCATATGGGAGGCATTCTTCATCCTAGTCGTTTGACCCAAATCGGAAAAACCTTATTGATTTAAAGATCGCAAATACAACTTTTAATAACATGTTAATTACTTATGAGTGTTGACGTTATGCGTATAGAAAGTTAAAAGTCTAAATATTTTGGGTAATTGGCCCTATTCAGGAAAGTAAGTGAGACAATATATTTACAAAGTCATAATTTTCTATTAATCTATAATTTATCATATAAATTCCAAGAAGCAACAACGTTTTATCTTATATTTACACAGTGCTGTACCACTTTACTTTCTATAAATAAACAAATCATTATTTGGCACCAATCACCCGGAATGCACCCAATTATTTCGTCACACCTCGGAAGTTAAGCAGAGTTGAGCCTGGATAGTGGTGGGGACCGTTGACCACCCAGGCAGGAGAGATCATCAAAGGTGTCTGCCGAGCTATACGGTGGGCAGCGGAGGGCAAGAGCGACAAATTCTCTTGGTGTGCAATACAATTCTACGCTCCCACGTCTATGCTCACCTTCGCCATCCCACACTCATCAGCTCTGGGTGAAACATGCTTAAACAAATCCCCTACGGCCCACACCGCGTGATCAGACCCTCGTTTGGCAGTAGACTGAGTGTAGGATTGTGCGTGCACATTATAACAAGCCGCCGCAGAGATTGGCGCACCGGCCGTGTTGGTGGGACACACGCACGCCCGCCAGCCAGCGGCGCACGAGACGCTAACACGGTCTGACAAGTCGTCAACCCAAGGTCCGAGACGTGGCCTAGGGTCGGAGGTCACGAGCCTGCTGGCAGCCAAGCCACTCGCGCTTCGATGGATTCACGCAGAGGTTAGGGGAGGTGCGAGGGGTGGAAGTGGGAAAGGGGGTGGAGGATGGTGGAGGACGGTGGGGGGGTTAGGGTGGGAGTTGGGGTGGGGGGGGACGCAAGCACTGGGCAAGCACGTGCTGCCCCTTTGTCTCTTCAAACAGCATTCACTCAGTCATACTCCATAATTGCCATGGGATACATGTGTTTTTAAGTTATTAGACATCCCCTTTACTGCTAAAAACATTAATTCAGGGGAAAAAAATATTAATTCGAGGGAAAAAAATATAGCGTTGTACCTGCAGGCGCTATGAGTACCACAATCGTAGCCCAAATTTGTGCAAAAAAAAAGGAAAACTCCAAAGTTGTTGACTCCAGCCAGCAGGAGAGAATGCATTCTACTTCCACGGCTCGCGATGATGTTCCACGCACAGAACATTAACAACAATGTTTGGGGGGAGAGGGTGCAAATATTTTTTTAAATACTCCACATCACTTTTTGTTATTGCAGTTGTAATTGACAAGAGTGCATTGGTAGGAGAAAAAAAACGGCAACACCAAATTGGCTGTAGTGCATCTCTTGCACACTCAACCAGATGGGAGCTAAGCCTGTGATCATACACATCGGCCACTTGTTTAAATTATCGCGACCCGACGTTAAAATGCTCAGATAAAAGCTGTGACAATGACACCAGTGGCAGCAGCAGCAGCACGTGCAGGGCAGGTGCGCGTTAATTATTTTCGCGGTTTAAGAGGCAGTCAGGTCGCTGGGGGGGGGGGTCTACTTTAACACCAAATACAGCGAGCTAATGGCTCGTTGGGTTTCCAATCCTCCCCACCATAAGCTCACACGATGCCGAAGACACTTGTAAAAGTGCACAACTATGACTGCCAAGCAACTTGTGTTACAGGGTGACACGGTGGCAAGATGTTAACTACCTCACCAGGTATACAGGAGGTTGTGGGTTCAACCCCCACCCTGATGCCTGTATTTTTTAACTTTGCATGTTCTGCCAGTGGTCGCGTGGATTTTTCTCCGGGTCCTCCGGTTTTTCCCTCCACATTTATAGACATGCGTTTAGAGTATTGGCTGATATAAATTTCCATGTGATCAGCCACTTTGTTCAGCTATTATTTGTGACCAGGTCACTTCTGAAAACAGCTATACAGCTCAGTGGGCCTTACCTGGTAAAATAAAAAATATATTTATATAGTTTAATAATATTTTGTGGTTTCTGAAAGATCACTGTTATAATTCAGTAGGCTCACATGACATTGACTTCTCCAAGACAGAGGTTCTTTGCAAGCCATCTGGCTACCATGAGACATTTGTTCATGAGGCTATCCACATATACAAACAGAGACAATTTCAACTGAGAAGATGGATTCTGGCTTAGCAATCATCGGAAGGATTTGATAAACAATTTCGGGTCGTAATTGATTGTTCACGCTTACGGTGGCTTTCAGACCGCATCCATTATTTTCGTCTCCCCCCTCCTCTTTTCCGAACATAGATGGACTCGTCCATCTGAATAACTGCCAAATCGCTCTCCGTGGTGCTAACGTTAAAAAAACGCCACTTTTTTCAAATTTTCTTGCTGTGGTTTTCACACCTGATGATGATTGCTTGTGTTGCTGTCGAAACGTGGTGAGAATTTTATTGTTTAATATTTGTATTATTTTATTGTTTCCCTTCTATGTGACTTTACCGAAAGAACCAAGAATATGAATCCCTGCAGTCACGAAAGCTTTAAATCAAAAAATGAAAAACGAAGGTAATGAAAACCAATTAAATGGATATATCAATACGTTACGTAACCTAAGAAAAATATATAGCAAGAACATATATTGCTTATTCTCCTAAAACTTTTGCTGAACTATAAACGGGCGCTAACTAGTTGGACTCCAATTTGCGCAGGCGTTACAAAACATCATTACAAATTTGCCAAGATTCCGCTCTCTTGCACCGCTTGTCTTATCAACGGCCGCTAATTGGCCTAATTCCCATCCGTGTCCTTTCCCCGCTCTGCATTCGTAGTAGAAGCTGCAATTACGGGCTCGACTCAGCTTCTTCGCCGGCCAAATCGCACAGCTACTGCCGCTAATTGGCCGCATTCCGATTTGCACTCGCGCGTACGAAGAAAACGGATCCTCTAATTGGCTAGACTCCGGTGGTGGTGGTGGTGATTGGTAGTATTGCAAATGGGCCGCCTGTACCAGTGTACATCCGTGAGCTTGTATATGCAGTGGTTGGAGCAGTAGTGTAACGCTTGGCGCGATACACTACGAACCCAGAGACCTGAGTTCGATTTACGCTCACGGCCACCGACACCAGTGGCGATTACCTGAATCAGTCCTGGTGATTAGCAGATACTAAAATGAGTGCTCAATTGAGTACCTGCTGCCATGTATAAACATCACCATGAGGGAAACAAAGGCGGCCGGGTGAGGTGCTGGCCATCTACCTCCTCATGTGCCGTTTCAGCCCTAATCGGTGTTTGCTAATGGCACTTACCCCAACCACCTGTGTAGGCTACCCAGGGAATCCAAGATTTTTTGTGCCTGACAGTCATCTCAGCCAGTTAATCCATCAACACCTCGGTCTGTCATCTGGCATGCTCTTCCCAGTAATCCTTTGACACTTTACGGAGCCTCAAAGCACACCTAGCCTGGCACAAGAGCTGTCTTGGGGTGCTGTTATTGTTGTGTGTGCTTGTGTGTGACGGGGGCAGCACAAGGGGCATGGGGCGGCAGAGGAGAGAGGGAACGGGGGGAAAGAGAAGAGAGACAGAAATATTTGCATCTTACCATGACCTCTGCGTGCCCATGTGGCTCCGCAAAGCCGTGCACCGTCAGCTTCCTCAGCACTGTGGGAGGGTCGGGAGTGGGGGTGGAGGGGGGATAATGAAATGAAATGTCAACTCGTGCGATGGCTGGGAGGCCACGGGAACTCACGGAGGCTTCGACAGTTGACACAGGAGTGGAGGCTTGCGGGGCCATGTGGGGGCGTGTTTTGTAGGAGTGGTGCAAGGCGGTGGTGTTGGTTGAGATGGTGGCACAGTAGGGGGTACAACTGGTACATCAACCGGTCATCTCAGTCAGCCAAGCCATGGCACCTGGGGGTCTGTCCCGAGACCTCCTGTCAGCAAGCCTTCGACACTTCACGTGGCCTCAAAGTGCACCTGGCCTGGCACAGGCCCCGTGGATGGCGGCTATTGCTATTGGTGGGAAGCGGTAGTGCGGCGGTAGTGCAGTGGTTAACAGGCTGCGCAACAAACTTGGCACCCCAAGTTCGGTTCCAACTCACGGCCAATGCCAGTGAAAATTATCTGAATCAGTCCTGGGTCTCCCCTGGATATACTCAGCCACAAACGAGTACCCGGTCCAGTGTGTAAAGATCACCACTGGGGAGATAAATGCGGCCAGGCATTGTGCTGGCCACCGTCCCGTGTGCTGTGCCAGCCTTCATAGGTGCTCATTAACAGCATTTGCCCCAAGAGTCTGTGAAGGCTATACGGGGGAACTTTGTCTTTGGTGGTGGTGGTGGTGGTGGAGACTCAGATGAGATTGATTAATTCACTGTAGGAGCTGTCACAACAAGGTGTCAATTTATTTACTTTGCATTCTAACCAATTAGACCACGAGGGTCCCGGGAAGCTGCTAAACTAGGACGGCTAAAAAAATATACAGGCCAAGGTGATAACAGTGAATGAAATCCAAATGTTGCAATGTACACAGGTAAGTGAAATATTGACTACGTGAAGGAACCGCAGCCAAAGGAGAAAATGCACCCACAGAGAACCACCCGTGGAGATGGAGCAATAAAAATCGGGATAGAGTGTTTCCTCCTTGCACGTGTGGGTTATCTTGGGGGGGGGGGGGGGGGCTCCAGTTTTCTCCCACATATACGTGCTCATGTATTGGCTCATAACGCCTTAATATGTATAAATGGAGGACTGTAGACCTTGGGAAATTGTTGGCGCCGACGCATTGTGTGGCTGCCTTCCTGCTTGTCGGTGGTTCCTCGTGTCCCAAAGAAAGTGAATACTGTGTGGTGCGTCCAAAGGTGAAATTATCATTAATTCCACTGATGGTAATGAATACAACCCCGATGCCGTTGTGAGCATGTGTGTTCACTATGATGATCTTCATGATGATGATGATACCGTGGTTCGTCAATTATGAAGATGGCCGAGTCAGTGTGTGTGCTATTACATGCCACTGGAAGAATTAATTCACGTACACCACAAGAGTCAACAACCTATAGATACCCTTGGTTGTTGACATATTAGTACTACAGTAACCGCCATATATCTGTCTAATGCTTCAATATTCTGTGACCTTGTTTTGTAATTTGCTGTGTTCAATCTGGAGATTAAACTGCACGAGTCGATTTGTGCTGCAGAGAATTACTTTTGTGTAATATTTCCAATTTCTCGTGTGACAACAGTTCTTTTGTGGTCCTATTTTTATTTGTTTTGCCGCGGTCGTATCGGTAAACCAGGTCAACTCTTGCAAACGAGCCTCATCTCAGGGTGTCTTGAGTCCTCACCGAGTTCACGAAAAAAAATCCTAATTGAAACGTTTGAACCACAACCCAACGACCGCAACTCAGCCTTCCGCGGCTCAACATTCGTACGCAGAAAGGACCGAGCGATTGCGAACCAGAAATCACACAAACTACAGAAGCACCTGCATCGTCAACCACAAATCTAATGGCAAAATCAACAACCACTGGTGTGTAAACACGGACAAGCCGCAGGCTTGCATCGACGTACACAGACTATATCATTGTCATCGTTATCATCGTCGTCGTCATCATCGTCATCATCATCGCCGTCCACTGCAGCGTATACAAAATTCTTTGGCACATGTCATGAGGGGTACTGCAAGATCCAACCATGTCCGTCCAGTGCTCGCTGAGCTGCATTGGCTTCCGATTGCCGAACAAATAAATTATAAGGTGGCACTCATTATACACAAAGTACTTGCCACAAATGAACCACAATACCTTGCTAATTTCGTCAAGGAACATAAACCATCACGTGAACTCTGGTCATCGTTGCAGCGGCTTTTGGCTAACCATCGAACAAAGACGGTCAGATCACGCGTTTTCAGATGTGTGTCTGGGGCCATCTGCAACACTCTTCCTTCAGACATTAGGAAGCCACTGGAGCTATGCGTTTTTAAATCTAGATTGAAAACTGATTTCTTTAGAACTGCTTTTTGTGTTTAGTTTGTTGTCCTTCCCCAGCACCTCCGATTAGCACGGTTGGCTACATACGGTGCAAAAGAAATTCAACATACATATATACAAGAGCGACAAACCTTTGAGCGAGAGGAGCGTGCGCTCGAGGGAGTGAGCGGTGGCGTCCTGGTCGCTGGCTGCCACCTGCTGCAGGAAGGACTCGGTGTAGTGAGTCCACAGCGAGCAGCAGAAGCCGTAGATGCCGGACGCCAACTACGCCCAGCGGAGAGGAACCGAGGGAGCGATGTTAGAAACAGCAGCGATTGCAGCAGCAGTAGGAGTCATTACAGCAGTAGCACCAGCTTTAACAGACCAGCACCACCAGCTTCAATAGAGCAGCAGCAACAACAACAGTCGAAATTCACCACTAAGTGGCGGTGGTGCCAACACTGCCCTTGTGCCAGGCCGGGTGCATTTCGAGGCCGCGTGAAGTGTCGAAGGCTCGCTGACAGGTCACAGGACAGACCCAGGTGCCATGGGTTTAGCGACTGAGATGACTAGCAGATGAACCACCTGCGCCCCCGACTGTGCCAACTTGCTGCATTTTAGCCGCCCGGCGCTCTGCTCGTCGTTGCGAGTGTCGCTCCTCTGCCCTCTACTGTTGTTGGAGGGCGACTTTCTCCAGTTTTAATACATCAACAGCAGCTATTTCAGCAGCAGCTGTTAGATAGAGCAGCAGCAACACCTCCGATCAGCACGGTTGGCTACGTACGGTGCAAAAGAAGTTCAACGTACATAAATACAACATCAGAAGTGACAACAGCTCTTACAGTGATAAGAGTAGCACCTATAATATGAAGATTGTAATTTTGTCTTTTATTGTTATTTTTAAGATAGCCAATGCTGTATTTCAAGATACATCTCCACGGTAATCTTGGATGCGTTCACTCCTTTTGCTACAATTCCATTACCAGCTATTTTTACTTTACCAGGTAAGGCCCACTGAACTATTCTAGCTCTTTAACAGCAGCAACCTAGCTACTAATTATTGCTCAGCAAAAAGCGGCTTATCATGTGGAAATTTAGGGCAGAGTGTGGAGGGAAAAACCGAAGGACCTGGAGAAAAATCCACGTGACCACAGAGAACCTGCAAACTCCAAATATACAGGCCTCAGGGTCGAGATTGAACCCACACGATCCTGCATACAAGGCAGGGTAGTTCACATCTTGCCACCTTGACAAACGACGTACAAACTGACCCTTACGCGATTGGCACACGCGCAAATCTTGAGGCGCACATCGCGAGCCCAATTAACAAATTGACGACGATTAATCGAATGCTTAGTTGCACCGCCTACGTTTCACAAGGAAGCGGTGAAGTCATAAATGAGACTCGAGGTTGACTTTTTTTTACTTTAATTCTTATGTTTTATAGTATATATATTGTTTGTCGCTTAATTGTGATTCTCAGATATGTCATTGTTAGTTTTAATATGAGGTTAGTAACACTTATTCTGTGCTCTCCAGTTGCCGGGGTGAAAAGTGGGCTCGGTTTTGCCCAAACCTTGGCCAGATGGCGAATTTTTTTTTTTTACAAATGAATGAGAGAAAAAAACAGAGGCGGTGATTCTTTTGGTATGACGACGACAATGCTGATGAAGGTAAGAGACGCGTTGGCTCGCACCAACATAGGCTGCAGCACGAGCTGACGAGCCGTGCTTAGGCGTGGTGATTAACCATAACGAGTGGCTCGCACGCGCACACACAAAGGTTGCTAGTGTGCCACGTCAATGCCCCACGTGCACGTGGCGCGCAGGGGTCGCGGTGTCGCGGGGGGAAAAAAACGACCGCCTTTTTTTGTTTTTGCCATTTAATTAGCTCAGCCCACACACACTCTCTTCTAAGGCATGTGTACGCGTGTGTGTGTGTGTGTGCAGCCACTTAGCAAAATGAAAATTAATAAATAAATTGCCCGCTATTGGCACCACGCAGAACACCGTGACACGTGTGTACTAAAACGTGGATGGATTCGTACAAACAAAAGGTCAACGCTATCATAAAAGGGCCCGCGGTCAAAAAGTAACGTGGCTACTTTCGTAATATGCAATACAGCAGAATTTATAATATTACCTCTAAATGGATCATTAACAGTTTCAATGTATAGTGTAAACAAGGATTATCCATTGACATAAGTGGAGTTCAAGGTACTGTAACGGCAGTAGCTGAACATGACAGCACCAAAATATGTTCAGGCCATGTTTATAACACAAGGACAGACATACGACAAAGGTTCCCCATATAGCCTTAACAGACTATTGGGGCAAGTGCTGTTAGTGAGCACCTAGGGTGGGGTGTGGCAGGCACCTTCGTCTCTCCAAGCACTGATGTTCACATATTGCAGCAGGTAATTTATATAAGGCCGAGCCAACCTAGGGGTAGACCCTCAACCGATTCATATTTGCCACTGTTATTGGCCTTGAGAGAGAATCGCCAGGTTTGTAGCGCAGTGCGCCAACCACCGCAGAATCTCTCCACGTAACAAAGACACACACACGTCCACACTGACACACACACACACACAGCAATCGCTACATTGAACCGGCGACATTAATCATGCAAAGATCAGCAATAAGAGTGGCAGCGGGAGCTCTCTCAAGGGGAAGAAGCGCTTACGAGAGCAGGACCCGGCTTTGAGCCTGCAGGCTTCGCGTAAAGGGCAGCGTGGAGTGCCCGAGGAAAAAAGTCTGCGTGTGTGTCCGATCTATAACAGCGATGTAAGCGAACCTGCAAAAAGACTACAGGACCTTGCGATGAAACAAAGGGTTTAAAAAAAGATAATACAATTGCAATCAGTAGGAATGACATTGATTCACCGTTGCCCGTCCCAATGAATTTATCAATCGTCCAATTATGGGAGGGTCACGATTCGCGTTAAGAACCTATTATTTATTAACTCTTTAGTGCTGGAGCGGTGGCACAGGGGGTTATAGCGCGATGCTTGAGGAACCGGGCCACCTCAGTTTGATTCCCGGCCATGAAATAGAGCATAGTTCACTAGGCCCTTCCTGCTGAAAAAAAAATTAATTTCACATACGACCCAGTCTTGGGGTCCCACCCCACCCTCACCGTTCCTCCCCCCACCCACCCTGCAGCCTTCACCAACCCAGCGTGGTGAAATATGGTCAAAGTACCCCCTCCTTGGATAGTGGATTAAAGGCTATAAATTGTTTACAAACTGTTGAATAATCTATTTTGTATCGTCCCTCTTTATAAATTATTTCATTAATCTGGTGACAGCCTATTGGAAATCGAACAGGTCTTGGAATACGAGTGCGTCCACGTCTTGCGACGCTCGTATGGCAGCAAGCTCAGATAACGCGAATGCTCTCGCAAGAGGTCACACGTTTGGCACAACGGTCCTTCGCTGACCGTGCGTGACGAGCGAATGACGTCTCGATATGAGGTTCGCCGCGGTGACGATCGGTGAGTAAAGAAGGGGGGGGGGGGGGGGACCGTAGGGCGGGCGGGGGGGGGGGGGGGGGGGGGGCGGCTCACCTCCTGGAAGAGACGGCGATCGGCGGCCAGGCGCTTGGAGGCGAGCACCTTGGTGACGTGGTAGAAAGTGAGCAGCGCACGGTGCTGAGGCAGCATGGCCTGCGTGCGCACGCCCTCCAGCAGCACAGGGATGAGCTCGGGCCACTGGCGTGGGCAGTCCAGCCGCGCCACCTTGGCAATCAGCACCGCGATCTGCGTCGCCACCTGAGCGCCGGCGTATAGATCCGTTTCGCATATTTAGCTACGGAAATATTCGATGACGAATGCATTTCCCGCGTTCAAAGTCAACGCGATTTCTCGCTAAAATTTGCATTGAGGCCTTGGTGCTCATTTATTATTTATGACCCGGGCCCAGCGGTGGGAATTCCACATTGCGATGGTGGGGGCGAGTCTTGATTAAGGAGGACAACCACTGTTGACTTCCCCACAAAGCGGTACCCATTTTATTGACTCCGGAAGGATGATTTGAAATCAGAAACTTTCCCGTTGCAGGCCCCTTGCTCTACCGCTGAGCCACCTGGCCTTATTTCCTGGGTAAACAAATGTAATATTAAATAATAATAAACACCAGCACCAATGTAAGTACCAATAATACAAACAAGCCACAACGATGATCATCACAGCAACAACCACCACCGCAGCCATAGCCGTCACGAGCAGCATCAGCTGCCACTGCCACCACTCTCACCCCCACCACCAATGCTGCTGCCATCACGGGCGCCAAACACGGGCCACGGGCAACAGACTTGCTCGACGGAAAAAAGGCTCGAAATAGATATTTCTGTTTAATTGTAAATGATTTGAAGCAACAGCTAATAGAGCACCATATAATGAACTAATGCTCAGCTGTAGTTCACCAATTATCCGCCCTGCCCCCTACACCCCCCACTGCTCCTCTCTGGAAATTCTAAATTGAATTGTCACGATTCGGGGTCAACACATTATTTCAGAATTGAACCCATTACATGCAACGTATAAGAAAAAAAAAACATGCTTATTAAACATATGATTCAACGCATGTATGGAGAGCTCAAGAATCAATGTTAATCAATGTGCCGATAACACCATTATATATCTTAACAATTGGAAATATGAACGTTTGTGAAATAACAGGGGATTATACTTTCATGTCGCCCATCTTTTCACGGCGGTAACCAACATGGGCGCGGAATGCAGCGTGCGCCCGCGATAGCCGGGTCACGGAGGACATAAGCAATTCGTAAAACGCGTGAATAGCTATCGGTCTCCTAGGAGGACTCCCCCCCCAATGCTAATCAACCCCCGGGAGTTACTGGGGAGACGAGACCGTATTGAAATTGCAGAAATGTATCAAGGGACGCGGCCAATTACCATTAGAATGTGGCGAGGCTGCTCTCCGACACGCCGAGCGTGTTTAGCCAGATGCTGTCGGCAGAGTGACGAGCACACGTTACAAACAACCGGAACACTTCGTGTTCGGTGGTAACAAGGGTGCGAATAATATGAGCATGTGCGGTTTAACGAAATTTCAATCTACACCGCTCCCTCATTTTTCTCTTGCTTGAACTTAACGGAATGGTCCTGTGTGAAATGCCGCTCTGTACTCGCACAGCCTAAGCCACAAATCCTCCACCTGGGCATTCGTGCACAGAGGGTTGGTTGCCTTAAAAAAAAATCAGCTGACTGGAGCACCGATTGATAGAGGATTCCCAAAAGTGGCTTCATTTGCAGCTCTCTGTTTCGAATAAAAAGGTTAGGTGGCGTGTGCAGGAGCGAGGTAGGGGGCAGTTTTCATCTCGTGTTTACAACCAGTGGTAGTAGGGATGAGTCTATCCTGAGCACCAATGCTTCTACAAAATAGAACCGCATTTCATCAGCCCAGGATAGATGAAGCACTCAGTCGACCATGGCTAAGATTTAAATTCGTGGCCTTACAATCATGACGCTGTCCGCTTTAACAATGGCACTACCTGGTTGGATTTATATATTTATTTTAAACATGTACAAAGCACAATCCATTTACTGGTAGGCAACACGAGTATAAGGGATGTGCGACGGACAGCCTACGAAATGCTAAAGCGTAGGCATCTGCAGGCCAAAGGGGTGGTTGTCGTGACTATCATTATTACTTTTCTTTTACTATTCAAGTGCAAAGATAAACATGGCGTCATGTACGAGCCAACGAGGACGAGCCGACAGCAAATACCGTGAATCATGAAAGAAAAATGCACATTCATAATGCATCGCTCAATTCAAACGCAGGCGATATCGTTTTGTTTTTCAAGAAATCTTTGCCGCGGCACGGGGGAGCGCCCCCCTCGTGTCGGCGTGTTAACGCGACCGGGGCGGACTCTTTTAAAACAAGCCACATGCTCTTCCACCGATCCATGAATCTTAGATGTAGGTTAGAAACGTGTTCCACTGGAGAAATGTTTAATTGATAAGACAACTTCATTTATCTGACGCCAAAAGGGACCGCCTGCTCGTCGCCTAACGGGGAAATGGGGGAGGGCGGCAGTTGATCCGTCCTAACGTAGCATCCGCGCATGACCTTCCCTCACACATGGAGCGCCACCACCCACGGTTCATCTTATCGCGCCGGCCGGCACGCCCACATTTGACACCGCGCCGTCATCACACGAATTGCACTGATCTCTCAACGAGGTGGCCGCATGTTTCGGGGTTCAGGGACGCAGAGCTGGTACTGCTGAGATCCACGGGTTCGAATCTGGGGTTGAGCTCAGTCCCAAATAACTTTATGAATAGAACCTCGTGTACAGACACATACGCAGAGACTCGCACAGAGACCCAGAGATACACATAAACTGGCTTTGGAATAAAAGCCTGGTTCTTAAGCGTAGCGAATTGATGGTCTCAACCTGTTAAATCACGACAGCACAAAAAATGCCATGAAGAAATTTGGTTGTTACTTCATGTGGATAAATTCCAGGGCACATTATTTTTGGATTATTTCTGAAGGCTGCAGATTTATTATGGAAAAAAAACAAGTCCCATTCAGAATTCTCACATCGAGCAGTGAATTACCTTGTATCGGAACACAGCCCCTGGGAGAATGTATTAGACTACTTCTCTGAATTCCCTTAAAAAGCCTCTAATCCATACTAGATAGTGCATCCGCTTATGTCCTTGAAAAAGCTAAGTCATATGACAGTCGAATCTAATTTTGCAATTCTCAGATCTGGAATTGTGCCAATATTAATTGACGAATGAAAAGTAACTCGGCCCGAGACTATCAACTTACTACACTTGAGAAGCCAGCTGATCTCCGTCGTACCAGCTCAGCGCTCTGGGATGGCCATTATCAACTCCCGCTGAGCCACACAATCGCCTCTAAGGCTCCGGCCTTAAAAGTCCATGTGGCGCAGTACCCGCAGTGCGCTCATGCCCTTATCTGCAACTCACTCCGTGCACGTGTCTGAGAAAACGAATGTGTCCGTACCTCCTTCTCCGCCAGCAGAAATAAGCGATGACCCCGACAGATGAGCGCACACATCACGCTAACCGGCAATTCCGACGACACGCGGTTAGCGCCGATTAATAAAATGCCATCCGACATTCCCAAAGGAAGTCTTTATCTTAACGTTCCGCTGTTGAGAAAGACTGTGGCATTTTGTGACATGGAACTGCGCGTAGATTCTTCCTGTTATCCACGTGCTGGCCAAGTGATTACGGCTCTGAGCTATAGACTATGGCATCGGAGTTCGGTTCCCCGCCGTGGCTAACGTCAGTAGCAAGTGAAGTCTCAACCATCCCAGGCCCCCCCTCTTCACCAGCCCGCACTGACCAGCATGGTGAAGTTTCATAATAAAGGTTTTTGGGTTAGATCGCGTAAGTATAATGTGTCGTAACCCTCCACTACCCGACACAGCCAGTAAGGTTTGTCACGTAAACAACGCGCCAATTAGTACATCCAAAACATTTACAATTTGAATACAACGCCAATTAGTTACTACTACAGCCCATCGGTGTATTGGAGAGTAAAGCCACAACATTTACAAATTGAATATGACATTTCGCTCGTAATTACATCCAGCATCATCGGGCGATTTGCCAGAATAGTGAAGTCATCCACCTGCCCCACCTCTTCTTCTGCCTTCCTCTTGATCTCCTCATCTTACAATTACAATGATCGGACATGGTGGCCTGAGGAGCGGAAAGAGAGATGGCGCAGGACAGGGCAGCGTGGAGAAGGTTGGCAAGGACAGCGGGCCCTACATGAGTGGAACAAACGCGTGGAAAAAGAAGACATCTTACAGTTACAATTCCTTATAGAGGAAACACATGCTAATTCAATGATTACTAAACTATTATATAATTACAATACTCCCCCTCCGTCTCTTGATTTCTGCACCTGATAGGTTCAGTGATGATGTCGTCTTGCTCTATTTAAGACCGGAAGCAGGTGGATGGCTTTCCTATTCTGGCAAATCGCCAGATGATGCTGGATGTAATTACGAGCGAAATGTCATATTCAAATTGTAAATGTTGTGGCTTTACTCTCCAATACACCGATGGGCTGTAGTAGTAACTAATTGGCGCATTGTTTACATGACAAACCTTACTGGCTGTGTCGGGTGGTGGAGGGTTATGACACATTTATACTTACGCGATCTAACCGAAAAATCTTTATGATTAATAATATTGGTCACGAAAGCCTATGTGTTATGGTGAATTTTGGTGACACAATCTCGATACCGCATTGGGTGGCACTCAGTCAGCAGTGGCTTGACAAAAGCCCGTATATAATTATATTGCAAAATTATTCCCGTTTCATTCACAAATGAGTTACCAGAAAATAGGCTGGCACAAGTGCTAAATTCACCTCTTACCCACATTTATGCGGACAATAAGAGTCACATGGACGTGGCAGCAAATGCAACCTATTATCCGTATTTATCTGCAGGTGTCCAAGTATTTTTTTCAGACAGGCATGGATAACAATATCTGCCAATAGTACGACAGATAAGTATTATCAACAGTAGCCATGGTTAATCCACTGCTGGAAGAATACCTCCCTGAGCCACCATCCTCCATCACAATCCTGCGATGCAACAATCCACCCAGCACCTGCACACACCACCAATCGCATCGCTCCATCTTCTCAGCGTCCATCCTCGAGGATACGTTACAATATAATTAAACCGTAAATTGAACAATCCTTGGGCGCGTAAAAGTAGTTTCATGAAACGCCGTTCGTTTCTGGTAATGGGGGGAAAAAAAAAAGGACAGCCACGCCCCCCCCCCTCTTCTCCTCCTGCCCCCAATGTAAAAAGGCAGGAACGGCCGACAAGAACAAATGGGATTTTAATAATAGATGCTCCCGTGCGACCAATTAGCAGGCAGGATTCCCATTTCTCTCGGGGCGGAAGACGCACCTGATTGACCGGCTCGTTGAAGTTAGCGATGAGACCGGCACGGAGCGACGACTTCTCCTCCTCCGACAGCGAGCTGAAGGGCAGGCACAAGTAGGAAACACATCATCTTCATCTTCTATTCACATTTAATTCGTAAAAAAAATTATATATGAAAAGTCCCCACTTAACGCGGCGGGGGGGGACGGGGTGCATTCCTGATAATTGCCGCATAAAGAGAATTCGCGTTAAGCAGGAGGAGTTTTCCCGTAAGGAATAAAGGTGGGGGGGGGTGCCGTTCCAGCCCTTAATTTTATTACAATTTTTTTATTTGACAAGACACTGTTTTAGATGTTTATTTTTAAATGTGTTTACATAGTAATACTATAGATATGCTGTGTGACAGTCATTTATTCAAATATAAAGTGTGTGATACAGAGATATGGTGAATGAAAAAGATAAGGGAGTGAGGTAGCGCTGCGCACACAAAGATGCTGCCGGAACAAAGACTGAGGAATTGGAAGGCACACCGTGTACCACAGTACGCATCGGTAAGGTACCAGCGCCGAGCATCATCGAACAAAGATAACAACACCCACGCCGCTCAGAAAAGTAGTCCATCACACACCAGACTCGCGATATAGCAGGCTCGGTGCGAGTTATATGAAAAACGTTCCATATTTTAAAAACCGCGTTACCGCGAAAACGCGAAGTGTGACCGCACGGTAAACGGGGATTTACTCTACATAAATTTGACGTGGTGTGCCATCATTCGTCCCCCCGAGTTCTCATTGGCAGGAGGCCACGCACCGCCCATCGCACGTTCTCATTGGCTCAGAGCGCCCGGCGATGCGGTTAAATGCAGCTTGGTGATGATGAGCACAATGGACAACCAAGCCTTGAGCTGGCAATTACACGGACTGATGATCATTATTTGCTACCCATGTTGCACTTCATTCATGATGAATTCCAATAATGAAGATTATGATTTTTATTTATGATACACTGAAAAAACCAAGAATATGATGAGTCATTATGACGATGGTGTTCCTAACAATTTTATCCGATGGTGATGATGGTGGTGACAATAATGCCGTATTGTGCTCCTGAAAATTATAATTGACATAAAGATATGGGTGATGATGATTTTCTCCTGATGATCATGATGATGATGAATTCCCATTACGCCAACTTCGGACATGCACCCGATGATGACGATGGCTAAGGATAAGCTACTATTGACGATTACTGACGATGCACTCATAATGATGAAATTCAATGACAAATCCCTATGATGATGATTATAACGATGATGATGGTGGTTGATACCAAAACTCCTGTGGATGATTCTGTACAATGTGCTCCTGATAATGAATTCCAATTACGACGATGATGATGATGATGACAAATTCCTATTCAGAGGAGTTGCAGATGACGACAACAATAATATATTTCAGCTTGTAACGCGCCACCGTCGCAGAGTATTCGCTCACTCTCGAAGAGAGAGAACAATTCAGAGGCACGAGGGGGAAACATTAAAGCAGACAGGCAGCAGCCACATGGTGAGCCAGCGCCAACAATTGCGCAAGCTCTGCAGTCCTCTATATATTAAGATGATGCCGGCCAATCAATGAGTATTTACACGTGCGGGCGGGCAACCAGAGCAACCGGGGAAACCCCACACACGCAAGAGGGCAACACTATCCCATACAGACGGAACAGATAAGAGTCCACATTTTGCTGTACCACCTTCTGTTGGCAAACCAGGGTATTGGCTCCTCCCCGACGCTCACGGGAAAGGAGGCTCGCAAGCTGCGTCTGACCCACCAACCCTCACCGTCTCCACAGTGATGAATTACAGGTATGCACCACCACCGCCAGGCTATCTTAATGATGAGGGTGACAGGAGCATACTTGGGAGCCAGGCGCCGCCAGTATCGGTCAATTCCATTCTTGAAGTAGAGGGCAGCGAGCCACCGCACGTGCACGTCCAGACTGTGGTCCATGAAGATGTTCTGCAGGGTTCATGGGGTCACAGGGCAAATGGTTAAGGAATTAGTATAATAAATGCAGTGTTTGCACACCATTCAACGAGAGATGGAAAGAGGATGCCAACGTATCAGAGAACAAATACAAGTTTGAGACATCGCATTGAATTTACATTTATTTTTTTTACTTTGCCTGGGCAGGATGTATCATGACTGGAAAGGATGACAGCCAACAATTGAGACCGGTGACAGAATAGCAGGCAAACTAGAGAACACAGCCAAAGAGGATGACCACCATAATCAGATCAGCTCACGTGCGGCGAGATTGATTTTGGAAATTACAACAGTGAGGGATGGCGCAATAACTTTGAAAACACGGGGAGGCCTTCATCCTGCAGCAGAGAGATCACGGCCGATTGCGATGAAGATATCTGCAACAGTCTCCAACCACAAATATTTAGCCCAATGCATCTTAACATTTTCTGCATTGCAAGGCTAACAGGAACCGGTGCCTTCAACTCAACGACGTCCCAGCGACTTCTCGGCCTGGCTCGCATCAGACCTCCGCATTTCAGAATCAGAATCTTTGTTCATCCTGGAGAAATCCAAAGAGCTATGAAGCTCTTTTTCCAACATATTCAGTAGGGGTGGGTCAGAAAGTTACAAAAATAAACACTACAAGTAACTATAGGAGTGCAGAGTATAGGAAAGGTAAGCAAATCACGAAAAAATACATAAAATATATTAAGTATATAAGTTCAAATTGCATAAGTACACCAATTCCTAACTTGGGCAATGCAGCAAAACAACAAGAAAACAGTCCCAGACCACACCAAGAGAACACACAGTCCCTCAATAAAATTGAACTACCGATACATGGGTAAGGATGAAAGTTACAAATCACAATTGCAAAGGCAGTTGTATCCAGCACTGATCTTCTGCTTCAGGATATTTTTTGAAGGAAGATTTACGATGCTACCCTTTCCCATTGCGATGACATACGTGTACGTCATCAGTTCTTCCCATTCCGTTCTGATTACGTACATTTACGTCATCGGAACGGAATTTATTCCCAAGGGAGTCGAATCGATTCTGAACGAAACCAGGAAGTAAAAGGCCATGCGGGATGGCGTGTGACACAGTTTGGCACCAGCTATCATAAAGTGCGGTCAGATCGCTATACAGTTCTCTGCAGTGAGTACAGTACAATGTCTTTTAAAATAGCAGCGCTAGGTCTCTCTCAGTCAAATGAACGCCAACTGCTTGCGCGTTCCGAGATTCTGCGGTGAACGGGACCCGCCCTTTAACTTGCAGACGTCTCAGAAAGGGTTAAGAGAGGAAACAAGGTTGTTCCAAAACGACGGTGCTGCAACGGCAATGGTTTTGTCACCTATTCCTATTACTCGTTCTAGGGATGGCTAAAAGTCAATTCGATGGATGTCTTAGGTTACTTGGGTTTGGAAATGGGGTTCACGAATTAGCTCGCGCACATTCACCAATGTCCGTAGAGAGGCTCGATCTCTCACCGAGTACCCTGGGATGATGTTGTAAAGCCCGAGCTGCAGACAACACAAGAGGAGCTGCAAAACCCACCAAGAGCCTGCCAAACATCCCGAAAACCAATTAAGTCCTGAGAAAAAGCTCTCGAAACCACCAGGGTTTGACTCCGTGTAACGAATGCTGGCGAGCAGAGCGGACAAAAACGGGCGCCTACAACAGACAAATCATTTCCGACCCCACACAGAAACCTCCCACCCCCACCGTCCCCCCGGCTTCAATGTGACCAGACACCACTGCACCGCATTCAACCATACGAGGAGATCGCACGGGTGTTGCGTCCATCTCACGGGCAAAAGGTAAATAAAGAAATGCCCCCAGCTGCGACTGCGGATCCACACCGCAAGCCGTGTAATATGTCCTAAACCGCTGCCCCAAAGACCATTCAAAGTAGGAATGCAGGAGCCGCAGGTGGCCTCCACAAACGCCATTAATTGGCTCAATAAACTGGACCTTGAAAGCTAAATTACTTTGACTGTTTTACACTCAGCTACACGCGAGAAGAAAAAAACAGAGAATGAGTTTACGTACTTTAAAAAATAAGCCAGATGCAATTTGTGTTTTCATAATGTAGCGCACAGTAAATTGCATTCTACATCAATGAATATTAAGCAGTCTGTGTAATGAATTGCTAAATTGCGTTAACGATAATGAGGCAGGGATCTCAAATGGCAGTCAGCCCATCGGTCAATTGCACACGTTCCACCCCCAGTCTATTGATCGTCACAACTATGATGAAAACAAGGAAGAAAAAGCATGCATACGCATGAATTAAACAATACTTTGCAACATGCAATTTTTTTTATTGCTGATAAGCATTTCATTCCTGACAAGTGTTACGTTCCAAGCCACACAGAGATATGTCTCTGTTGTGAGTCTGTGAGTTTCTGTGCGAGTCTATGGTTATCTGTGCGAATCTATGGTTATCTGTGCGAGTCTATGGCATCTTCCTTTAGGATGAGGAGTCATTACATCGGTTCTCGAGCGCCATCCTATGGCCATATAAACGTGTAGGGACAGAACACGCTCGCAGGTGGAACGGTGCTGCCACCTGGAGTAAAACCAAGGTTGATTTCAAATGCTGAAACGTTCAAACAGCACTCACACATAACACGCGGTAGCTGTCGACATTATTAATAAGCCAACGTATGCGATAATTACATAAAATCCGGCCACATGGATCAGCGGTAGAGTGACCGGACTCACAATCAGAATGTTTCGAGCTAAAACCATGTTCGGGGGTTGACTCAGCCCATCACACCGAATGGGGTCAGTTAAAATGAGTTCCACTGTGTACGGAAGTCAACAGTGCTTGTCATATGGAGATACTTGCCATAGGAATGTGTAATTTCTGTAATTTGTTTGTGTGACCCCCCCCCCCCTCTAGCCACTAGAGGCCACTACAGTCACAACAATGTAAAAAAAAAGCGACTAGACTATTGATTGAACGCTTCATGCAAGCGCGATGGAGCTGAAACTTTAAACGGCTAATTGAATCCACCCCGGAATGCTGACGCCCACGGCCTGGAGGGGCCCAAACACAGGGTTACAAAAGGCCGGGGGGGGGGGGAGAAATCGGGGGGCGGGGGGGTGAATGGATCCCGGGACCAGTGCCAAACACGGGACACCACAGGGGTGAACACGCGTGAAATGGTTTGTGCAAGAGCCGTCGGAACACCTGCAGTTCTCCGTTAGAAAAACAAACTGAACTTTTGGACCCATGACGTGGTAGTCCGAAGGCACAACAGGGGGCAACGTGTGATATTATCAACCCGAGCGAGGCGTTACATCTGAATCAAACGTGTCAATCTAAACAAAGTAAACTTAGCACGCAGCCGGCTAAAATTTAAACACGAGTGCATTACCGTTCCCGCGTTGGTGATGGGGAGGCTGGTGAGCAATGATTTATTAGTTTGAGTTGAAATTCCAAGAAAGACACGGGAAATGTAAAGTATCTCCTGATACCTGCCGTGCATCAAAAGCTATGCTGAGACACTCAAGATGGAACTTGAGACTATCACCTGCCGGCATTCATTCATTGTCACGACAAGAGCAGGGTGAGTAGTCGTTGAAGATGTAATACTGTTTTTCTGTGACCCGGTGGGCTCGGAGGTCAGCGACACAGAGCTGGCACTACTGCGACCATGGGTGTTTGAATTCCGAGTTTCAGCCTCAAGTGCAGAGTTGCACTGTCTGTCCTGACAGAAAGTGAGTGATTTCATCTTCATCCTCACATGGAAAGTATTTCAATGAGAAAGCATATTTGAGGGGTTTTATAGGGGGGAAAACCCCATGTAAGCTTCACCGTAACACTTCCAATCCAGGCTGACCGGTGAAGCTCCACTTTCATTCATTTTTATTTTTGTCATCTCCCCATGAGTGGAAACACGATTTTAAAAAAATTGCCATAAATTGCACATATGCATCGTGTGTATGTTTAATTTAAAAAAAACTACAGTGACCAAAAACACCAAATTTGTCAATAACTGTAACTTTAAAGATACTGCCTTTATACTCTTACGATGCAATTATGGCTTTATTTTTTTGGTGATTTCGAAAAAGTTTTGTGGTTTGGACATGTTTGTTTTGTTGTAGTACGGAGTTAGACTGATGGCCTTAATCTAAGTTTTCTTGTGGTTGTTGTTGTTGTTTGACTTGCATCCCACTGGGATTTTCTGCACACAGCGTTGGTGTACGGTGCTTTTTTTCAGGAATATTGTGCTGTTTTTTTCATGGATTTTCTGTTTGCACAGTCACATAGTCACTTTAAGATGTTTTTCTTGTTTGTGTTTTTGTTTTTTTGTTTGTTGTGGTTGCACCCGATTCAAGAGCCGAATGGCTCACAGGGCTATACCAAAATAAATAAACTGAAACTAAAATACGATTTAAAAAAAAGACCATATCACGAAGCTTATGTTATGAGCAATGATTTCTCTTCAGAGCAGAACCAATTATAAAAGATACTGCCTGTCAAAATATTACCCTATTATATTATTTGATGTGAGTCAGTGTTGATAATGCATTTGTTTTGCATTTTTTTTAAATCACTGCCAAACATTATATGCTTAAAAAAATTGTAAAAAATCCCATGGGGCCCTAATGGATTGTGATCGTAAGAAATAATTAAATTATTGCACTAGACAGCAGTTTCTTTCCCGGTTTAATATATTTAAAAATACGTTTTGCCATCATCTAGAAAACACAGACCTGGAAAGCTCAAAGGCGGATGGCCTAAACATGTATTTTAATTTTATATTCATGTGTGCGGATAACTTTTGTTCAGTTATTCACTTATCGAATCGAATAAGAGGCAGCACTCCCGCTTGATTAACTGCCACACAAATTAGGCCGCGAACCGTCAGCGATGTTGTTCCACAGCAAACGCGCAGCATGGCAGCACAGTGCGGGGTCAATACAATGCGTTCACCGATAAAAGAAATCCACACAGTAGCAGAACAGTGCTGGCACTCGCAAGTAGTGGGCTGCAAAGACCATTGTGGGTCCGTTCATGAAAGCGATTTCCTCCCAAAAGACCGTTTATTTCATGTGGACAGCGATCAATAATTACACACACGGCATGGTGGCAATGGGGCTGCGGTGGCCCCGAGCAGCTGTTTGTGAGATAAGCCGCGGTGAGATGTCGCCAAACTGACTTGCTTTCTTCTTTTTAAAAATGCCAATGATTTTTCTGACACCATCTTCATCCCCACCACTCGTGTTTTGTATAAGACATCTTATCGCAAAAGCCCCCCCTGCATCACCACAAAATCGGCAATACTAAAAAAACACAATTTAAAAACGTGGAATTTTCAATTTGAACCTAAATGTCGTAACACTATCAATCATCTTCTTAAATCAGACACAATGGGAGCAGGCTTCAGTCGCCCATCAAAGCACCAGATAGGCATCTGGATGCCATAACAACACTTCTTAACTCGGAAACATCAAACAGCGAGTGATCGCTACAGGAGGCTGAGTACCAGAAATTCCAATTTGGTTGGACAGCCAAGTAGAGTTGACTCAAATGCACGCAAGTTCGCCAGTTATTCCAGAACTCAAGTTGATGGACAACACAAGCTAGTTAAAAAAGTGGCGTTTCCATGATTTTCCAAGTTACTTGCGTTATCACGTGAATAGGGCAGGTCTTACCCAAATCCTTATACCTCTGCTCGGTCCAATTCGTTCAGATGACAACTGACAAAAGTCAGATATTTTCAGTGCTCATTTCCTATTTAGAGTCCAGAGAGAGTGGTGGAAATTACACATTTCTATGGAGGGGGGAAGTCTCTCCATTGGACAACCACTATTGATTTCTCCACAATGTGGTTCTCAATTTGTCAACCTCTGAGGGATGATGGACTGAATGAACCCCCAACCAGGATTTGAACTCACAACCTTCTTACTGCGAGCCACTCTATCACTGAGCTAACAGGCCAGACCAGCATACTACATTCAACCCCATGTAAAATAAAAAATCGAAATAACATATTTGAATAAAAATGTAATAATTATTTGAACCACAAAAGAGGACCTGAAGGCCCACTATCCATGGGGTACATGTTCGGGCAAACAATGATTTCTGCAACATTTTCTACGATAGGAAATTCAGTTGCCCAAATCTACAGTAGTTAAATATGATTGCTACGCCACCTAGTGGGCAATTCTACTGAAACTTTCATAATAAATGAAAGTGTTAAACCTACGCGTTGAACTGGAAACTTTAAATCAGGTCACAAGAAGTTAACAACTATGAAATGCTCATTGGTCATCAAGCACAGTCTTTAGACAACTCCATCACTTTATGGCAGGGCTCTAAAACTGGCAGCGCAAAGCAAGATGTGGTCCCCAACTGCCCTTGAAGTGGTCCACAAAGCTATGGCTTACCAAGGGAATTGGCTCACAAGCGAGATGAAATAGAGATAAACAACGATTAAGATGACAGAGCCGTAGAGATCAATATTAGCAGAGATGTCCAGATGTCGATACGTGGCCTGCCAGGACATACCAGTTTTATTATTAAGCCTGCCTGAAAACATAGTTGAGGAATTACGCTCTATGGCATTGCTATACCAAGTTGCCACAGTTGCTCGGAGCGAACACGTTTCAGGTTACCATCGAAGGCAACGGTTGCCTTGTTGTGTACAGCAGACCCGGGGTCAAATATTATTACGACATTCTTCTCCAAATTTACAATTACATTCCGAATGCAATTAATTACAATCCTGACGCAATTCCAGCCGGAATTCACACTGGCTCTAGTGCGTCCGTGGCTTTAAAGTCGGCCCGCCCGACGCTGCGTCTCAGCTGGCGCGCCGGTGCTCACCAGCAGGACGCTGTAGAAGCCCGGCTGGATCTCCCACTGGCGGAGCTGCTCCTCCGCTGGTTTGAGCACGCTGGCATCCTGGTTGGTGGCGCGCGTCAGGGTCTGGATCACCACGACGCTGGCACTCGCCAGCTCCATAGCCCTTCTTCTCTCTCTTTGCGTCGCGAGCAAGCGCTCTGCGTGATGTGTCACTCTCTCCGCCGAGTCGAACGTCCAGGGACTTCAAACCGCTCCAAAACGAGCTATGGGTGGGAAGGGGTACGGGGAGTTCAAGATTGTTTGTGGTCCACACGTTAAAGAAAACGCCTGACTACATTACAGCTGGAAATTAAAAATGTTGGTTTGAATGTGATGCGACGATCATTACTCTCATATGCAGTGGGAAATTGCTGCCCCCTACTGTGCGAACCGGAGAGCTTATTGCGGTGATCTCAGAGGTAGCTCTGTGATATCCGCTTCCATGGGCCGTTCTCTGATTGAAAGGGTTGAGAGGTACAAAGCGATACTTTGTCTCATGATAGGACACCGATAGCACACCCAAGAAAAAACTGAGATTATAAAAGAAAACGAAAATAATGAAATACAACACATTTAACCCCATACATTCTCCAAGGGGTCGCTTTTTAATTCTGCTGGGCTTGGTTTAATAGGTCGAAGTGGGATTGTTGCATCGTAGAAACCGTATCATTGCCACCCGCACAATGTGTTAGATTTAAGAGCATTAGGTGCCCATGAAAGTGATCAAGAGAACGTGAAGACACCCATCTTAAAACAGCTGAAAAAAATTGCAAAAAGTACAGTATAGGCCCCAGAGGCATCATGAATATGGATGACGTTCTGACATTGTCTTGTAAATGTCCAAAAAATAAGAGGCAAATACGAGATGACATAGGGCCTATTTAATAGCAAACCAGAGGGGCATTGGTCACATTTTTATAAAGAGACATTTTAGGAGCCCATAAAATCCGGGGCCCTGTTAAAAGGGACTATTTTAACGTGGCACAGATTCCATCGGTCCCATTTAAAATAATAAAAGAGACGAGAGAACATTGGGGAGGGAGGGAGGGCCTCATTTAAAGAGATGCCATCATTGAGGCCGGACAACATGGGGCCGGCCCCACATAAGAGGCCAGAACACGCGGCGGCCCACTTAACATAGACGAATACAGAGCCCAACGGAGAGGACTTTGGGGAGCACATTCGATAAGGACAGAGACACAGCTCCGCGTGTAATCGCCGCTCACAAAGCGGCCTCCGAGACGGGCAGAGCGGAGCGCGAATTGCAATCAACGTCGGCCGCGCGAGTTCCCCTTCTCACTGCGACACCGCCCAAACAATCTCCCTCGGGGTTCTTCCATCCTCTCCTTTCTCTCCTCCCCCCCCGGGCAACAGCAGCAGCAGCAGCTCAGACTCCCTCGTGCGAGCTTTTCTCACCTGGCAACGATCAACGTCCACCGAGCGAGTTCATTCCGTTAGCGTTGACGTTCAACTCGAGCGATCCTTCTCACTTCGTTGCGTTTAACCGAGCGAAGAAGCAGCAGCAGGAGCCTCATCCAGTCCCGGCATGGCTCTCACGTTTTTTTTGTGTGCTATCCCACCACCAACGACTCCGCCTCTTGCCCGTGCGACGAAGCGATAGAAATCCACAACACGCTCGATCGCTGCTGCTGCTCCCTGTGCCAGTCAAGGCGACACACAACGTCGGCCATCTTACGTAGGGATTTTTTGTTTTAAAAAATAACCTCGTCTTAACAACCACATTCGGTTTGATATTAAAAAAAACTACACTTTTGTATTTTTTTATTTTTTTATTTTATTGTTTCCCCTTCTACGTGACTGTACCGAAAGAACCAAGAATGTTTTGTATTATTACTACACGCTTTTATTTAACTCACTGTTGTTGTATCCTCAAATCCTGTAACTCAATTTTAACCCACTTCCCAATGTGGTATCGACTGCAAACTTGGTATACTTATGTCATACTGATGGCAATACTATATTCTATCATTAAAATAAAATATATTTTTAAACATTATTTTTTACATGTTATGTTTCGGCTTGGGTCTAATTGTCCACGCTCAACTGACGTTGGCCACTTCCAGGAGTCGTGGATTTCTGACATTACGAGTACGGTACATTTCATTAAAGCGTGTTTTTAAAAAAGTATTTTTAAATATTACTTATTTGAAAACTTTTTTTACATTTTAGTACCAGTGCAAAGGCCCACTGAGCTGTGTATCTCTCTTTTTGTTTTCAGAAGCGACCTGGCCACAACAAAATTAAATTTCCACGATTTAAACCACTTTATATTCTTGGTTCTTTCGGTAAAGTCACGTTGAAGGGAAACAATTAAATATATATAAAACAATAAAATTCTCACGACGTTTCGACTGTAACACAAACAGTCATAATCAGGTGTTAAAAAAACCAACGGCGTGCTTCAAGAAGCACGACGCTTCAAGAAGCCGTTGGTTTTTCACACCTGATGATGACTGTTTGTGTTACAGTCGAAACGTCTTGAGAATTTTATTGTTTTATATATATTTTATTATTTTATTGTTTCCCTTCAACGTGACTTTACCGAAAGAACCAAGAATATGAATCACTGCAGTCACGAAAGCTTTAAATACAAATTTATAACCAAAACATTGTTTAGTTTTATTTACATATTTAAGTGATTTATTTACCTTCCATATACTTTACACTCCCATCGTGATTTTTTTATATTTGGCTGCTCTAAAAATTACAGTATTTTAAAAAAAAAATTCTTAACTATTTATTTTTTTACCAGGTGAGGCCCCACTGAGCTGTTTATTTAAGTTATTTTTTTTCAGAAGCGACCTGGCCACAATAAATTATAACTCAACTACTAAATAGCTTATCGTGTGGAAATGTATAGCAGCAAATGTCAATTTCCACACGATTTAAGCCACTTTATTGATGCTATCATTTGTGGCCAGGTCGCGTCTAAAAGTTAATACCTCAGTGGGCTTTACCTGGTAAGATAACACAATATAGTTTAGTTTTATTTGTGTATTTCAGTGATTTGTTGTATTGCCGTTGTAACGTTCTCAACACGGTGCACTCACAACCCTTTACTGGAAACCCGCGATTTAAAAAAAAAACACACAAACAACAAAAGCGCTTTACAGCTCATCAGATTCCTCCAGCCCTCAATAAACATTCCCACGGCTTCTTGGATTGGTTGCCCTGCGGGGTGACAGCACGCCGAGAGCGTTATGCTAATGAGGGAGGGGAGGGCGGTGAGGGGGGAAGAGTGAGGGGAGGGAGGGGAGGGGGCGAGAGGGGAGGGGGCAAGAGGGAAGGGGGGGGAAGGGTGAGGTGGGGAGAGGGGGGGGGAGGTGAGAGGGCAAGAGGGAAGGGGGGAAGGGTGAGGTGAGGGAGGGGAGGAAGAGGGGGGTAGAGGGGAGGGGGCAAGAGGGGAGGGGGGGGTGAGGTGAGGGAGAGGGGGGGAGAGGGGAGGGGGAAGGGTGAGGTGAGGGAGGGGAGTGGGCGAGAGGGGAGGGTGAGGGAGGGGAGGGAGGGAGAGGGGGCAAGAGGGGAGGGGGGTGAGTTGAGGGAGGGGAGGGAGAGGGGAGGGGGAAGGGTGAGGTGAGGGAGGGGAGGGAGAGAGGGGGAAGAGAGGGGAGGGAGAGAGGGGGAAGAGAGGGGAGGGAGGGGGAAGAGAGGGGAGGGAGGGGGGAGATGGGAGGGAGGGGGGAGATGGGAGGGGGGAGATGGGAGGGAGGGGGAGATGGGAGGGAGGGGGGAGAGGGGAGGGAGGGGGGAGAGAGGAGGGAGGGGGGAGAGGGGAGGGAGGGGGGAGGGAGGGGGGAGAGGGGAGGGAGGAGAGGGGAGGGAGGGGGGAGAGGGGAGGGAGGGGGGAGATGGGAGGGGGGAGATGGGAGGGGGGAGATGGGAGGGAGGGGGGAGATGGGAGGGAGGGGGGAGATGGGAGGGGGAGATGGGAGGGGGGAGATGGGAGGGAGGGGGGAGAGGGGAGGGAGGGGGGAGAGAGGAGGGAGGGGGGAGAGAGGAGGGAGGGGGGAGGGAGGGGGGAGAGGGGAGGGAGGGGGGAGATGGGAGGGAGGGGGGAGATGGGAGGGAGGGGGGAGATGGGAGGGAGGGGGAGATGGGAGGGAGGGGGGAGATGGGAGGGAGGGGGGAGATGGGAGGGAGGGGGGGAGATGGGAGGGAGGGGGGAGATGGGAGGGAGGGGGGAGATGGGAGGGAGGGGGGAGATGGGAGGGAGGGGGGAGATGGGAGGGAGGGGGGAGATGGGAGGGAGGGGGGAGATGGGAGGGAGGGGGGAGATGGGAGGGAGGGGGGAGATGGGAGGGAGGGGGGAGATGGGAGGGAGGGGGGAGATGGGAGGGAGGGGGGAGATGGGAGGGAGGGGGGAGATGGGAGGGAGGGGGGAGATGGGAGGGAGGGGGGAGATGGGAGGGAGGGGGGAGATGGGAGGGAGGGGGGAGATGGGAGGGAGGGGGGAGATGGGAGGGCGCCCCCCTGAGTAAGATGGCGCCTGCGCAGCGCTCGCCACCCGCTGGATTTGGCGGGAAACGCCGCGTCGAGTGGCGCTGCCGAGTCTCGATGACCGGCGGGAGTTGCCCGAGCGCGCAGATTCGTGCCACCTCCTGAAAATAAATTACATCACATTAGTTTAATTTTTTTTGTTCCACAGGCGCGTTTCTACAATTGGCCGTTATAATTTCGCATCGTTATTACATTTTTGGGGGGGGGGTTTGCCGTACTATTTTTTTTGCACATAGATCGGTTGCGCTGCCGAATTGGTGCAAAGTTGTCACGACCGTCACCCGTTGTGAATCTGCGCGTGCGAAAAAGGCACTCGCCGTGCGCTACGTTGCTTCCTCCGAGCGAGGCCTGTACGCGCGGCTCCGCGCACTGTACCCGGTAAACAGGGAAATTAAAATCGTTTAAAACAATTAAGGTAGATAGTCGCAGTTCTGACGCATACTCGCTGCTGTTGTTGTTGATATCGTCTCGGTCGGTGCCTCCGTTGTGCTTCAATGAAGTCACGTGATGTGGTTAGCAGCCGTAGCACCCAGAGGCACCGCCTCGTCCAGTGTTAAACGTCTAAGACTTTAAAGTATTTTAAGGTTGAAGTAATACAATTTAAATTGCGCCACTTGTGTAGAAATTGGGTGTCGCAAACAAAATAAATGATCTCTTTGGTTTCTGCAGTGTACAGATCTCATTTACGTGGCACCTCAATAGCAGCGTCACTGTGTTATGTTAAATAATGTTTGACAGTTATTGTCACCATAACTCGCGTTTTTCCATATTAATAAATTGTTCACATTATTGTTAGTACTCTATGTCCCCACACAAGATGATTGATAGACGTAGTGAAGTAGTTTGACAGCGTGTCCGTGTTGCATTAGAATCCATATACGTACTGAATTACATAAATACACGTACGCACATGCAATAGAATATATTTACATATACCTAAATGGTGCATATATCTGCGTGTGTGTATATACTGCACATGTACGAAGTGAGGTCCCATTGAGATGGTCTATTGCAGAGGAGACCTCAAATATTAAGCAGTTCACTGAGAGCGATCGTCGCTTAAACCTAAACCAGGGGCGTAACGAACGTGTGAGAAAGCACAACTATTAAACAATATATTACAATATTTACAAGCATAATACATATTTACGATTCTCGACATCTTAATACGAAGCGACCATGGACGAAAAATACAGCAGTAACGTGATTTCAAGCGGCAAACTGGGGTCGATTGGGAGCAACCACAATTCTGGGTAAGTCCGAGTTGTCGCATGCTTATAAGATATTGGTACTTGGTAGATCGCTGCATTTCGATGTTTTGTGTATCGATTGAAACCGAAGGTAGAAAACTGACCGCGCAAAAACGAAATTGTCCACACAGACGAGCCCACTGGCGTGTCTGAAAATCTGGCCCGCTTTGGGCAACTCGCAGCCTAGGGAGTTTTACAAACAGCCGAAACATTGCAATCCAATGCAATTGCATTACAGGCGTGAGCTACTATCTTTTCAGTAATCGTGAGCACAATTCTAAGGAATGGGACAGAACCCTTTGGCTCATGGCCCAGATGCTTAATTTTTGTTTACGGTCTGTTGGTGCCTACACGAGTCTTTCCACTTTGAAACGGCCACAACAAATGAAACGTATCCGTCTCTGTAAGCACCATAGCCGCACTATTTGCTTACAGTTCTTGGAATATCTTCGACGTGGCAACATTGTGTTTTTTTTTTCTAATCTTAGTGTAGGCAGTGACATGTTGCTGCTGCTGCAAGGGTCTCTTGCAGCGACATTTGAACGAGGCGTTTGTTAATGTGTGGTCTGCCAAAGGTATTTTAAAAGTTCTCTTCTCTCAGCGATGAGAATGTTCCCCTACCCTCATCTAAGGAAACACATTGTATATTTCCCAGTTGTGATTGGAGAGACGCACTGGTGAAAATGTTTCCTAGCACAAACGAATAATGGGGTGGTGCGCACATTTTTTGGATTCCCTGCGCTATGATGCACGAATTTCTGGTGAAATAACAAGCTGTGATTTTTTCCGATTGTCTTTTGAACCTTCAGGGTGGCGAGGTACATCGTGTTGTTGGCCATTGCGAAGTTGTTGAAATGTATTGGCCTCTTCGAAGCCTACGACCTGCTGAGGGTGGTCAACATTGTCCAGTTTGTGTTCTTGGTCAAGTTCGGGTGAGTGTCTGCAGGCATGCGTACTTCACCGCTGTTCGTGAATTTGTTGTCACATCTGATTAATACATCGTTCTGCAACTGCACTTTAGTTCAAATGTCAGAGTGGTTCTATTCAGAAGAGTTTGGGCTGGTGTGCATCTTCAGATTAAATTCCTGAGTCACTGGTGGAACCACATAATGTGCTTTGCAGAAATTATTGTATTCAGAGGATGTACAACTTTTGACCTTTCACAAAATGGTAATGGTTTTAGTCAAGTGCGAACTGGGATCTGAACTTGTTGGCCTTCTGTTTTGGAGTTGTATGCTCTAGCCACTGTTCTTCCAGCTGGATTTTATGTTGACACCTAAGATTAAACACAGAAGCCAGTGCAATTAACCGTAATATTGATTTCCACTGCGTGATAAGTCAATAAGGAATTGTAATTTCAGGTCTGCAGCTTTTTTGCTGTTCTTCCAAAAGCCATTCTCTTCTGGCAAAAGGATCACTCGGAGACAGGTGTGTAAACAACATGTTTCGATCCTGCACGTTAATTTAAAAAGGTCTGGGTTATGTTTAAGATATACCTTAGCGAAATTGTTAACATGTTTTTCCTCTACAGTGGGTGAAGATTGTCCGAAACGCATTCTTTGGCTGTGTCGTGTCGCTGCTGTGGTTTTACGGCCTTGCACTTTGTGGACCCTTGAGGTGAGTGCTTTTAGATGTCACTTTACCAAAAGCAAAGATAGCAATTGTACTTAAATCTGTTATTCAACATTATGTGGTCACATAAAATCATCCCATGGCATATGACTACAGTCACCAATCTAAAATCATGGAGCACATAGTAAAACCACTACCCGTTTCAATAATTCGCTGGTAGATTTTAAGATATTTACCAGGATGCGCTGAAGCCATCCACTTTCTCACTTATCATTCTCGACATGAACATATAAACGTCGCTGATCAACTCCCCGCCATTCAGACTGCTCAAGCTTAACAGTGGTGAGTGGGATTAAATAGGTAATTTGCCACAATATTATTATGTTTAAATAATGTAATAATATTATTATTTGTTTACTGCTTAAAGTCTTGTGACTCATTTGAAGGAAAGGTATGTCAAGTGAGATGTTTGGTCAATTCCCTTTTTAGTATTTTATTTTGCAATGATGTACTTTTTAATTTTGTTTTCTCAGGACCATTTTGCTGTTTGAACACAGTGACCTCCTGGTGCTATCGCTGCTCACCACTCTCTTCACAAGCTCCACCGGGAGCCCTGCTAAGGTTTAAAGCCATGCCGTTTCTGTCGTTGTCTCTGACAAAAGCAATTTTTATTTAATTGTTTCCCAGTACAGATGCAAATAATGTGTGTAATTCGTGAGGTCCAGAGAGCTGAGGATTCTAGTCATGTAATTGTTCTTATTTCCACAGACCAGAGGATCTGTATTATTCATCATCGGTGTCATCTGCCTGTTATTGTTCGACAACGATGACCTCATGGCAAAAATTGCAGAGCATCGTATCCTTTTGCAAAGCCTTTGTGTGTGTTTTTGTATTGTGTGCAGCCCATTGTAAATCCGCTGCTAGATGAAGGCCTTTGCATGCTGTCTTGGCTATTGGGATGGTTTTGTCTTTGCAATGCTCAGAAGTTGCTGTTGGTGAAGGGGTGGCCCAGGACTGGTTCGGGTATCACTCGCCGCTGATGTTAGCCATGACTAGGAATTGTAAAGGTAACTTCCCCATGGTGACGAGATGTTAACTACCTCGCCTGGTATAGAGGAGGTCGTGGGTTTGATCCCGACCCTGCCTCGTTTGCATGTTCTCCCTGTGGTCGCATGGATATTTTTATCCAGGTTCTCCGGGTTTCCCTCCACATTTAGAAACATGAATTTAGAGTAGTTGTCTGTTGTGTACGTACGTACATTGAACTTCTTTTACACCGTATGTAGCCAACCGTGCTAAGTATAGTTGCCATACTTTTCCATGTGATAAGTCACTTTGTTGAGCTATCAATTATGCCCAAGTCGCTTCTGAAAAAGAGCTATATAGCTCAGTGGGCCTTTTCTGGTCAAATAAAATTAAAAAAATAGTTTTATAGAATGCACAATGGCAGGTTTGCAATGCAATGCCCCACTTCCCTTCTGATGTAAAGCTATATTAACTCATCTTTATTTCCCTTCTGTTGTATTTTAGAGATGACGGGGCCATATGAGATCTTTCCACCTGTTATTGTCTTGGGCCAGCTTCACTGTTTCCTTTACTTGTTGCCATTTTTAACAACGATAACAATGTTTAGTTTTATGCGTCGTTCGTTAAAATTGCATCTCGCAATCGCTGAGGATCCAAAGATAAGCTGGAAGGCAGGATCTAGGTGGTGAGCTGGTGCCAACAATTGCCCAAGCCAGGGGCGGAGCCAGGATTTCAGTCAGGCTGTTGAACTAGACGCCATCGGTTGGCGACACACTCTGACAATGCAATTGCACGGAGTCCGCCAGACCGAGTGTCGTACACTTATACGCAGATGTCAGCCCTGTCACCTCCCCCCTGGCTCCGCCCCTGGCCCAAGCTCTGCAGTCCTCTGAAGATGTTTTCAGCCGATTAATGTTTTATTTTAATGAGTGTTTACTTTGGCCGAGATCATTTTTCACCATGTAAATATTTACTTGGATAATGTTTAGAATTAAATTTTTCGTCTGCTAATAAGCCTTAAGCATGTAATGTTGTTAATGATGTGACTTCTTGGAAGATGTTTCTTTTCCTTAAGCTGTACACAGCTGAAGACCATCACGACAGTGCCTTGACCCATGCGCTGCACACTGCCATTTCTCTTCTGGGTCTGGCAGATCACAAGGTAATGAAGTTGCTTTGCTGCAGTCTAATAATGGAATGATAAAAATACGTAGTAATAAAAATATGTAATTTACCTATAACAAAAAAACCTTCAGTCGCAAATATTTTCTGAAGGCTGCTGGTCCATTCTGGTTTTTGGCCAATTGCTTAACAAATGGGAGTGGCCAGAGAAAATCCACTCTTAAGACCCATACAGAGAGGTTCACAAACATTTACCATGTTGCCATGTAATCGCCACCTCTCAGCCTGGCAAGGTTAGGAGTTTTACAAATCTCTGGGATCCACGAACAATTAACGCCGTCCACATTTCTGGATCATTCGCGGTATCCCCTGCATATTTGCGAGTGTAATTAGTATGGCACATCCGGTTGATATGAATCTCACTCATTGTCTTGCCCCCTTTTTGTAACGCCCCCCCCCCCCGAGGCGGTGGTGGTAACAATGAGTGTGAACACGGTTGTGCACAGGGTGGGGTGCTCCTGCTGGTGCTGACGCTGCTGCTCAAGGTCGGCTACCACGCGGCCTCGCGCAAGCTCTCTATCGAGGTGGGGGGCAGCAAGCGCCTCAACGCCCTCTCCACGTTGGTGTCGGCCGGCCTGCTGCTGCCCTGGGCGCTCGTGCTGTCATCCACCACGGAGGTACGACTGCGATGATGTCAACAGCGCTGTTCACGTGGGTATTGTGTCCCTCTCATTTGCCGGAGTGATGGCTTATTGCTGTAGCCACTGTTAAGTTGTTTGGACGTGCAAGTGTCTTGTTCTAAAACTGACGAGGGATCGGGAAGGTTAACTATCTCATGCAGTTTAACACGTAGGCTTTCGCAACCAATATCTATAATAAAGGTGTTTTTATGGGTGAGATTGTGTAAATATAAATGTGTTGTTAAACCTGCCACTATACGATACAGCCAATTAGCAAGGTTTGTCACGTAAACAAAACGTGCCAAATAGTTACTACTTCGGCACACCGGTGTGTTGGAAAGTAAACCCACAACATTTACCGTTCGAGTATGACATTTTGCTGGTGATTACAACCAGCTTCATCAGGCAATTAGCCAGAATTGTGAAGAAGTCCTATGTCCTGCAATGGAAGCCTGGGTTATTAGGCATGTACGGGATTACTCCTCTTATTAACGGCAATGTGGGGGACGCAAATCGCGGATCCTATTGTTTCACAATTTTACTCCACTAATTTGCGAGGTAAAAATGCGAATAACCCGTGTATAACCGGGACGAATTTGCCTTGCGACTCCAGCTATTCTTAAAAAATTGCGGCTAATAGGCTGATAAGAGGAGTCCTGTAATGGTTAATAGATTAAAAACCAAGTCAGTCCACGACCGCATGAGTGCTTCCGCATGTCGTATCGGTAGTGGGGCTCAGACTGACAAAAGGGCTGTACATTACAACCTACCTCGTCGCATTTCCGCCTTTGCCTCCTCGTTCTTCCCCTTTTGGTCGCTAAGCGTGACAGCCCGGCAGTAGATTCACAAAGGAGAGCCGTACACACACTTAACACATTACCGCGGACATTCCCGCGTGGGCTTTCCTCCACCCCCCGCCGCCGCAGAACAAGGTCGGCTCGTGGGGCCAGCTGCTGTGGCCACTGCTGGTGGTGGTGTTCACCGTGTGCGTGCTGGACTACTACGCGGACGCGGTGTGCGTCGCCAAGTTGGAGAACGCGCGCTGCACCCGTCTCAGCGCCGTCTTCCTGGTGCCGTGCGCGCTGGCACTCGCATGGCTCTGGGGGCACCCGCTCGCCGACACGCTGCGGCCCTTTGAGCGGCCCGCAGGCCCTGGCGACACGGAGCACGTACTGTCTGGAGGCGTGGCCGTCAGCGCCAGCTTCTTCCTCATAGGTGGGCGCTTTTTTGGGATGGACGGGGTTGGATTCGTTATTTTAGATTAATTTTTACGGTCATTATTGCAACGGCAGCTTTGGCTCGCCATCGAACAAATACAGTCACTGCATTGCACGCTTTCGAATGCGCTTCTGCGGCCGTCTGGAACACTCTTCTTTACGATATTAGGAAGCCACTTGAGCTACGCACTTTTGAATCTAGATTGACAAACTAATTTCTTTAGAGCTGCTTTTTGTGTTTAGTTTGTTGTCCTTCCCCCGCACCTCCGATGAGCACGGTTGGCTACGTATGGTTCGAAAGAAGTTCAACATTCATTCATACATAATCGTCAGCATCAGCCATGGTCAATCCATTGCTACCTCTCACTATCCTGCCATGGGTTTAAGTGCATCGGTCATGGGTTCAGGTTGGGGGGTGGATTTGGCAATTTGACTGGCATCTCTCCGAGTAACTGATTGGTATGGGTGTCCTTCTTCAGTAGGGCTGCTCAGATTTAGATGGATGATGAATGAATCGGCCCGTCCTGTCTGCTGCAGCATATCGTTCACAAGAAACAAAACATGAAAAAGTGCACAAAGAATCATGCTTGGAATTACATTGAGTGACAGAGAAACATGGATTAGAGAAGATGTCCAGGTTGGAGGTAATGCAAGCTGATTCTTGGGTAGGACACGTACAAAACTCCTACATATATGCTCCACCGCCGACCGGTGCGGTGAAGTATGGTCCAAACAACCCTTGTGACCTGCGTGGCGTGGGGAGGCCCTCATCCAGCAGTGGATTAACAAAAGGAGGCTGTGCGTTATAATGTACCGTTATGCATTGAGAGAATCTCCCAAGGCAAGCGTCCACACTCACGAATTGCCCATTGCCTTGTGACCTCTGCCCTTTTGCGTTGGGTCACCAACTGACTTGCCCGCGGTGCCACCGCCTGGCGCAGCCACCACCATCCTGTCGTCGCCGAACAAGCGCGGGCAGAAGGGCAACTTCGTGGGCTACTCCCCCGAGGGCACGCCACTCTACAACTTCATGGGGGATGCCCTGCAGCACACGTCGCACTCCCTGCCACGCTTCATCAAGGACTGCCTCAAGCAGATCCTGGAAGAATACGACTCTCGCCAGATCTTCTACTTCCTCTGCCTCAACCTGGTGCGTGTGCCAAGTCGGCGAGTCGGTCAGCAGGGGCTTGAATTTCCCCACGAAATATGTTCCGTCCAGATCGTTCGTGCTATTTATGTTTGTATGTTGAACTTCTTTCGCGTCGTACATAGCGAACCGTGCTAATTGGAGGTGCTTATCCGAGGCAGACTAGAGTAGGCACGTGATTAATAGCCACGGCAATACATAGCCGGGTGTATAGTGGATATAGTGTGCCGAGCGTGATCATATTTCTGGGTGGTCAACCTTGGACAGACCCAGCAGAAATTAAGCCCCACTTCAATCACCTACCCACCCCCACCCATCCCAGTGATTTGATGAAGTATTACAATTTCTTGGTCGTGTTTCTGTGCAAGAAAGTATTTTGCATGTATAGAAAATTATCTTTTCTCACGTTAATTGGTGCATGTATCGTGACTATAATGAATTGAATCGATGATTTGATGTCATTTTCATGCTTAGCTCCAAGGGGAATTTGGCAGGAAGGCTAGGCCAATTGGTTGGTTTAAAATACCAATGGTTTCTGGGGGTGGGGGGTTATCAGGCCTACCAAGATATCCGATACAAGGGACTGCATTGGCAAGGTGCATTTCGAGCATAAATATACCTAAAGAACCTGGTTTCTTTGTCATTAGCGATGTTAATATCATTTACGATCAATGTGTTAATAAAACTTACTGGTGAAGATGTTAACACTATCAATTGATGTTTATTACCATTAAAGAAGTATATTTTTACACTCGTAATGAGGGCAATAACTTTGTTCACAGCAAAGGTGGTACAGTGAGGGAAACAAGTATTTGATCCCCTGCTGATTTTGTATGTTTGCCCACTGACAAAGAAATGATCAGTCTATAATTTTAATGGTAGGTTTATTTGAACAGTGAGAGACAGAATAACAACAACAAAATCCAGAAAAACGCATGTCAAAAATGTTATAAATTGATTGGCATTTTAATGAGGGAAATAAGTATTTGACTCCTCTGCAAAACATGACTTAGTACTTGGTGGCAAAACCCTTGTTGGCAGTCACATAGGTCAGACGTTTCTTGTAGTTGGCCACCAGGTTTGCACACATCTCAGGAGGGATTTTGTCCCACTCCTCTTTGCAGATCTTCTCCAAGTCATTAAGGTTTCGAGGCTGACGTTTGGCATCTCGAACCTTCAGCTCCCTCCAAGATTTTCTATGGGATTAAGGTCTGGAGACTGGCTAGGCCACTCCAGGACCTTAATGTGCTTCTTCTTGACCCACTCCTTTGTTGCCTTGGCCGTGTGTTTTGGGTCATTGTCATGATGGAATACCCATCCACGACCCATTGTCAATGCCCTGGTTGAGGGAAGGAGGTTCTCACCCAAGATTTGACGGTACATGGCCCTGTCCATCGTCCATTTGATGCGGTGAAGTTGTCCTGTCCCCTTAGCATAAAAACACCCCCAAATCATAATATTTCCACCTCCATGTTTGACGGTAGGGATGGTGTTCTTGGGGTCATAGGCAGCATTCCTCCTCCAAACACGGCGAATTAAGTTGATGCCAAAGAGCTCCATTTTGGTCTCATCTGACCACAACACTTTCACCCAGTTGTCCTCTGAATCATTCAGATGTTCATTGGCAAATATCAGACGGGCATGTATATGTGCTGCAGGATTTCAGTCATTCACGACGTAGTGTGTTACCAATTGTTTTCTTGGTGACTATGGTCCCAGCTGCCTTGAGATCATTGACAAGATCCTCCCGTGTAGTTCTGGGCTGATTCCTCACCATTCTCATGATCATTGCAACTCCACGAGGTGAGATCTTGCATGGAGCCCCAGGCCGAGGGAGATTGACAGTTATTTTGTGTTTCTTCCATTTGCGAATAAATGCACCAACTGTTGTCACCTTCTCACCAAGCTGCTTGGCAATGGTCTTGTAGCCCATTCCAGCCTTGTGTAGGTCTACAATCTTGTCCCTGACATCCTTGGAGAGCTCTTTGGTCTTGGCCATGGTGGAGAGTTTGGAATCTGATTGATTGATTGCTTCTGTGGACAGGTGTCTTTTATACAGGTAAAAAGCTGAGATTAGGAGCACTCCCTTTAAGAGTATGCTCCTAATCTCAGCTCGTTACCTGTTTAAAAGACACCTGGGAGCCAGAAATCTTTCTGATTGACAGGGGGTCAAATACTTATTTCCCTAATTAAGATGCAAATCAATTCATAACATTTTTGACATGCGTTTTTCTGGATTTTTTTGTTGTTATTCTGTCTCTCACTGTTCAAATAAACTTACCATTAAAATTATAGACTGATCATTTCTTTGTCAGTGGGCAAACGTACAAAATCAGCATGGGATCAAATACTTTTTTCTCTCACTGTAGGTAACACTTACTGATAATGGTGTTTATCATCTGCAACGAGCAACCCACTACTGGTTGAAGGTGTTATTGCTGTGAATTATAATAGAGGCGATGACACTGTTGATGGACACATCGTGTCACAATGGATTACGATGATACTGTTAGCACTTTTGATGAGTGATGATGGTGCTTTCATGTATGTAATGTGTTTATTCCCACGGTTACTGAGCACAGGGCCCAAAGGCCCAAAACACCAAGCGGCCAGCAACCAACGGCACTTTTCAAGTAGCAATAGATAAGATTTGACACGTTTGTTGAATGGAGCAAGATTTTAAACATCTTGGAAAAATAGAAGAGGTAATGGGAGGGAATTCCTCAGCAGAGCAGTGGGTGAGAATAAGCAGAAAGGGGGAAGGGTTTTGACCCCCAGTAGTATAGTGGTTAAACACCATACGGATGAGACAGTACAATCACCCTGGTAGTGTTAGCGCTGTTCATGATAGTATTAACAATGCTGATGACAAACTTGTTGAGTATCTTATCTATATTTATTTAGCGCCTTATTCCAAGACGCTTTACAGAAATAATTAAATTGTACGTAAGTATTTTTCAATTCATGCTCCTCCTAGAGCTACCACTCAGTGTTATGGTGCCGCAGTACAGTACAATATCCCCCTCCCCTCTAATCCGATGCTGCTCCGGCCAAAAGAGAGCCAGTGGATTTACAGAGCATGGAGGATTAGTGAAAGAACATAGCTTATGGTGTGAGTGCATACGATGCACTATTACAGCAGACTTTTGTGTGTGTGTGTGCTTGGTTGAGTGATGGAGCAGTGATTAGTGCACCACACTATGAACCTGGTAATCTAAGTTCGGTTCCCAGTCATTGCTAACATCGGTGACGGATATCTGAACCGGTCACCTGGGACTACACCTTGGTCGACTCGGCCTTGAATGAGCACCTAGTGCGGTGTGTTTAAATTTCATCACTTTGGAGGCAAAGCCAGCCGAGCATGGTGGCAGTCACATTACGCTGTCTGCGGTTCCGGCCTTAATAGATGCTCACCAACACCATTGTCCCAACATTCTGTATAACTCTATGGGGAATGTTTGGGAGTGTGTGTATGGGGGGGAGCGATGGTTTGTACTCACCCGTGTTATTCACACATACGCTTGATAGCTTTTATTTAAGTACTTTGGTTTCTTCCTATGTGAAGCTAAATATTCCATAAGATGGAATTATCCAATTCTCATTTGGATAATTCTCCTGCTGCCCACGCAGTTTAAAACTCAATTCCCCAAACCATCTGTGCTGTTGACTCCCTGCCTCCGTTGAAATCTAGGCTCTAGACATGTATCTTTGCCTCTGCCTACAACTGCCTGCTTCTATAAAAAATATTGCCATTTGTGCAGCATCTTGAGTCGCGTCTAGTTGCTTTACGAATCCAAATTGTCTTGTCTCCATTGCAGGACCCTCCTGAAAATGAGTCTCAAAGCTCTCGAAAACTTGTCGGGGATTAATATTTGTACATTATTCGTTATTCTCCACTGGCAGATGTTCACCTTTGTAGAGCTGTTTTACGGAGTGTGGACCAACAGCCTGGGCCTCATATCGGACGGCTTCCACATGCTGTTTGACTGCTCGGCGCTTGTGCTGGGCCTCTTCGCAGCCCTCATGACACGCTGGAAGCCCACTCGCATCTTCTCCTATGGGTGAGACACAGCAAGCAGGAAAGCAAGCGCCACCTCAACAACATCATGGCCGGTGCACGTAGGCCACAAACCAAAGCGAAAATGAGCTCTACCCAAGGTGGCATGGCTTTCAGAATGTGAAAAAAGAATAGGGTTAAAGCATTTTTTTTTTATCTTGATACCAGAAAAATTGTTCCATAGACTTAAAGCTATTTGTTCAAAAGCTTGGGTGAACTATTTACCGTTTAATTTACCAGGTAAGGCCCACTGAGTTTTAAAGCTCTTTTTTCAGAAGCCGCAAATGATTGCTCAACGAAGTGGCTTATGTGGAAACGTATAGTAGTCGATTACTTTAAACGCCTGGTGAAAAATCCATGCGATGACAGGGAGAACATGCAAACTCCAAATATGCAGGTGTCAGGGTCGGGTTCAAACCCACCACCTGCATACCAGGCGAAGGAGCGAACATCCCGCCACTGCGGTGCCCAAATAATCTGGCAATGGGGGACTAATGTCACAGAAAAAATAGGCAGACAGGTTAAAAATAGATTTTTCAAATGATTTCTGAAAATTCCTCAAATCATTGGGTGGTGGGTGGGTAATTGAAAAACGCATACTCAGTATGTTTCAAATCATAACCCATGTAACCCATGTGGGGAGATAGTGTAACATTTTTTAAATGTTTTGGCCAAATTGTTTTAACAAAAGCAATTTGTGTTTTGGGTGATAAAATGCACCGTCCGTGTCCTCACATGGGCTTTCACTGCCGTCACGCAGCTATGGACGAGTGGAGATCCTGTCGGGGTTCGTGAACGGCCTCTTCCTCATGGTCATCGCCTTCTTCGTGTTTCTGGAGTCGATCGGGCGCCTCGTCGACCCCCCGCACATCAACACAGACATGCTCACCGTACGTGCGCGGTCGCTGCAGTCGGTGGCGCGCCACTTGTCCGTCAACGCTCCCCCCGCCCCCCACCAAGGTTCGCGCGTGCATCTCACGTCTCACGTCCGTTTGTTTTATCTGCGCGTCACAGCCCGTCTCGGTGGCTGGGCTCCTGGTCAACCTGGTGGGCATCTGCGCCTTCAGCCACGCACACAGCCACGCCCACGGCCGCGCCGGGGGCTGCTCGGGCCACCAGGAGCACGGTCACTCGCACTCGGAGCACCACGGCCATGCCCACTCGGACCACGGGCACAGTCACAGCCATGGCCACTCGCATGGGCAGAGTGGCGGCGGCGGCGGTGGTATTGGTGGTGGCCTCAACGCCAACATGAGAGGTGCGTGGACGTCGTGGCGAGGAGTGCACACTTGCCATAGTTGTCCTGAGTGTTTGTATCACATAGAATAAACGGCCCTGCTTAATACCTACATTGTGAGGCAGAGCTGCTGTCCGAGCCCCGTGGTCTCATCGCAGCCTATCGGCCTTTGGCAGAGGGTGGATCATGTGATCACTCATCTAATATTTCAGAGGACGAACGTGTGTTGTAAAACATCACGTAATAATCCACGTATAAATTTCGATTTAAAGCTTTCGTGACTGCAAGGATTCATCTTCTTTGGTTCTTTCGGTAAAGTCACATAGAATGAGATTAAAATAATAAAATAAAACAATACAATTCTCACGACGTTTCGGCCACAACACAAGTGGCCTTCTTCAGGTGAAAGGAACAAACCTGTCGGGACGACAGAGCTACAATGAACGCTGCTAAGATTCGCAGCGTGTCTTTTAAGCTGGTTGAGAGAAGTGAGGCACCTTGACAAAGGGGTTTACATATCAAACAGGAGAATTTAGCATTGAAACAGTTGAGGGATTAGCTTGTGACTGGTCACAGAAATAGCTATGTTAAAGCTATGTAGGCTTTGACTTTAACATAGCTATTTCTGTGACCAGTCACAAGCTAATCCCTCAACTGTTTCAATGCAAAATTTTCCTGTTTGATATGTAAACCCCTTTGTCAAGGTGCCTCACTTCTCTCAACCAGCTTAAAAGACGCTGCGAATCTTAGCAGCGTTCATTGTAGCTCTGTCGTCCCGACAGGTTTGTTCCTTTCACCTGAAGAAGGCCACTTGTGTTGTGGCCAAAACGTCGTGAGAATTTTATTGTTTTATTTTATTATTTTATTCTCATTCTACGTGACTTTACCGAAAGAACCAAAGAAGATAATCCACGTATGTTATTTTTTATGTTTTGGGTTATGCCGACCACCTGATTATTTGGGTTATTTTGCTGCTATAAAATTCCACGTGATAAGTCACTTTGTTGAGCTGTCATTTGTGGCCAGGTCACTTCTGGAAAATAAGTTAACAGCTCAGTGGATCTTGTAAGATAAAACATAGTTTAGTTTTATTTATATATATTAAGTGATTTGTTTACCTTTCCTACACTTTGCACTCCTATCGTGTTTTTTTGTTGTTGGAACGTTCTGACCGTCCCCTGCTGGACATCGGTGAAAAAGAGCTTCATAGCTCATCGAATTCCTCCAGTATAAATAAACATTCTGATTCTGAACGTTGCCGCTGTCGTCAAAGGCGTGTTCCTGCACGTCCTCGCCGACACACTGGGCAGCGTGGGCGTCATCGTCTCGTCGCTGCTCATCAGGCAGTTCGGGTGGCTGGCCGCTGACCCCATCTGCTCGCTGTTCATCTCGGTGCTCATCTTCCTGAGCGTGGTGCCACTGCTGCGAGACTCGTGCCGTGTGCTCGTCCTCCGTTGCCCCCCAGAGTGCGAACGCGAGCTCGCCAACGGCCTCAACAAGGTTCGGAGTGACAGTGGGAGCCGAGTGCGGTTGTTATGGTGGGCCCTGGTGCAAGGATTTAAATGCCCCCCCCCCCCCACACACTCCCCAACCCCTCCCAGCTGTCTGATTTCCCCCTGCTTAGCTGGGCCCCTAGTCCCCTCCAGCCCGTTTGCGCTGGAGCAATTGCACGTTCAATAGTCAACTAAGCATGCTTTGCTGTAAACTGAATTCAACTATTTGGACTGCGGGAGTCAAATAAATTGTTTATGTCGTAACCTCTTTATAATTATCTCGTCAGTCTACTGCTGGATTAAGGCCTCCCCATGGCGTGTCATTTTTGGGAGTTGTTTGACCATACTTCACCACGCTAGCCAGTGCGGGTTGGTAAGTTCGGGGGCCCCATGACCGTTTTGGATTCCAGCCATCTCCAGGAATCAAATTCGGGTCGCCATAAGGTTCTTATTGTAGTGCGCTAATCACCCAGTGCACACCGAAACATAGCACATTAATCAAATAGTCAAATCTTACATGCGCCAATTTTTATTAATAACTAGCTTTACTACCCGGCTTCGCCCGAGACTTGGATTCTTGTCTTGGATTAATACACGGCCTACGCGGAGGGTGGGGAGGTGGAATGCGTGACGTCAGCAGGCACACTGCGTAACGCTTCCGCATGCGGGTGACATCACAGATGCGACGTCAGCGCTCACTCGCCGTGCAAAATATATCCATTATTGCGCCCCCCTCCAAAATACAAAAGTATATTTTTATACTTTTTGCATTGTGTACAGTCTGGAAGCTACCCACATGCCCAATTTCAAGTTTGTTGCATGTTGGGAAGTATGCTAAACATTTCGAACTGACACACATTGACAAATTTCCCTTTTTTATATATATATAATGCAATTTAATTGACAAATCATTTACAACCCTATCGAATGGTTTATCGTTATTATTGTCAGGTCTCGTACAGCTGATGTCGTGTGCGCACGTACGCGCATGCACGCACGTCTGTCTCCGCCAGGTGCTGAACGTGGACGGCGTGCTCTCCTACCGTAACCCCTACTTCTGGAGGCACTCGGCTGCAGTTGTGGCGGGCACATTGCACGTGCAGGTGCAGGTGGGAGTCGTGGAGCAGCGGGTCGTGCAGCAGGTACAACTCTTGCTGCTGCAGTTCCAACTTTTTTCTGCGTGTCGCTTACACTTGGCTGTTTTTCTTATTTAGATATTTTACTTTGATTTTATTCCATCGCAGTCATTCGTGAGATTAGAGAAGTGTCTAATCTGAATCTCACTATGAGCAGTGTGTGAGAGGACCCAGGAAAAGGACATCACGCAATATGTAATGCTAGAGGGACACATTTATATGCCCTCCGAAGAGTGTTCTTCACTTAGAAATCAAACCAACATTCATGCTCAGAACTGGAATATGCTAAATAAATAAAAACATGTATGTTTTACATAGAGTCATTGGAGACTGTGCTTAGACTATAAACTCATTCCACTTGTACATTTGAAAACCGTATGTATATTGTGCTGGATGGATTGAAAGCTCAGGATATAGGCAAATGCAGGCCCAGTGCTTTGACATTCGCCCCATTTGCTCGTAAACTCATTATTGCTGTGTTTTTCAAGTATGAACCCAAGTCATGGGTTATTGCTGTCTCTTCAGTAAGTGAGTCAGCCTTTAAACTTGCAATTATTCTCACTTCAAAAAGTGAATTGTGCTATTATTGTACAGGAATGTCAAAGATCTGAGACATGGGTGGCACCCATTTGAGCAATAACAAACGTGATTTATAATTGGGGAAGGGGTTAAGTTTTTTGTTCACTCCGAAAGTCTGCCAGGTTAATATCCTTCCCTGTGCTCCCACTGCCTTCTACCGTGGGGGCTGCCCTATGGTCCAAGAACGTTATGTGTCACATAATTGTACGCCCATGTTCCAAAGCCTTTGGGGGGGGGTCTTTCAACATTACAAACATCCGTCAAGCAGGTGAAGAAAGAAGAACCGTTTTAATTTAAAATATCGAATCAACATTTTAATGAAACCTTTTACAGTCGGAGGAATGGGAATGAAATCAAATTCCCTGCTTGCGATCGCAAGCTGCGTGTACTAAATTATTTGGCACGTGTCGTGACGGGTACTGCAAGATCTGACCAAGTCCATCCGGTGCTCACTAAGCTGTATTGGCTTCCGTTTGCCGAACAAATGCATTATGAGGTCGGACTCATTACACACAAAGTGCTTGCTACAAATTAACCATAATACCTTGCTGATCTCCACAAAGACCATCATTCATCACGCAAGCTCCGGTCATCCTCGCAGCGGCTTTTGGCAAACCATCGAACGAAGACGGTCACCGCATCGCACGCTTTCAGATGCGCTTCTGCGGCCACCTGGACCGATCTTCCTTCTGATATTCAGAAGCCACTGGAGCGATATGCACTTTTAAATAATCTAGATTGAAAACTCATTTCTTTAAAATTTATTTTTGTGTTTTAAGTTTGTTGTCCTTCCCCTAACACCTCCGATTAGCCCGGTTGGCTATGTACGGTGTGAAAGAGGTTCACCAAACATACATCCATATGATGATGTTGGTTTGCTTTTGGGTGGCCCTCACCGAGGCTCTATCCACCCAAGGAAGGCTAACGGGGGACACATGTTTGTGCTGCACGATGCACGTCACGCTGTGTTGCAGGTGACGGCCGTCTTCAAGGAGTGCGGGGTGTCGAACATGACGGTGCAGGTGGAGAAGGAGGAGTACTTCCAGCACATGTCCGGCCTGGGCGCCGGCCACCGCGAAGTCATCGCGCTCACGCAGCAGATGGACGCCCTGGGCACACTCAAGGACGGAATGACCATCATGTGACATGCGATGAAAGTTCTTGGGAAGGAGGTGGGGGGGGGGATGTCTCTGGTTGGAGGATGCAGCGACAACGTCGAAGTGGCATTTTGGGGGGCGCTCTTATCTCCATTGGCAGCACTTTAGCTAACGTTAGAAATTCCACATTCCTATGGTGGGAGTCAAGTTTATCCACAGGGCAAATGCTGTTCATTTATTGCGTCACAGTGATTAGGCATGTAACGATTTGCCTGCCTTGCAATTTTATGAAGATCACAATTTAATTCAGGAAAACATTTTTTTACATCATGGTGATTGTAGCAACTCTATTGGTTGCAGAAATCACGTGAACCAGTTGCAAGTTGACAATAACGTATTCTCACGCACAGGATTTAATGCATGTTCTGTGAGTGCAATAAACGATTTTGTTTGACGAATCGTTACATGCCTAGAGGTGATTTATTTTATCGTCCCAGTGGTGACGATGAACCCAGTGTGACCCCTGACTGCCATTTGAATTCACCACCTTCCAATTGTGAACTCGAGTGTTAACCAAACAAGCCAACGGCGATGGCTCGCTTACATTCAGAATTCGAAAGCAACGCCAAGCAAGTTGCAGCTCACTCAACAGTTCCGCTCAAATTTCTTCAAGCGCAACTAAAGGGTTTCTACGATTAACCACGCAGTAATGCCATGGCGCCTTCACCGAGAAGTCTACAATCGTCCACGGGAACGCTAAGAATTGTTTTTACCCCCAAACCTTGCTAAGCGTTGCTGTTACACAAAAGTCTGTGTTTGTCCTCGCCTGCATATGGGTATCACCCCTAACCAATGCGCGTGTATTTTAAAGTGCAAAATAGACCATCCTACTCTTATCTAATGTTTGGTTATCAAAATTCTGAACCGTCTGGTGTAAATAAAATGTTGGATCACTTCACTGGCTTTTTATTGTATTGCTCTGATTGTAAGCAGGTGATGAGTTGTTTATATACTGTATTGAAGTTTATTTATCACAGGCACACCTGGAGGCAAGTTTAGGTGATTAAATGCGCCACAACGGTAAACAGAACTGCTGACTTCCCTGTTTGGGTTTTCGATCTTGCCAGTCGTCTCGCGTTGACGAGGGCCTCCCAACGCTGCGCAAATTGACTGCGTCACCACGCTTACCAGTGAAATTTGAATCTGGGGAGCATATACGGAAATAGTATGGTACAGCAATTAATTTTGGGGCACCCCACACCAGCCTACAACACCTGATACATGCAGTTATGATCGTCCATTAAAGCACCTATCCAAGATTAAACCTGCTTAGCATCCGGGAGAATGTATGCGATCAGACACATTTGGGTGTGATTTGGCCATCGGTGTTAACTGTAATAAAAATTGCCTTAAAATTAAATGGTGAAATAAATGCCAACTGTGGAATGTATATAAACCATAAATTGGATTAAAAGTATATGGTTTCAGTTTGGAATAAATGTGATCTGCTATTGAATAACTCGGTTAATACACTTGAATTTTCTGAACTTTTTTAAATGCAAGAAATAAATTTGTATATGTTCTCCATCCAGTTTTATCAGTTGTAAAAAAAAAAATTATATTTGATCACGAACCACACACTAATCGCAGTGCTTATGTGATCGATGCTTTTGGCTTTGTGAAATTGGACGCACAATCTGTTATCCAATAATGAACATTTTTTTTTCGATTTGAAGCTTTCGTGACTGCAAGGATTCATCTTCTTTGGTTCTTTCGGTAAGGTCACGTAGAATGAGAATAAAATAATAAAAGAACACAATAAAATTCTCACGACGTTTCGGCCACAACGCAAAGACGGCCGCTTGCGTTGTGGCTGAAACGTGAGAATTTTATTGTGTTATTTTATTATTTTATTCTCATTCTACGTGACTTTACCGAAAGAACCAAAGAAGAATAATGAACATGTTCACATTCACCAAAAAAACTTCTGAACGCAACCCAACTCCCCCCTTCCAAATTGAATCTGCAACCTCACAAACACACAAAGCACAGCGGAGGCTAACAAATACATCGGAACGTGATTGGCAAGCTGAAAATAAATACTTAAAACTTGCTCCGCGCAAAACTTTGAAACTATACAGCAACTCAAAAAATTTGATGGAAAACTTGTTTAAAAAAAAACCGGGCTGCTTGCTTGCTGGCTTGGCTGGCTTCTGCTGAAGTGGCGTTGCTTTGCCAATTGAGGGCAGTGTTCGTAAGGTGGCGGTATTGCACTTTCCCCCGGACAAACCTTGCCTTGCTATGTGCCTGGCTGCCTCGGAAAGAGAGAGCAGCTCCCCCCCCCTCCCCTTTGGCTGTGGCTCCACGCCGCCAAGTTGCTTCGCGTGTCCTGCTAAACGAGAGAGAGAGAGATTTTTTTTTGGAGTGACGCGGGGTCTCCGAGGTTCCTGGCCAAAAAAAAACATTTGACTATTTTCGAGCCAGTGGGGTTGCGACCTCGGAAATCAGACGATGGACATGAAGAAGAGGGTTCAGTTGGAGCTGAGGAACAGGATTCCCGCCGAGGTGAGGTCGTCGTCGTCATCATTGCTACCACCACCATCATCATCTTCACACTCGCATCAACCACCACCAATATTCCATCGTCGACGACGCGGCTTGCAGGAGGGAGGGTGCTCCGTCATCTGCACAATTCACTCGTGCACGGGGTGGCCCTTATAAATGTGCACATATGTGCACTGTATATATGTGTGTCGGAGAGCGTTCGAATCGGCAGCGCACCGTCACTAACCACCATGTGCGTGAAGTGTAGACACGAAGCCGTCTTTTTATAGCAGCTGTCTCAGCTGTTGTCACACCACGAGACACTGTAACGTTCCACGATATGACAATAATAATAATAGCTGGGTTCTTAACATCGCAAGCGAGCCCCGTGTGTGTGTGTGAGAGGGCGTGCGTGTGGTGGTGGTGTAGTGGGGAGCGGTGGTGCAGCGGTTAGCGCTACGCAGCGCAGCGACCCCGGCCCGCCCTGGTTCGATTCCCGTTCGCGGCCACCAAACACCGGTGAACCGGTCCCTGGGCCTCACCCTAGGTCGACTCGGCCTGAAAATGAGTACCCCGACGCGGTGTGTTGCAAACATCGCCAGCACTGGGGAGACAAAGGCGGCCGGGCGTAGTGCTGGGCACCCAGCCACCCGTCCTCGTGTGCCACAGTGCCACGGGCAGCCTTTGCAGGTGCTCGCTATAACAACAGCACTTGCCCCCGACAGTGTGTCAGGGCTACACGGGGGATCTTTGTCTGTGGATAGCGAACCGTCAGCACGCGCACGCCGTTGTATAGTAGTGCGCCCCCCAATATACACACACACACAATCATAGACGTCTTCTACGTATGTATGTGTCTGTCTACAAAGACACACACACTTTACACACGTGTGTGTAAAGTGTGTGTGTATATAAACCTTCTCGTTTCATTGCGGATATCTCCTTAATGAATTTCCGCTTCTTTTTTTAATGTCGCGTGCGATGCACGATGAGTGGTTAGGATGGGATTGTTGTTGTACACAAGCAGTGTCTCCTGCTGCTGGACAATATCACAGGCTTCCAGCATGTGTGTAATGTGTTGCGATGCATTCAAGGGACTTTTTTATCGATCGGTGAATATTGTTTTTAACGTTGCTTTGTCCCTTACTGCGTTTTTAAGTTCAATTTATAGATTCTTGTTGTGTGTACGATACTGCGGGGGTGGGTGGGGGTGGGGATGTGTAGGATGTTGTTTGTTAACGTTTTGTTTATACGGATGTTTATTTACTATTGGTCACCTTCGTTGGTTGTTGTTACTCGCTGGGGGGAGCGGTGGCGCAGCGGTTAGCGCACCGCGACCCAGGGCCACAACAAAGTTCGACTCCCAGCTTGGCCGATATCCCGATCCGTTTTCATTCATCTCCCCCCCCCCCCCCCTATAGGTCGACTCGGACTTAAATCGAGGACCGTGCCTTGGGTGCATGTGTCTAAACGTGATGGGGGAGACAAAGGCGGCCGGGCGTGCTTGCTGTACGCGACCCTTTCCGGCCTTTGTAGTTGCTAAGAGCACTTGCCCCGAACAGTCTTGTTAACACAAAAAGGGAGCTATACGGGGGACCTTTGCCTTTGCTCGCTTGTATACAATGTGCGAGTTCACAATGTTGACAACAATCGGGATGTCAGTTGTGGTTCTTTTTTTACGTGCAGAACGTCTAAACATTACTGTGCAGACGTCCTTACATTGGCGTATACCGCACACATAATTATCAGTTTATTATCGTGTGCAGTTGCGTGTGTTACGCTGGTGTGGAAGATCTTAGCTTGTGTGGACTACTGGACATCTGTGGTGGGGGGAATAAATATTCTTATTGTGCTTGTGCTGTGTATTTCTTGAGTGAGTGCATGTCTTAATTATCTCACGTGTGTTTGGTGTGAGTACTATAATATCTGACAATTATCTGGGTTCAATCCACAGCACCCCGGGGTCACCTGTTCCCGTGACCTCCTTCCACACTCCACGTGACAACTGTAGTCTCAACGTGCACCTAGCTTGGCACGGGGGGTTGTTGTTGTTGCTGCCACTGACTTGTACACATATATCCTCAGCTTGTGTCGTGTGCACTGCGTATCTTGGACAACAACAAAAATGTGCATCAATTACGGGCATCCAATGTGCTGCTTTGCTGCTGCGTGCGAGTTATTGTATCTCTTTGTGTGTCTCGGCTTTAGTACTGTTGATCTGTGTAAGCACGTACACATTTGTGTATGTGTTGTGGATTTATGCAGCGTACTACTGCATACATCTTAGCATTGTGTATGTTTGTGTTAGCACGTGTCAATCTTGTGCATGTGAGTGTTATGTAGTCGTATGAACAGTATTAGCCTGTGTGTATATCTGTGTGTATGTCCTAGCCTGTTTGTGTTCGCATGTGTTAACCTTGTGCATGCCTTTGAGTATTATGTGTCAACCTTGTGCATGCCTGTGAGTGTTATGTGTCAATCTTGTGCCTGTGAGTGTTATGTGTCAATCTTGTGCCTGTGAGTGTTATGTGTCAATCTTGTGAGTGTTATGTGTCAACCTTGTGCCTGTGAGTGTTATGTGTCAATCGTGTGCCTGTGAGTGTTATGTGTCAATCGTGTGCCTGTGAGTGTTATGTGTCAACCTCGTGCCTGTGAGTGTTATGTGTCAACCTCGTGCCTGTGAGTGTTATGTGTCAACCTTGTGCCTGTGAGTGTTATGTGTCAATCTTGTGCCTGTGAGTGTTATGTGTCAACCTCGTGCCTGTGAGTGTTATGTGTCAACCTTGTGTCTGTGAGTGTTATGTGTCAACCTTGTGCCTGTGAGTGTTATGTGTCAACCTTGTGCCTGTGAGTGTTATGTGTCAACCTTGTGTCTGTGAGTGTTATGTGTCAATCTTGTGAGTGTTGTGTCAACCTTGTGCCTGTGAGTGTTATGTGTCAATCTTGTGCCTGTGAGTGTTATGTGTCAATCTTGTGAGTGTTATGTGTCAACCTCGTGCCTGTGAGTGTTATGTGTCAATCTTGTGTCTGTGAGTATTATGTGTCAACCTTGTGCCTGTGAGTGTTATGTGTCAATCTTGTGCCTGTGAGTGTTATGTGTCAATCTTGTGCCTGTGAGTGTTATGTGTCAATATTGTGTCTGTGAGTGTTATGTGTCAATCTTGTGCCTGTGAGTGTTATGTGTCAATCTTGTGCCTGTGAGTATTATGTGTCAACCTTGTGCCTGTGAGTGTTATGTGTCAATCTTGTGAGTGTTATGTGTCAACCTTGTGTCTGTGAGTGTTATGTGTCAACCTTGTGCCTGTGAGTGTTATGTGTCAACCTTGTGTCTGTGAGTGTTATGTGTCAATCTTGTGAGTGTTGTGTCAACCTTGTGCCTGTGAGTGTTATGTGTCAATCTTGTGCCTGTGAGTGGTATGTGTCAATCTTGTGAGTGTTATGTGTCAACCTTGTGTCTGTGAGTGTTATGTGTCAACCTCGTGCCTGTGAGTGTTATGTGTCAATCTTGTGTCTGTGAGTATTATGTGTCAACCTTGTGCCTGTGAGTGTTATGTGTCAATCTTGTGCCTGTGAGTGTTATGTGTCAATCTTGTGTCTGTGAGTGTTATGTGTCAATATTGTGTCTGTGAGTATTATGTGTCAACCTTGTGCCTGTGAGTGTTATGTGTCAATCTTGTGCCTGTGAGTGTTATGTGTCAACCTTGTGCCTGTGAGTGTTATGTGTCAATCTTGTGTCTGTGAGTGTTAAGTGTCAATCTTGTGCCTGTGAGTGTTATGTGTCAACCTTGTGTCTGTGAGTGTTATGTGTCAACCTTGTGTCTGTGAGTGTTATGTGTCAACCTTGTGCCTGTGAGTGTTATGTGTCAACCTTGTGAGTGTTATGTGTCAACCTCGTGCCTGTGAGTGTTATGTGTCAACCTTGTGCCTGTGAGTGTTATGTGTCAACCTTGTGCCTGTGAGTGTTATGTGTCAACCTTGTGTCTGTGAGTGTTATGTGTCAACCTTGTGTCTGTGAGTGTTATGTGTCAACCTCGTGCCTGTGAGTGTTGTGTCAACCTTGTGCCTGTGAGTGTTATGTGTCAATCTTGTGCCTGTGAGTGTTATGTGTCAATCTTGTGCCTGTGAGTGTTATGTGTCAATCTTGTGCCTGTGAGTGTTATGTGTCAATCTTGTGCCTGTGAGTGTTATGTGTCAACCTTGTGTCTGTGAGTGTTATGTGTCAACCTTGTGTCTGTGAGTGTTATGTGTCAATCTTGTGCCTGTGAGTGTTATGTGTCAACCTTGTGCCTGTGAGTGTTATGTGTCAACCTTGTGCCTGTGAGTGTTATGTGTCAATCTTGTGTCTGTGAGTGTTATATGTCAATCTTGTGCCTGTGAGTGTTATGTGTCAATCTTGTGTCTGTGAGTGTTATGTGTCAACCTCGTGCCTGTGAGTGTTATGTGTCAATCTTGTGCATGCCTGTGAGTGTTATGTGTCAACATTGTCCCTGTGAGTGTTATGTGTCAATCTTGTGTCTGTGAGTGTTATGTGTCAACCTTGTGCCTGTGAGTGTTATGTGTCAATCTTGTGTCTGTGAGTGTTATATGTCAATCTTGTGCCTGTGAGTGTTATGTGTCAATCTTGTGTCTGTGAGTGTTATGTGTCAACCTCGTGCCTGTGAGTGTTATGTGTCAATCTTGTGCCTGTGAGTGTTATGTGTCAATCTTGTGCCTGTGAGTGTTATGTGTCAATCTTGTGTCTGTGAGTGTTATGTGTCAATCTTGTGCATGCCTGTGAGTGTTATGTGTCAACATTGTCCCTGTGAGTGTTATGTGTCAATCTTGTGTCTGTGAGTGTTATGTGTCAATCTTGTGCCTGTGAGTGTTATGTGTCAATCTTGTGCATGCCTGTGAGTGTTACGTAGTCGTATGAACAGAATGTGCCTGTGTGTGTGTGTATATCTGCTTGGTGTAGAGTAACGTAGCTTGTGTCGACGTCTTATATTGTGTACATTCACAACCCCTTGTCAATCCACTGCTGG